TTGATGCCCTGCATTCCATTCTGATGACTCATGCCCAAACGTGGTAAACAAGGCAAACTAACACAGTAATACATTTGCTATAACACAGCCAAAAAACTCAAATAAAACCATTCTAAAAGCCTGTATCACAATAATTTAAAAAACGCCTAGGGGTATTTGCCCACTGTACCTCCATACCAAATTTCAGGACCTTAGGCCCTAAAATGAAGAAGCTGAATCCATTTTAAAAATGGCAGGAGAAGGAGGAGAAGGAGGAGAAGAAGAAGAAGAAACATCAGAAAAAGCAATATGGTTTCACCACACCACTTCGTGGTGTGGTGAAGCCCATAAATATAATCCTGCATGTCCTTTAAAACGGCCCCTGGAAAGTTGGACAGTCCTGGCCGTGTATCATAATAAAACTGAATCAAATCAAGAAGTGATGAATGAGACATACTTCCATCATCTTTACAATGTATGTACACACCAATGCATTAATTGTAAGATTGAATGAGTCCGCCTAGGTCACAATGTTGCAAAAAGGTCCTGTTTGTAAAAGACAAGAAGGCCACACCAATTTAATTTTATGGATGACATCCTCTGAAGCCCCCCAAACTAGTGCGCGTGGGCGAATAAAAAAATTCTGGCCAAAAATAAAAATGCTACAAAACCACAGGAATACAAAGCTGGTATTGTGAATTCGCGACAGTACTTAGCGATGTATACGATAAGCGGCATTTATGAATCGGTACTGTACTTATGTACTGAGTTATTGAGTCGTGGAGCTTCGAATTCGATAGCCTGGGTGCTCGGCTCCGTTTTGTCGCTGACTACGATGGACTACCCAGGCCTATTGCCAGGCCAGAGCCTCGGTTCTTTTTTTTTGAGGGCAACAGGCGAAAATCAATGCGCGAGCGGATGTCATCCATAAAATTAAGTCTATGTGGCCTAATAGATAAATAAAAATAAAACCTCACCTTGTTGTAGATTGTCCAGTGATTTTCTTCTTGGGTTGAGACTTGGACCTGAGTGGGAAAGAAAAGGATAAGGCCAAGATTAAAGAATAGATAGTAAAAAAATTCCTCAGAATGCCTAGAGGATCCTTACTTGAGGGCCTGCATGCCCTTTTTTGTTAACCGTTATGGGCTATTTTAATTCACCGTTAATCGTTGCCGACCCGCTCTAATTCAACGTTAAGCGTTATCGGTATATTCATCGTGAAGCGTTATTGGTCGTTTTAATTCTACGTAGAGCATTATTTGTCATCCTAAATTCAGCGTTAAGCGTTACTGAATAATTCTTCGTTACGCGTAGACCTGCATACTAGTAGTCAAACCTCAAGTTGCCGTCGTCACTTTGCCTCTCGGAATGTAGGAAAATGCGTTATTGAAGGTTTCAAAATGCAAAACTTTACAGGGGAGCATGCCCCCGTCCCCCCTACATTGCTCGCACCTTCTGCGCTCGGTCACACTCTCCAAGCATTTCTGGACACACTTGGGGACGTACCAAGGCAGGCGGGGGCACAGGGAACACTAGTGTACCTAGAGCTGTGTACCTAAACAAATTTTAGGTACAGGTACAAGTACAGGTACACAGGTTTAGATACAGGTCCGGACCTGAACCTGTACCTGAACAATTCGACCAATTTATATGCTCTTCTGAACTCATTCAATAACAAAAAAAAACATTAATAAACTTGATAGTTAAGGTTTATTCTTTGTTTATGGCGAATGCTCAGATAAAATATAGGCAAAACTAAGATGTTTTTGTTTTCATGAACACACTGTCCTTACACAGATACCCATTGTGGACCAGCTATTTACACATTTGAGGTCAGAAATAGGCATAAAATTGGTGTGAAATTGTTTAGGTACAGTACCGGTACTGAGGGATTAGGTATTTTGGACCTGTACCTAATCAATTTTTCCGGTACAGTATCGGTACTGCGTACCGGTACACAGCTCTAAGTGTACCTTTAATGCACACTTCATTACATATACTTCGTCAGCGATCACTCTTTCTCACCACAAAACGAATCTAGTGGAGTGCGAAAAAAATTTGTATCAATTTACCGTTAAGCGTTAACGTTACCAACCGTCCTGAATTTACCGTTAAGCGTTGTCGGACCTGCTGAATTTACCGTTAACCGTTGCCAGGACCCCCCCATACAGACCCTCTTACTTGAGGGCCTGCATGCCCTTTTTCGTAAGGCGTAATCAGGTCAGATGCTTACTTCTGATCTTTCTTCCCCTTGAAGACTCTGGCAGGGTCCAGTTTGTTGGTAGGGACGGAGGGGTCAGGAGTGCAGGGGTCAGTCTCCCTCTGGTCAGGCCCCTCTGGGCCTCTGTCCTGCATGTCCAGCGCAAGCCTACCTGGCGCATACATGTTAAACCATTGCTGCAGGTGGGAAAAAAAGAATTGTTTCAAAAGTTAAAAATGCAAATGTGCAGCAAGTTGTTGACTGACTTTGTACTTATGTATACAAATACTTGTTTTATGTGTTTGTACTTATTGTAACTGAACTTATCTCCATAAATAAAGAGGCTAAAGAGTTTCTCAAGAAACTCAGAGGTACAGCTGTGACCTAGACTTAATCAAGCTCCTGGTAGCCGCCCCCCCCCAGGTTGGGGTGGGGGTCATTAACTCCCAGCTGAGAGCTTGTGTGAATAGAGTAAAATCATGAGTTTGTGGTGCAGAAATGACTGTGAAAACCAGGAAAATAAAAAAAATGCAAAAATAATCAGGAATTACAGTACTCAGTATCTTGTTTTAGAATGCTCAATATGTTAACCTCATTTTGCTTGTTTTTGATGATTTACAGTATTACGGGCACTTCCAAGCATGATTTCTGAAAATTGAGGAGCATGTGGCTGTCATTCATATTTAAAGTTACTGAACACTTTTACCTTAGCCTGTTGACTGAGACCTATGTCAGTGAAGACGTACTGCCACTGTGGCAGACCCAGGTGCATGATCATCATCCTGAAGTAGTGAGTGAAGCTGTCAGTCAAGAAGTTCCACCTCAGGGCACGGTCCAGGAACCAAATCTCCATCCCCTGGGCTGGCACTCCTGAATGTTATTTCAAACATAAATGCAAATGACTATTTTTTAGTGTACTGTGTTTTGCTATTTCTAAAATATTCAGTTGGGCCTAACAAATTGTTAGAAATTGGAAAAGATTGTCAAAATAATTTCTTTGATGAGCAGGGCAAAAAGAGATGGCAGACTTTGCCCCTTACCCATACTGAAATGGGAAAGACTACATTTGTAGTATCAAAACCACCAAAAAGTATGGATGTCAAACATGGAGCCAAGTTTGTGAAGTCTATGACAAAACAATGAAAGGCCAAGAAAAGGAGGAACAGCAAATACAGACACAGACAGACAAGCCAGAAACAGTCACCCTTTAGCTTTGCAAGGTTGTAATCTGAACATATTTCTATAAACTGAAAGGAAAATTATGTTTCCTACCTGGTTTTGTGTTCTTGAAGACAAGGCACACTTTTCCAGTACCCTCACAGGGGTCAAGCTCAAAGATGCGACTACGGCTGTCAAAGTGAGGCTTGACTGGTGCTGGAACAACAGGTGTCAGTCAATATGATGCAGAACTGAATATCAAGTCTATTCAATACAAATTAACTATAGAGATTAGTCTAGTTAATATGTTAGTTTAGTTAAGTTGTGCACAATACCGAAAATATGTAGGTGAAGTTGAATAAATAGTAGTATTAGTAGCCACCAACCACCCCACTCCCACAGGTATAGTTGTGCTGCATACATGTGGGTGGATGTGGATGTGTGGGGGTGGGGCATAACCAACATGGGGCATCAATAACATTGTAACAGTAAACACCACTTGTAACCTGATCTATTACCTCAGCCATTCATTACTCCAACATTCAATCAAAATGTCAAGTCTAGACCCTGAGGATTAGTGGGTGTAATTAAAAGTCATGAGGTCAAGGCACTAATAGTAATACATGTACCGGATGTTTGTTTTCCCACAGTGTGATTAAGGTCTCATACGCCAATTTCGCAGTCCCGTAGACTTACACGTTAAAATAGGCCACTATTTTGGCTGTCAATCCAATAAAAAAATCGTATATCAACAGATTTTTTGCTGTCTATACCAAGCACACGTATCATGTAAACGATGAAAAATTTTTTCCCCAATTCTAACCAGGCTTTTAGCTAGGGGGTGTCCAGGGTGTCTTTTGGACGCCCTGTACTGAAAGTAATAAGAAATTGGACGCCCTACTTTTTTGTAGGACACCCTAAAGACGCCCTATTTTTTCCACTCCCAACCCTTGCCATGCACACATGCCTCCCTTCAGCCTTACTATAAATACAAAAATGATGGTTTACTGAAGGAAAAAACTCAAATTTACACCTGAAAATGCAGAAAGTAGTGTTTGAGAGCATTATGATAATATGAATTTCAAAAAAGCCCCCCTAAAATCTTGCACTCAGCATGTCTTCACTGTGCATAGCATACAATAAAAAAAAATGGACGCCCACCAAAAAAATCCTAGCTAAAAGCCTGATTCTAACCGCTAGTTCGATATTTACGTCATGTATAACTGCAATATACCCATGACCCGGAAGAGGCCCTCTTTTGGCTCACTGTGCCCGACCGCAGTACTCAGGTCAAAATAAGCGTATACGTCCGACAATCGCTCGGAAGGCGAAACTTCCCTGCCTGATCCTGTCAGTAATAAACAGGCTTTCACCTCAAATCCTTTTTAGATCAGGTCTGAGTGATGAAAGGGATTTTATGGTGGACCTAAACTCACGCTGTTCGGGCACAATCATTTTTTTGTCGGGACTCTTTTAGACCCTACACGTGCGGAGTAATTGCGGTATGAGACCGTAATATTGGGAAGGTACAAATGTATTACTGTTATCAACAGTGTTAATAGCTTGTTGATAGCTTGTTATGGGTAGGGATGTCTCCAGCTTTAAATATTGCCCGTCCCAGTTATTCTGTCTTTGCAGAATTTTGTATGTCTCTGCTTTGAGTCCAAATCTCAAAGTTACAATTCTTTTATGAACCCTACATAAATCTAAATATTTAAATTATTCTTTGTCAGTGGGAGGGGGGGGGCGAGATCTACATGTATTCAATTGCTGCTGTAAACCTATGAATGTGAATCAACACACCCACCTGTGTCATCCTCATCCTCCTCAGTCTCACTGTCTGAGTCAATATCAGCCAGGGACGGGTTGTTACTGGTCCCAGCAGTGGGGGACGTGCTGTTCAGCTTCTTCAGTTCAGAGATAGAATTGATCTCCATTCTACCCAGCCTCATCAAGACTTCTGTACACAAAAAAAGTCCTCGGTTAGAAGAAATGGATAACAAACATAGTAGTGCATGTACATCATTCAACACAGTTAGTAAATTTATTTGTGGGAAATCTACTCCAGTTATGAACCAGTCTGATTACTGAAGCGCCACCTAGCAGTGGGAAGAAGAACCACAGTAATGCCCTGGAGGAATGTAGCAGGAGGACAACTGAACTGTTGGCAGGTGAACCCTGTCATTTGTTCAACAGAGCTATATCCATTTACAAATACATTGTATATTGCTAGAATACATAAAAAACTGTACTTACCATCAAACTTGATTTTCCAGGTCATCAAAAGTCCATTCATCGTAAGGTAAAAGTTTTTCACATCTTCTGGTAGGATACAGGAGTGTTTCTATGGATTAAAAAAAAAGCACAATTTAGTTTCAAAAATGATATTGTTAGGCTTGGCTGGATGTAAGTTGTATTTCATCATCTGATAATTTATATATATATATATAACGTTATAATATATATAACGTTATAAACCATATTCTACACATGATGTTTTAAGTGTACATCTACACATAATGTTATATATACATGTATGCAATACCCGGAAGCACTGATTAGTTTATAAACAACCATTTCAAATGGTCAGTTTACCGTACCTGCTCCCAGCTCACAACGAGATGTCTTTCTGCTGGCTTTCTCTCTTCTACATGGATGTCGAATACACCTTTTTTCTTTTCTGCAAATAACAAAATGCAGCACGATCATCAATAGATAAGTGATTTCATCATATGCAGATATGGGATGTTGCACATTTTCATAGTTAACTGTACAAGCATATGCCAGTACTAAACTTGATGATACGTTGAATTATGCAAGGAGGTTTGATTAAGACAGACAGAGGCCAACTTTTGTTAACGTTATATTTTTGACACTGACAGGCTAGCCGATTTTTAGCCACTCCTTGGTAAAAGTACATACTATGTCGCCGCATGGTCTGAAATTCAATGAACTTAAGGATTTGCAGTTTACAAATATTCAGGTGGCAGCTTTACACCAAAACAATCTACAATGTACATAGTTTTTTAGATGGGCGCAAAATTGTGTAGCGTAGCAACAGAAACCATGGAGGTAGAAAAAGCTTTTTCTACCTCCATGCAGAAACAAAGCTGGGGAGCTACTTTCCTCACACACTTACCGAGTGATTTCACAACTCCGAACGTCAAGCGATCGAAGACCTCTTTTGGACTAACTTTAGGAAGTTCCTCTTTCTCCGACATCTTGACTTAACCGTAGGCAACCCTTAAAAATTCACAAAACGAATTTATTTGCCAATTTAGCTTCACAAATGGTTCAAAAAGCCGCCATCTTTGTTGCGGTCAATACCCACTTTTGGGTGGGGGTTGAGTATAAAGGTTGGGCAATATGATTTCTTTAGATAAGGCCTAATCGGTGAACAAATATCTTCACATTATAATTTATTCATATAATTGGTCTTGATACATTGACATAGCCGTAAGAATTTTTTTCATGACAATTTTTATCTTTGGATTTGTGGTAATTCAGTAATACCGACCTACCATACTAATGGTTTGGCCCTACCCAGAATGCATGAACTTTTACCGCCACTTCCAAAGTTGGTTTGCAGCTAGCGTTCAGCTGGAATGTAGAAAACATTGTGCTTGTTTACCAGAGTAAAGGGAAAGGTAAACACCCATTTTCATGTTTTTATTCCTGACTTTTTAAAAGACTTTATGCATTAAGACAAATTAAGTTATTATAAACTCTCGCATCTATTATACACTACACTACAGAATGATAATGGGAGGGGGGCATTTTTTTCTTCGTTTTCACATACTGATTGACATAGAGTTGAGAAACAGAAAGAAAAGCACATGAGACCATATGCCGACGTATTACGAAGCGGTGTATTAGAGGCAACAACAACAACATGTTGCTATGCCATGCAGACTAGGTTATGTGAATCATATAACGTCTAAAGGTACTCACTGTTCAATCCCCCCATGCAGACCTTTTTATAATATTACGAGTGTCATGTAACGTTAGACTTTGTAACACTAACAGGACCAACTTGTCAACATTTCTGTAGGATGCCTCGTCCCAAAGAGGGTGCTCGTCCTATTCTGGCTGAAGTTGGAGACAAGGTTTTTCTTCGGATCAAAGAGTATGAGGAGTAAGTCTGATGACTTGTTTGAGTTGTGTTCTTCTTTTCTATATAGTATTTTAGTGCAGTACATTTCTATGTTTCAGTGCCTATAATTTGTGTTTATTCCACGGACAGAAATTGTGGTATATATCTTTTGAGTCACTGAAAAGTTGACTTGTTGTTATCCCTAAACATTTTGCAAGGTAGACATGGTATTATACAATTCTACAGTATGGATATAACGTTATCTGTTTCCTTTTCTGGCTTCAATTCTAGTGCCACGATCCAGAAGCGAGGTCAGATAGTGAGTGACACCAGAAGGTACTTCTGTCAACTGATCGATGTACTGATCACAGACCTTAACTCAGGTAAGTGGTCTACAGGAATTTGCATTGAAATTATGTAGATCATTTAGTTGGCTACATCTTACATTTGACTACTGTTCAAAATCCTTTTTTTCTGACGTCTACCATAGTTATTGCAATTTTCTGACATCTGCAAATTTTACCTGCAGTTTGAAAAACCAACAGTTATCAAACTTGCCTACAACTTTTGTGACCCGATTAAACCTATGTTGTCATCATACATAAAGTCATATACTTTTGATACAAGCTTGTACTAAATTTGTATGTTTCTTTACTCACTCACTACACTCTTTCACTTCTGTCCTGTTACTATGTTATCATGTCATCAATATTATGCAGCAATAAATAATCAGTTCTTTCTGATTTTTCCACAGTTTCTCAGGAGCTCAGTAAGACGTCTGGTGGCATGCCGCAATGTCAGATGCTTCTGCAGTTCATCAGACATGGAGTGGACAACTTCCCCTGGCTGTTTGTACAGGAGAGGGTGTCCTCAGATGACCCCACCCCAGACATGTCTCAGACCAGGGCAGACCTGACACAATCACAGGATTCATACTCATACAGTGTTTCTAAAGGTCTGTTTTTGTTGAAAAATGGACAATAACCTTCACTCAACAATGCCACTCAACTCATATCAATAACAGACACTGACATACGAATATTGTATTATTCAGTATGAATTATAGGCAAGAATATGCCATGATGGCATTTCCAGTGATGGCATCCCTCTAGTTGTCAGATATATAGACAATGCAATCATAAGGATCCAGGATTTAAGGTGATTTATGGTTGGTGTTGTTGTCTTAGAATCATAAGGTTCAGGGGTCAAATCCCTAGCACACCTCGATGCTAGACACTTCACAGGTCCCTCTTAATTTCTTGCTTGACTCAAATGAGAACCTAGTATTGGTTAAGGACTCTTAGATGAGTCTAAGGTCCAGTCTACCATACTTATCATTAAGATTTAGGGGTCCATCCTAGTATGGGTATATCAAACCTGTCCTATCTTCAGGAGCAAGTACTAATGGTACAAACTGGAGTCTGGTTATGCTTAAATAAACAAAGCAGTTTTTGATTTTACACGTACATTCCTTCAGGCTTCACCTGCTGGGTGATGTGTCACCTGCTGCGTCTGCTGGCAGAGCCGAAGTGTGAGCCCCTCCACACCATCTCCCTGGACATCCTGACATCGCTCATGCAGCTCATCCGCATCAAGGACATCTTCATGTACCAGGAGTTGGCCACCGAGTTTGTTGCTCTTATCGGGAGTAAGTGTAACAACATCATTAACTTCATTATGTGCATACCATTGTTTGAGAAACATATTTACACATATGTATTAACTGGAATTTTTTTTGCAGCTTTGTAGGTGTAATACTAGTATGCTATATTTCTTGTACAAGATTTCAGCAACTCACAATCCACTGTCTGTTCTATCAGGCTTGATAAGCGTAAGCGAGACCGTCTTCAGATTTGGGGAGATCACTACAACAGACCAACCCGTCCGCCTGGGGTATTTCATCCAGGAGGAGGAGACGAGTACACCTGGGAGTCAGACCATGAAGGATGAACCTGTCAGCATCAGGCATTTTGCAAATCTGTACCTGTTGCAGATTGCACTGAGGTAAGTGTTCCATTCAAAAGAGGCGTGAAATACAGGTCTTGCATATACAGGTGACAGCAGGTAAAATTGGAGTTACCGCTAGGCATGTATTTTTTATGTCTACCTGCACCTAACCTGCACTGGGCCATAATTAGTGACATACAGTAGTGGACCAAAATGCAAGATTGTTGTACATTGTACATGTAGTATGAACATCTTTAAAAACAAAAAAAAGTAAGCAGTGCAATTACAGTTTGTCTGGTGCAGGTACAGTAATTTATTTGACCTTCACCGTTGCAGTATTTCAAGCTCTGCTAATGTAACATCCTTGTACTGGACATGAGATATATATTAAGGTCTCAAATTAATGTTGTTATATATGTCTTAGCCGCCTGATTGGGCACCTGATACCAGAGTTGTGCCAGTTCCTAGCCCACCACGTGCCCCTGCTGTGGGCAGGACTGTGCTGTCAGCTGGAGGTGGGAGGACCTTCCCTCAAAAAGGTGTGTGATTCATTCATTCAGTTGATCATTTGTTCATTCATTTCTTCACATTAAGCAATGGAATTCAGGGTTTAAAATAGTTGCTTTTCTCAGGTTGCCCACTGAGCAACCAATGCCAAATACTAGGCTGCCCATCAATATTTGCATGGTTGCCATCAACAGCCAGGCCACTTGTTAAAGGTGCCCTAAGCAATATCTGGGCTTATCTCTCACATGCTTGCCGAGGCTGGATACAGTTTATTTCAGAAGCCGTAAGCTGAGCCTCTGTAAAGTCAGCATGATAACTTCAGCATTGGACAACCTAGCAATCTCCAACAAGTCTCACACAGAATACATGACTTGTGTAGCAAGAGTGCGAGAGTGTTCATTTCGAATACTGGTATTACAATACAAAGTAAATAATTCAGGAATACACTGTAGCTGTAGTAATCTACTGTATTGTACATGCATCTCAGCTACTACAGTCAAACCTGTACTAGCGGTCACCTTTGTATAGTGGTCACTCGGCCATAGCGGTCAGTTTTTGCCGGTCCCTTGAATTTTTCCCATTGACGTAAGCATTAAGAATCGTGTCTATAGCGGTCACTGTTCAACGCGGTCAGCGGTCACCCCATTCCGGTCCCGCCGGCATGTCAACACCGCCGATAGCGGTCGCGGCTGGCCGTAACCCGCTAAGCACCACGGCCGTAACACCACCCCACCTCGGGCTACGACCGTTATGAGCCTTGTGATAATTTTCCGATCGCTACATTACTAAAATGTGAACTGAAAATTAAACTCCAAATGTGTATGAAATAAAGGAAAACTGGCTTTTGACACGAAGTTTCTGCGGTCGCGGGTGTCTTTGATATCTGCGTTTTCCCCAACACCAGTGCCGTGCGTGCCGCATGGAGCTTTCAATGGACTCGGCCGCTCGGCGAAGATTACGGCAATTATCTTTACAAAAAAACTTAAGAATATCCATATTTGGTTTCTCGATTCCTTGAAATGCGTAGATATGTGCATAGCTTCCGTTTTTCATGAGCATAATTCAAGAAATTTGGCTCGAAAATGCGTTTCGTATTTTTCCAAGATGGCGCATGTTATCTGCAGAGGGAGGTCAATTGGGGTCATCGGAAGACTACACTGTTATGGAGGTAGATACACCGAGTTTTATTTAACTTTATTAGCGTCAAATGATGTAATTGCATTATGAAAACATTTGAAATACATTACTAAAAGTAATTTTAGATGTAAATTTAACACTGTAGTGGGTATTTTAGAAAAGATATAAGTCTAAAAGGAGAAAATTTTCTGTTGACTACCACATTGGCATAATGGTAGAGGCAGACAACTCACGCGGGGAGAAACCCAAGCCGTAAACAAAGGAGAGTTTTCGCTAAGTTTTCATGTTCAAAAACGACCAAAAACGGAAAGTAACTGGCAACTGACGAACAATTATTTTGCTGTTAACTAAATAGACAGTATCTTGGTACAAAATAACTTATTTACGTGGTTGGAATTCGCTGTGGCGTATGTCGGTCGCGCGAAGCAAGTGTTCACCAAAGAGCAAAAACATGGCGATGTCGTTCTCTTCCACTTTTCGACTAACAACAACAACTACTAGTAACGTGGCGATTGCGGAGAAACGATGGCGACAGCGGAAAGACAGACGCCGAACTTATTCCAAAAGGTGGAAGTGATCCGACTGGCAGAGTGAGCTTGAAGAAATCGTCGAAAGCTGAGCTTAGATTAAATGATTTTGCAGTCGATAGAAATTTGTTTGGAGTTGAAAGTTTGTTGCTTGATTTGCTTTCTTTTCTTTAGCCACATGTAGTACTAGTATGTACACAAGAACAGTAAATGACAACCAGTGATTTTGTATGTTTTAAATTATGTGAATGGTTTCATTGTCCCAGAATAGATGAACTGAATATGTTGAGTGTATGTATCTTTGATGTCAAGTTAATTATTTTTCCATGCAATATTTCTGTATTTATTTTTTTTTTCAAGCAAGTACAAAATAAAGTACAACTAAAGCAAAAGAACAACAAATTATTGAACTAAGACATGTACATATAAAAGGGGTGTACCTTTGCAAATGTATGTATTCATATGTTTCAGAATAAAGACATCACTGTTGGTACTCAAAGCATGTGTCCCTTTTTTTGGGAGGGGGGTCAACTAACCGGCTGTTTCTCTATAGTGGTCACCTGGCCATAGTGGTCAAATTTGGCCAGTCCCTTGAGTGACCACTATAGGCAGGTTTGACTGTATATAATATGGTTTACCTGTTGTAGGAGTCCCTGACAGTGCTGACTAGCCTGATGACCCATGTTGGTCTGCCCTCTGCCGGTATGCTGGATTACCTGATAGGGTGTGTTCTCTCCCTGCTCAAGCTACTGGCAACAAGGGGAGCAGTTTCTGAAGGGTAAAGTACCATTCAATTTTCTTTTGTATCTAAATCTTACCAGTTTTATATTTCTTTGATGATATTACAAAATAAATGTATAGGAAACATTTTTTTGTGTTCAAAGCTATGTAACCTTGGCTGCATACTTCTTCTTATATCTGTGAGAAAGATTTCATTTGAGGATGGCTGTTTCATGTGTATACCTTATAAAGGATAATGCAATGTTGTAAATGCCTTACCAGGGATGTTGCAGGCTTGGAGAGAAGACTTGCAGGGTGCCTAACTGCAGTGTACCAGGTAGATGAACAGACCAACCAGCCTGTCCACTGTATCCCTCCACATCATGTCTGTGCCACACTGGAAGTGCTGTCTGGGTTGCTACCTGGGAATGGGTTGGAAAATCTACAAACTAAGGTAAAACACTTTTATGTTGAAACATGTTGAAACCATGAATAAACTGATCCTGTAAGCCCACTAGTACTCACCCTATGACTTGAGCACCAGGGTCAAGATATAGCCTGGTCAGGGTCTTGCAAATGCTAGACTCTGTTTTTGGCTGAACTGGTGAAATCAAACTTATGATTGTGTAAGCATGAAAAATATTGCAGGGCAGCATTTGTAACTCCTGCTTCTTCCATTGAGTCAGTTACATGTACATGTAGTCTTCACTCACAATGACTACAGCTCATCTAGATCTCAATCATGATGTTCCTGACTTCAGAGGAAAAGTCCATCTGTCCATCCTATTCATGAAACCTCTAACACTGAAGTTGCCCTAGGATCTTGTTGCATGTTGATAATGGATTAAAAGAAGGTCTGGATCTGTTTAGTGCATTTTATATTGCACCTGTCTTACAGTTGACCTCCATAGGTAGATTTCACATAATCTGACAGTGAAAATGACACATAATCCTTGTCATGACTAGAAGCAGGATATAAACTGTAAAATGTAGTGACTGTTCAGTTCAGATCTTGTTTATACTTGAATCCTGTCAGGAGTTGCGGTACTGTGTGTGTAGCTTACTGTGCTACATCTACAGACATGTGCCTGAGGGTTATGAGGGGTGTGTGAGTCTGAGGCAACACCACCTGCAGCAGGCTGTCCTGGGGCTGCTGCAGCACCTGGGGACAGCTGCACACCTGGGAACAGCTGCAGGGGCTCAGCAGGTAAGGAATCACTTTGGGTAAAATTTGTATCAAGTACATGTAGCTTAATAGTAAACTAGACAATTCCTGCAATGTTTGTTAATTTTTTTGCCATGAGGTGACTTGTCTTGAGGAGTCTTTAAGTTCAGTTTCTTATATTGCACAGTATCTGGTGTCATGCCTCTTTGAGGCCATTCGTGAGAAGATGCCTCCTGGCAAAAGTGAAGATCCTGCACTTCAGCAGTCTCCTGCTAGAGGGCTGGGTTTATCCGACCAGGAAGGTATCAGCAGCGGGGATGAAAAGGTGGAAAGGAGGGGCAAGCTGTCTCGCAGGAGAAGTCTGCTGTCAACTCAGAGTCAGAGGTATACATAATTTATATCTGTGTTTCGATACAGCCTTATTATCTATACCGTATATTAGGCTGCAAGTGACTTGAAAAGGCATCCTCAGTCTGAGGTCAACCGCTTAACCTTGAAAAAAATGGAATCTTTTTTACAGGGCAACAAGCAGCAAGGAGCAAAAGTACACTGGTGATTCACAGCCAACAGAGAAGCCAGAGGTCCACCAACTATTGGATAAGAAGTTGCAAGAGCTATGCCTTCAGTTGCAAGAAGGACCTACCAAGGTAAGCTCAAAGATGATTTCTTGATATTTTCCTTTAGAAGTTCAAATATGGAATTTGTTACACTCAAATGTATACTTGTTTTGTGAGTAAGATGTACGATTCCTACCACAATGTAACACATGTAAATTTAACACTTAGGCCACACCAATTTAATTTGTTGGTTCTCGGATTTTTTCAGAAAAAATATGAAGCGACAGGGCGAAAAAAAATAAAAATAAAAACAGGTCTAGGCATCCTAATTATAGGCTTAAATGCTGCAAAATGAGCCATGAAGTCAACACAAAAGGCTGGGTTAAAATTTAAACATTGAATTTTGAACTTTTAATCAAACCACTGCATTGATAGATGGGAAAACTGTAACAACTTGGAAGAAAAGGACTTTCCTCAACTGTTGGGGGGCAAAACATGAGCATTTTTGAGTTGATTCAGGACCAGAATCAATTTTTTTTTTTTTTGCAAATCAGAAAAAAACCAAGAGGCCAATCCGAGAACCAACAAATTAAATTGGTGTGGCCTTAGAAAAAGATGAATACATTGCATTGGAGTTGAAATAAGTGCCAGGTATGGTGCCTTGATAATGGAACTCAATTGTATCAAATTTCCTATTTGCAGGAGACCATGTTAGGCCTGTTGGAGGGTATCAGGGTTGCTGTTGAAGTTTCAGTGAGGTGTGCAGCAAGTCGAGGTATTGTCAGGGAATGGCTGCCTGCCAACTACCTTCAGAACTTGTGCAGCGTGTGGTTCACCACATTAAAACAGGCACCAACACTGTTGTCAAAGGAAGACCTCAAGGACTGTTACCTTCTCGTGGTTCAGTCGATAGGGGCAGTGCTGTCTGTATCAGGTAGGATGATGGTTTGGGTTTCAAGTCGCTTTGAGATGTACCTTGATGTATTTGTTTGTTTGTTTGTTTGTCTGTTTTAGGATCTCTGATTGGAAAGTGGAAATTTGACATTCTTGCTGTGAATAGTGACAAGATCTTAACCCAGTCTTGTTAACAAATTACATCTGAAAACTTGCTTTTCCCTTCAGATTTGTCTGCATTTGGAGGGGAGAATCTACAGTTCATGACTTTGGTGCTGTCTTTTCCATGGCTGCTGGTAAGTTGTTAGTACCTATTAGTTGACAGTTTGTTGTTCACTGACATAGGCACAACTTGCACATTATTCTTATTAGCACCATTCTTTTAACGCTTACATTTTCCAGTTTTTATTGCCAGCACAGTTTTAAAGTTACATAACACTATTGTTGTACCCTTCTACTTCAGGAGGATCAGAACTGGTTGGATCTCAGACCTACTGGTTACTGTTCTACAAAAGAAGCAGCTGAACTGTGTGGACAATTTGCTGATACTATAGGTGAGTATGATTCACATTTAGGAATCTACATGTATGCTCGGCATGAGTCCAATATATTAAGAACAAACCAAAACACTGTTGACTCTGAAATTTCTTTTGTTTTTTGTTCACATGTATGTTTCTTTGTAGCTAAGTTGCAGGATAATAAGACAGTGATGTGTCTCTAATAGTGTGTGCAAAGACAAATGGATACAGGTGATCATTTCTAACTTTGTCATGTTCTTGCACAGGTGATGAAGTTAAGTCTCTCTGTGTTCAGCTCTTGGCTCTTGTTCCAAGAGAGGTAGCTCCCAAGTGGAGAATTCACATCATGAAGGCTGCACTGGTATGTTGTCATATCATTCAGAAAGCTCTTTCAAGCGTCAGTTACTTTTACATTTGTCTATATAAAGTAATCTCACTATGATATTATCTACTAGGATATACAAGTATGCCTTGCTATCTATCTTATTCTAAAAAAAGTGACATCATTTCGTTCATATGATTCTTGATAATATATCATATATGATTCTTTATAATATATCATATACATGTACTTACAATCATTTGCTTATCCACCATTTTGTATGTTAAAAAATGCTGTGTTGGCAATACCTACTAAGGGGCCAAGTCTTTTTACTGAATACTTTGTGTTTACAGAATGACAGCAGTGTCCAAGTACGGATCAGTCTGGTGAAATCCTTCCCCATACTCCTGCACACCCTGGGCCACAACTCCCACCATCTGGTGTATGATATACTACAGTAAGTTGTTTGTATGGCATAGTGTGCAAGAGTTCTACTCATTTTTGCTTTGTGATGCAGTACGTAGAGTTGCTCCAGCTTTTGTACAGGCATGTTGTATTGTTGCTGAGGAATCTAGTGTAGAATTATAAACCTGGCATAAAAGCCTGTTCTCATTCAAATGTGCAAAATGCTGTCACCACTCTTTACAACTAAATATGAGCCAAATCACGGACCTCATCATTGCTGTCTTCACTTTCCCACTACACTATCTACTAGTATGTTGCCCGAAAAGTGTACCACAACACAGCATTTGGCTGATGACTTTGAAGAAATTATAGCCCCGTGTTTGGAGAGATCTGCAACCTGCGTTACCTCAGATTACCTGTAACCCTCGAAAGCTTTTGCCATTTAGAAAAAGCTGTGGAGACACAGAAAAGGCATTAAGACAAACTTGTGTAACCCTGACAGATTCATCTTTTTTCCATCCAGCCCCCTGATCAGAGACAAGGTACCAGAGGTACTCCAAGCCATCTCCTCTGCACTGGGGCAACTATCCTGTGTGGTAGCAAGGTCTACTCACTTATCAAGGTGAGTTGTACATGTACCTAGCAGTACAAAAATAGTCTAGTTGAAATAGATTATATGAATGTTACGTGACAACAACTTTGAAGATGATTTCAACTGTGCAGAAACAAAATCAGGCATACGGCATGATAGCAGCTGGTTATATTATACCTTCCCACGTCTAACTCTAGGCTTTATTTAAAGGTATTTGTTTTATTTTAACCCTCAGGAACAACTCCAGTGATGATCATCTGTACACTGTTACAAGGTTGAGCTGCTCTCTCTGCCAAAAGAAAGGTCTGAGTTCTTTTACTACTCTCTTAGTGTAAGATAGTTGATAAACAAAAGTTTGTATTAGTCTAAAAATAGATCAACCTGATCTTTCCTTATATTTATTTCATTGTTTGGTAATATATGTCACTTGTGTTTGTGTGTCATGGTACAAGTACTCTGACTTTAGAAAACAAATAAAATAGATATATTTAGATGAATAAAAAAGACATACTAAAAGTACTTGTAGCTTGTGCTCATCATATATGTCTTACACATCACTTGAACATGACCAGATGTAACTGGACATCCAGCCAGTGGACATCCTGTGGACCCGTCAATGTTCCTGCCTTTCACCCAACTCTTACAGAACAAGGATGAAGCCGTCAGGACTGGTAATGTTCTTTGAACTGTTAGGATGAAGTCAGAATACCGGTAGTTTGCTGTTGTGTACATGCTTGGCTGAATATGCGAGCACTACTACTTGCTGGTGGACGCTAGTGGATGTACCAACGGTTGAACCACTAAGTATCTAATACCAAAACAGAACAGAACAGCCATGCCTTCAAATATCAGAGTTAATATTAACCAAGAATTTAGGTGTTCAAAAACTTGTATTTTCCAAGAACTGTCGTAGAGTGGAACTCGTTGCCACCAAGCACAGTTGGGGCATCATCACTCCTGCAATTAAATGTGCAAAGATTGGCTGTAACAAGTCGTTCAGTGTAATATAGTCTAGCTGCTGCCACACTGCTTGCCTGCGAAGCTGGTGTGTTACGCTCAAGCATGGTTATACTGGCTATACAGATACAGGTACAGATACTAGCTACATTTTTTAGGATAACTGCTTTACCTTTGACCTGCAGGAATGGTCCAGTCCATCCCAGAGTTGTTCTACCACATCCGAGTGTCAGCAGACGTCCCTGCCTCCATGTCCCTGCTGCAGAACTTCCTCTCTCCAGTGGAGGACATGTCTTATGATGTCAGAATGGCATTCAGGTAGCTGTACATGACTGCTGCTGTGTGTTCAGTTGGTCCATAGCAAATATACATGACAAACAGCTAAACATTGTTGGACAACAACAAAAAACTCTCTTCAATACACCTTTGAAATGCCTTCAGGTTGAGTTTTCATCACATGTTGTAGTAGCAGTTGTGAAGCTTATGTTCTTGGGTTGTGTTTTACGATAATTTTTAAAAATAGATATACATGTAACTAATGTCACTGTATTTCCCAGTTTCTTAAACATATGCTAGTGTAGTAAAAGCACTGACAGCTGAATTGTGCTCCAGTAAACAGGTTGGTCACCTGGCCCGAGGATGGCTGACTGATGCGTCCAGCCCCCTGGTGGCCAAGCTGAAGTCTGCATACCTACGAGCATACAGCAGTACCAACTGTGTTCCTCTTCAGGAGACAGTGGTCCTGACTATTGGGCAGCTGGGCAGGTCAGTGTGGCAGGACTGGTATCAAACTTGAATGGAATTTGCTACATGTTCTAAATGTATATATAAGTGCAGCATTTCCTTTCTTCCTGTAAATGCCGCAATTTTGAAGCAAGGTCTGACTTAAATTTAAGGATTTTTTTAGATTTGAAGTGGTTATGACACCAAAATAAACATTTTCTGATTCTATTCAGCAATAACAATAATTATTCAATTAACATGTTTGTAATAAATTCTAAACTCTTCTGAATTACAGGTTTGGAAATGTATTTGCACATACATGGAAGGGTGAATTGCAAAGCTAACTTGTTCATCATATGTTTTACTACACCCTACTCACATGTTTTACAGGATAGCTGAGGGTGACCTGTTTGGAGTAGTGCTGATAAACCTGTTGATCAGTCTGGTGTCCCTGTCCCCTGTGCTGGCAGCACTGGCCTACAGTCAGGTAAGTAATAAGGGGGCAAAAGGCTCAGAGGAAGAAAACTGTGCATCAATGATCAGCCAATAATGCACACATGGGAACAATGTCAGTGGCAGTTTGAATTGGCTATATGATCACTATAACATTAATGGTCCACTTTTCTGTGTTTATGATGCAAAGCACTGTCAGTGATATATAAATAATGAATAAACCGCAGAGTGAGTGGTTTATTAACCTAAATTATTATAGACATTCAGGCCTACACAGGCCTACACAGGCCAAGCAGGCCTACACAGGCCAAGCAGAGAAACTACTAAACCTAATGGATAACCACGGGTTATTTCAAACAGTCCAGGAACCAACTAGAAATGGTAATCTCTTGGACCTGGTCTTAGTTAATAACCCCAACATAATTGAGAAGACCACAGTAGTCCCGGGGATAAGTGACCACGACATGGTTCTAGTGGACGTTAACCTGGCACTGAAACAAAACAGGAAACCTAAGAGAAAAGTGTACATCCGCACAAAAGCCGACGAACCAGCCATTAAGAAAGACCTAACGGATTATGCAACTAACTTTCACAAAAGAACTCAGGATATGTCAGTTACACAGAAGTGGTCAGACTTCAAAGACAAAATGAAAGACACGATGAACAAGCACATCCCAAGTAAGATAACATCAAGCAGATACAACTTGCCTTGGTTCAACAGAAACCTAAGGAGGCACTGTCGTAAGAAGCAGCGGCTCTATAACAAAGCTAAGAAAACAGGCCAAAAGGAAGACTGGAACAAATATAAGAGAGTTAAGAAGGGAGTTCAGAAAAGCATAAGACAAGCACACTCTAAATACGTGGCAGACATACTGGGAGAAGCTATAGTTGACAAACCCAAAACATTCTGGTCGTACATAAAAGGACTGAGGAAAGACCTTGTCGGGGTAGCACCCCTAAAGGTGGGAAATACCATCATCAGTGACAGCGGGAAAAAAGCAGAAGTACTCAGTTCACAGTTCAAAAGTGTTTTCACAGAGGAAGACACCACAGATATGCCATCTCTAGGTCAGCCCTGTACTCCTCCAATGGAACATATAGTAGTTTCTACTGATGGTGTCGAAAAAATGCTTCAAGGTCTCAATCCCTCTAAAGCATCCGGACCAGACCAAATACCACCGTGGTTCCTCAAGTTGACAGCTAGTGAAATCGCGCCTGTTCTAACCAATATTTTCCAACACTCGCTAAACACTGCAGAAATCCCTAAAGATTGGAGGGATGCAAATATATGCGCCATCTTTAAAAAAGGAGATAGAGCGGTCCCCAGCAACTACAGACCTGTTTCACTGACCTGCATATCCTGCAAACTACTTGAACATATCATCCATAGCCAAATCATGAAGCACCTAGAAAGTTACAGTATATTAACGGATTACCAGCATGGATTCAGAGCCAAACGATCCACAGAAACACAGCTTATACTAACAGTCCATGACATAGCTGGCGCACTAAACAGTAAACGGCAGGTAGATTTAGCAATACTTGATTTCACTAAAGCCTTTGATAAAGTCCCCCATGGCAGGCTCATCTCAAAACTGGAGTATTATGGAATCCAAGGCCCTACGCTGAATTGGTTAAAGGCTTTCCTGACCAACAGGGAGCAAACAGTAGTGGTTGAAGGGAAGGCGTCGGCTCCAGTTAAAGTAGCGTCTGGGGTCCCTCAAGGAACCGTCCTGGGGCCATTGCTCTTTCTCTTGTATATAAATGACCTACCAGATCAGCTTGACTCAAATGTGAGGTTATTTGCCGATGACTGTCTATTGTATGTAGAGCTTTCTACACAGACCGACTCACAACTTCTCCAAAAAGACCTGAACACCCTGGAAGAATGGCAAAGCAAATGGCTCATGCAGTTTAATCCCGAAAAATGCTACATTATGCACATAACAAACAAACGAACACCACATGCAACTAGCTACCAGTTTTGTGGTCAGGCTTTAGCAACCACAAAAATCCATCCGTATCTGGGCGTCACGCTGACAAGCGGACTGAAGTGGGGTGCACATGTTAATAATATCACAACTAAGGCGAAACAGACATTGGGAGTGATTAAACGTAATCTGTGGGCATGTCCAACGAGAGTAAAATCACTTGCATACACGTCACTTGTAAGACCGAACCTAGAATACGCTGCGACAGTATGGGATCCATATACAAAGAAAGACAAAGACAAATTGGAAAGGGTACAGAATCAAGCTGCAAGATTCTGTATGAACAACTATGTAAGAGGTGCTAGTGTCACGGAAATGAAAAGAAACCTACAGTGGACCTCACTTGAAGACAGAAGAAAGATGTCTAGACTATGCATGATGTACAAAATGACTAATAAACTGGTGGATGTCCCAACTACTAAGTACCTAATACCAGCCCAGAAGAGAACAAGAAATAGCCACGCATTCAAGTACCAGAGTTATCAACCAAGGATTGAGGTGTTCAAGAATTCATTCTTTCCTAGAACTATCGCAGAGTGGAACTCACTGTCACCAAGTACAGTAGGGGCACTGTCAATAGATAGCTTTAAACAATGTCTAGAGCTAGAAGTTCAAGGGTTAGGTGTAACAAGTCGATCGGTGTAATATAGCCAGCTGCCGCCGCGCCGCGTGCCTGCGAAGCTGGTGTGTTACGCCGAAAGGCGGTTATACCGGCTATACAGATACAGATACAGACATATGCAAGATATGAGGAAAACAGTAGGGAAATGCTATGTCGGCAGGAACACTTTTAGTCGAGTATGTCTTTATTGTGACCTTATCATCACACTCACCTTTGTTTGATGTTTTTTGATTTGTTACTTTCACAGATTCATGACATTGCGAAGGTCAGGAAGACAGACCTCACTTCCCTTCTCACCAAACAGAGGCCCATTATTTGTAAGGTAAGTAACTAGTAACCAGTACAAGTTTAATATGACTGTACAAAATGTACATGAAATCACCTTAATTTTGTACTGTAAGTAAAAGCTGTGTAAGACCAAAGCTATCAGTTTGATCCACTCACACCAGGGTGGACCACTATAATTTACTTTTTACTAATGACTATAAACATATAAGGATGCAACAACATAGCAAAATGCAGTTATTGTTTGTTGCTGTATTTTCAGTGGTTGTCAGAAGTTCTCCATGACTCCCAGAGTTCTGACGGCAGTTCTACATGTAGGCTGAAAAGTCCTGCTGGTATTTTGAGTGAGGTAAGTAAAATAATTAGCAAGAGGAAATACTTACTGTGTTGATTTATGAAATATTCATTTGACAGAAATTGGTAACAAAACAATATTTCTTTCAGCTTTCAATGCTGTTACAAGGCATGAGCCTAAATGTTTTTGCCAGAAAGTGAACTATTTTGATAACCAGTTAAAACCTGCTTGCCTTGAATCATCATAATGATTCTGTCCCTTGTCAGATATTATGTTTTCTGTCTATTACAGGTGGCCAGTGTCTTCAGTTGTGAAGATGTGAGGAAATTTTTGTCTGTAAGTACAATGTATAAAGTAAATGGTGTACATGTTACTAGTATATCCTCACTCTGCAAGGTTACGCTTTCAGTACTGTTTGTTTGTGGTTGGGTTTGCTTGCAGATAGCATAACTCAAGAAACCGTAGATAGATTCGATGATACATGTATTTGGCATTCTGGTAGGTGTCAGCAAATTAAAGGGGCAAGGTTGGCTAAGGGCTTTCTATGGCACTGCAGTAGCAGTCAGGTTTGGTATCATGTTCTAACATGCTATAGTAATGATTTTTGGGTGGCAGAGATCATACCTAAATATAATTCAGAAGTCACTCTTACATAAGCATCCCCAAACCCTGGAATAATATTGACTGTGACTCCTATGTCTGATCTCTCTTACAGATGTGTCTCCAGCCTCTCCTGCCACAGCTGGTTCACAAGGCCTGTCCTGAAACCTCTGTCATCATCAGACTTATTGCCAAGGAACTGGAAATGGTATCACTTTCCTCTTACACGAAACTCTTCTTTAAATTGAAATGATTTGTCATTCAAATGAAGCAAATTCAAATCACAACAGAATTGTCTGATGATGACTTTTTACATCCACAGAACCGACGAGACCTGCTGATCAACAACTTTAAGTACATCTTCCGCTACCTGGCCTGTAACTGTAAGACTGAGGAGAAGGAGAGGGCACTCGAGTTTGTACAGGTGATATACTGGAGATGTTTTCTTTCTTAATGCAACCAATAGTCTTCTGACAGTGTAGATTGCAGTTGGCCTATATTGATAATACCGATAGCATAATAGTTTAAATTAATATAACCCTTGAGCACTGTATCACCACATGTGGCTGTTCTTGGTGCTGAATGATGTTCATCAACTGCTGCTGTAGCAGTCAAGTATTACATGTTCAAATCAAAGGCATTTGGAAACTTTTGAGGTTTTATTTGCCAGAGAGTGGATGCAAGCAGTATCTGGAAAGGCGATATCCCTGTGATGGTTTTGATATCTGTAGTGTATAGTTGGTATAACTGCCCTTTGGCATAACAGTTCAGAGACCACAGTTTTCAACTGGTTATATCACATGGAAACCAAACTGTATCACCTTACCCTAGCCTTGCACATCTAACCCCAGGCATTGATGTCTTAAACTATAGAATGAGACTCAGATAGAGCTGAGAAGCCTCCTGAGGCAGGACTACCAGGGGCTTCACAACGAGCTGCTCCTCTACATCAGCTCCCACTACAGCCAGGTCTTCGCTGGGCTGGCAGCTGTGGCCGCTTCTACCCGCGAAGGCAAGGGCAAGGGCAAGGTCCCCAGGGAGATCACTACAGCACAGGAGATGGTGGGTACAGGGGGATCACTACAGCACAGGAGATGGTGGGTACAGGGGGATCACTACAGCACAGGAGATGGTGGGTACAGGGGAGGGTCCCAGGGGGATCACTACAGCACAGGATATTTTAGTCAAATTGTGCTCATATATATCTCAAGAGCTAAATGCAAAAAGCCGGATTTAGTCACGAACTTAAATGTTTCATGGTAATATTTTGGATACACTACATGATTATGACTGATATGTGTTGACACAGGCTGAGTTTCTACAGCCATGTTTGTTGGGTATTCTGGCTTTCTTTGACTCTCAGCTGCTCACCACCTCAATACCTATGGAGGACAAGAAGTTGGTGAGACCTCATACATGTATTATGTTCTTTCAACATATTTTCCTACAGGATTATGTGTTTTCCTTAAAACATTGCTGTTGCATAGAACTGTAAAATTTACGCCATCTCACAATTACAGCACCATGGAATTGTTGGTAAGGTAAAATCAGAAGTATACACATGTAGACAAAGCATTGTTTACAAGTAAGTGACCTTAAACTGACCTAGACCACAATACATCACTACTGCACATGTATGGGCATACATGGGCTTATTGATAAAGTACTGACTAGGTGTTGATGTGTCTGATGTGATTTTCTCACAGGCACTGGAGAGTCTGATCACATTGATGAAACTGATGGGACCAAAACACATCACAACTGTGAGAGTCAAAGTCATGACTACACTAAGGTAGATTTTCATTGAATCCATAGTGTTTGGTGCTGAATGATGTTCATTGGCTGTCCTTGATGCTGAATGATGTTCATTGGCTGTCCTTGGTGCTGAATGATGTTCATTTGCTAATTGCTATCCTTGGTGAATGATGTTCATTGGCTGTTCTTGATGTTGAATGATGTCCATTGCCTGTTCTTAGTGCTGAACGATGGCTGTCTTGTAGGGAATGAATTTTATTGGATTCTTAATATGCAGCTTCCTGTTCACTTTTCATTTCTCCACTGTGAGGTTGTAAGGAGTAGAATACATCTAAATGTATGTTATTCTTCTTGCAGGATTTGTCTCAGATTTAAAGTAAAGGGTTTTCCTGAGCTGAGCTGCAGGGCCTGGGACTGCTTTGTGCACAGGTAACACAACTTGAATGTAAAGATTTAAAAAGATATTTTGCATTTGATACATCTTATCTGTACAGTAAAGAAAGTCATGTTAACTTCCTTTCCCAACAACATGACGTCTGGTCAGGAATTCCAGCATTGAACGACTTTTTGGTCCCATGTCTGCTAGCTATCAATACCTCGCTTGTACAGTTATTTTTCAAGACAACCATGCATATGTGAAGTTGAGTTTTTCTGTATGAATTTTTTTTTTATTTTGCGTGGTTGTATTTTCATGCAAAACACTGATCATAAGGTTTTCCTCCTGACATCTGACACAGTGTGGAGTTGTCATCTCTGGGCCCCATGTTGAGTCAGATCGTGGTGACCCTCCTGCCACTGCTGCAGACTCAGGCTCGGTCTGTGGCAGGCATCTTCAACTTCCTCATACAAGACAATAGGTTTGTTGTTTCATTCCGATGATTTTCCTAGATGTTCTTTAAGTAGTATGGATTTATCAGCATGAAGTGGCTGAACTTAAACTAAAAGATAAAATAGACATATTTATAATCACAGACATAAGAAGTATCTGTGATCTTCGTTGTCACGTAGAACTTTGAATGGATTTACACCACTTTGATAATAATAATAATTAGGTTTTATTTTACACCCAAATCTATGTAGAAGGAAAGAAACTGGAAGAGGGAAGGGCCTTCTTTTTACGATGTGTGTTCCTTTAAAAAGAACCTTCAAGTTCTTGAATTTTTGTTAGCATAAAATAATTTGCACAGATGAAATAGACACTGGTATCATTTGCATTGTGCTGTTGAAGTTTTACACATTCCAGCCTGTTGGTTACAGGGAAGCCCTACAGGACCACTTCCATGAACTGTACTTCATGCCAGATCTGCCAGAACTTTCCAAGATCAACACTGTCCTCAAACAACATATAGAAACACCATCCAGGTAAAGGCAGAGGTGGCATAGTGAAGCTGTAATTGCTTGGTCATTGATTGGCCATGTATTATTTCTCTGCTTTGTTTATTAATTATGAATGTCTGATGTACATTGTACAGTTTCTGTAACTTCAGGCAGTAGGGCAACTATGCTTGGAAAAATGGCAACAAATTTCCCTTCCAATTTTGTGGGCTTTGGAGTCTTGGTAAAACATGACAAGTTAGTCAATAGCAGCAAAGTAAACAGTACAATGATATTTTACTAGGGGCTTGTGAAGATTTGTAGATATTGATTCTTGTTTTAATCTTCTATTAGAATACAGTGTCATAAGCCTATACTTGTAATTATAAGTAAATTCAGCCTAAAAAGTATTTTGAGTTGTGTACATGCTTTTTATGTGTGTCATTTAGTTTTAGAGATGTTGCATAGAAGACAAAACTTTCCTTTTCCCAGCCAATCAGACCTGAAGAGTCAGCTGAAGCACTCCCTGAAGGGTCTGGGCCATGAGAGCCTGGATGTGAGGCTACATGCCCTGTCTAAACTCAAGCAACAGCTGCACGCTAACCAGGTGGGATGTAGTCACTAACAAACCCTCCTCCCTGTATACCTGCCAGGGGAAAGTTGTAGAACTGCCTTCAAGTTCAAAAGTAGAATCAAGGCTCACCTCACTGCTGAGTGCTGTACATGTGCTCAAATGAACTTAGTACCCTGTCAAGTCAAACTGGCAACCTAGCTGCTAAGCCAACAAAGCTTAAGGTTACTTTAAGCACAGAAAAAAAGTACTGTTTTACGTGGTATGCCAAATATTCTGTAGAACTAGCATATGGCCACCAGTTGGATGTTGTAGTACATGTACAATCTGTCAAAAGGCTAGATGGCATGAATTCTGCTACAAACAAGGATATGTAAGATAGACTGTTGTATCCTGTTTTTTCCCAGACTGCATTGCATGAGATGGTAGAGGGAAGTGAGACTGCTGATCCTATCATCTCACACCTAGTGTCAGTGGTGAGTCTATTGTAAATATGCAGAATATTGTAAAATCAAATTGATGTATTCAAATATTCTCCTTCTGAAATTAGACATGATCAGCCTAGCTTTTTAAGGTAATGTTCAACATTTACATAAATTATAATTGTGCCTACTTGAGAGGATAACTTAGACTGAGAGAAATGTACTTTTGTTGTCCCAGCTGCTGTCGTCCTGTCGTGAGTCTGACAAGAAAGCGAGAAGTCTTGTAGGGGAGTGTTTGGGAGAACTAGGTGCTATAGATCCAGGAAGGTACTGTGCTACAAATGTGTATTCTATTTCCCTCTAAACGAATACCAGTGAGGTCAACTCTTATAATTCTATAAATGTAACTGTAGATCTTTCACAATTTTTTAACGCAGCAGTCTTTTGAGCAGAGTTATGAGAGTTGATGTTATATCTTTACATTATATTTTATAGCCTGACAATACAATGTATATCAGCTTGTAGTGCAAAATGTAATGATGTTATTGCTCTTGTTTTATTTTGGGGGCCATTGTTCATAGTTTGCTAAAAGGTGAGCCAGAGAAAATTGACTGGAGTTTTGTACAGTGTTGATGTCAAGTTGTGTACACATTTCTCTTTTTGCAAAACTAATTAATGCAAAACTACTACTCATTAGATTGGATCTGAAGGCACATGGGCAGAAGGAAGAACTATCAAACTTCCAGGTATGTTTTTTGTAATTGCTGTTTATTTGATGAATTAAGCTACAGTTCCTACAATTTCTTATTGGTCTAACACCACCCCCTAAAACCTCTGAAGTTGTTAACTTGGTCATTTTATTATTCTTACAGTCTTTTAGTTAGGGAATCAACACATTTTGGTATCTAGGGTCTTAATAAGAGTTTTTTTTATTGAAGGCTGGTGTTGAAGACATCTACTTTGCCCATGACCTGATCATGGAGTTGGCTCGAGCCTTCCTGGCCGCTACTGACACCAGGTCACAGGTCAGGCTTTTTAGATAATCATTTGAAGTTCACTGAGACTTGATTTCCCTGTATGTAGAAGGTGTTCACTGTTTCAAGTTTGCAGTTAAAACTATACAGTGGTACAGTAGCAACACAGAGCACATGTTCACTGTGTGAGAGTCCAACACAAAACTGTTAACATAAAACCACCCCAAACACTATTTGTATTTCACAATGTATGGTTACAAGTATCGTTGTTACTGTTGTAAAAAGATCAATAAATGTGTTTCAGTTTCATAAAATGTCTTTTTATGTAATGTAGTCTGGATGGCTTTGTTACAGTAGGATTATCTTAACTCTTTTTCAACTGCAGCAGTTTTGATTATGTTAACAGACATATGCATACAATATAATAGGGAGTTCCTTACATACATTGTATCTAGTCTGCACTAAGATTTAAATTAAATCATCATGTCGTAAAACATACTGACTTCTTCTTTATCCAGGACTGCTCTGCATTCTCCATACAAGAGATTCTCCAGACATACGAGTGTCGGGAGGGACCAAAAGATACCACAGGGCGGAGGCTATGGAGGGGGTTTCCAGAACACATACAGGAGATTCTTTTACCTCATTTACACTCCAAGTATGTTGGTCACATGACTGTGTAGTGTGGCATATTTTTAAACTATGTATCTAATTAAAAACAAGACTCTTACTATCATTATACTCTGCTGAATAATTTCATATAAGATTATTTGTATTACTTAATATCATGTAAACTCAGATAAGATCCTTGCCTGGAACAGATTTACAGTTTGACAATTTGAGTTGCAGAATGTGTCAACCAGTTACTAAATACTATCTTAGAGGTTCAGCTGAAATACAGTCTGTGGTGTCCAGACTAACCATATTAGTACAGCACAGTACTGTGTATGTTGATTTCAATATGGATACCTTGCCTATATATTTTTTTTAACAAAGTTGAAAGTAAACACCCTTAGTACAGTATGTTAATAGACAGGAAAGTACTAACAAAAGGATTTCCTCCGGTAGGTACATCATGTCCTCTACTGCCACCTGGGCCAACATAAAGAAACCCATCTACCGTAGTAACAAAGGGAGCACCTTCCAAGACTGGGTCTACAACTGGACAGGCTACCTCATCACTAAGGTACAACTGTCTTGTCTACCAAATTCTGAACAAGAATTTCTAAGGGTTTATTAATGTAAGGAAAATACCAATGTAAAAGATATACCATTAAGGTTGGTTCTTGAAGTTGGTCAGTCCTTGGTGTAACATTGACATTTTGGTTGCTAAGCAAAGTTTCAGTGGTCACAATATACATGTAATGTAACTCATGATAAGTTCTAGTAGTCAAGGGCCTCAACAGTGCCACCTTGTGTATTGCACAGGTAAGGCAGGACATGCCCTCCCGTGTGTTCAGTGCCTGTAGCACTGTTGCCAAATACAATGAGACTACAGCACTGTTCCTGCTGCCCCATGTGTTACTGCATGCACTGTTGGATGGCAGCACTGAGGAGAAGCAGGAGGTAAGATGCCACGTATCAAGTCATGCTTAAGTATAACAATAACAACTCCTTATCGTTCAGTTATTCTACCACATTTCAAGTGTTATCTATGGCAGAAAAACAACCAGTGTATTATGTGTTGAACTACCGGGTAGATTGCTTTTCTTGTTTAAAACAAAGTCAATTTGGAAGCGGGCATCTGTTTTCAACACGGTCACATGGTACAATGATGTCACATAGTTTAAGACATCTTCTGTATGTGGTCATTACAGGCATGTAATGAAATCTTGGCAGTTCTGAAGTATGCGGAAAAGATGGAGGAGAAGGGAGCCCAGGACTTCTCCCACATGGCCGCGCAGACGGTGTTCTCAGTCCTGGACCATCTCACACACTGGTGTCGCCACAGACATCTCACCCTGTCAGTACAGAGGGACGATGGGAAAAAGAGCAAGGCCTCAGATAGAGGTAACACAATGAAGAACACTTCTCTAAGATATAGACTGAAATCCATCCTATTTAAGTTACAGTTTGCCCCACTGATTCCTTCCCTACCAAATAGTCTGGCACCAGTTAATAAATCAACAGTTACTGACATTTTAATGTTTACCTGAAATAAGTAAGAGTCTGATTGGCTCTTAGTCACACAATCCTCTGTAAAGGCATGGTAACAGGGATTGAACAGTTGAGTATTTGGAAGTTCAATCCCAGCTATTACACTACATCTGAAGATATGTAACATCTGAACCAGTTAATGACTTGGATGAACATGCGAAGCTTTGAAAGCCTGCAACACTTTGCGCTACGTAACCGGGTAGTTTTTTAAAAAGGATCACACTTCACCTCATTCTTGACCTTTTGCCCTTTCCCGATCGCTAGCTCTCCTGCGAGACGACTCTCCGTACAGCTGTGTGCAGGGTTTCCTGGACCTGATCCCGCAGGACGTGCTGGCTCTGGCATCCTTCCACTGCAGGGCCTACACTCGCGCACTCATGCACTTTGAGTCCTACCTATCTGCCAGTAAACCAGACATAGAACCACAGTTGTGTTTGTTACAGGTGAAACACAAGTTACTTTCATTTGATAGTTATGTTAGGCTGAATTTGTTGATTTCCAGAAGGTTGCTAAATTTCAAAATTGCCAGTCAAGAGTCAAGCATATATGGCCTTACACATTGGACAAGTGTCACAGTGACAATACTTTTTTATGGTTGTTTTTTTTTTTGACAACAGAAGCTGTATGTGGCCATGGATGAACCAGATGGGGTAGCCGGGGTGATGGCCATACGTAAGAGTGAGCCTGACATAAAGGAACAGATCCTTCAGCATGAGAGCATAGGTAAGTCATATCGCTTTGGGATAGTAGTGTGTATATTGGCAGGAAGAATTTCAAAAACACAGAGCAACTGAGAAGGCATCCTAATAATGTAGAGCCCAAATGCTGAGTAGCACTTACATGTAATTCTCAACCTTTTTCCCTATCGCACAGCGTTTTTCACTAGTTAATGTTATTTTGAGAATTAGTGTTAACAGGCTTTGGAGAACTAAGTTATCCATCCATGAAATGTGTTGTAAATCTAATATCTTAAAGCTTGCTTACTTAAAAAAATCTACCACTTTACCTCCCCCAGGTGAACTGCGTGATGCGTCTGCCTGCTACGAGCGAGCGTTACAGACAGAGGCCAGTACCGTGCCTCATCACCAGGGCCTGCTGCGCTGTCTGCTGGGACTGGGACAACTCACCACCGCCATGGTGCACGTCAACGGGGTGCTCGCAGATAAGTCAGTACATTTGGACTAATCTCACCTACATGTGCTTATAGCACCTGTCTTTATTGTATTGTTTGGGCCATGCACTAATGCTGTAACCAATTCCACTGATATCTAATATTTTGTTCTCCTATAGGCCAGAGTGGACTAAAGACCTGAATGCCTTCAGAGTAGAGGCTCTTGGCAGCTGGGCAACTGGGATAGGACTGGAAGACTATCTTAAAGTCTACAATGGAAAGTCTGAGGTGATAAAAAAAGTACATGTACAACGCATGCCCGTAGCCAGGGGGGTTCGGAAGAACCCCCCCACAAGACTCAAAGGTCCACTTTTTGGTCCACTTTTTATGTAAAGGTCCACTTTTTGGTCCACTTTTCATGTAAAGGTCCACTTTTTGGTCCACTTTTTATGTAAAGGTCCAAGATTTTTCTTGAAAAGATGGACTGGAATCGTAGGAAAACTGTTCCCTTTGTCACTGAATAAAAATTTATCTCTGATTTTTTCTTGGAAATCCTCTCAAAAATGCACGAAATGCCATTTTAGAAGGTTCATTTTTCAAAATTTTTCGGGGGAGCATGCCCCCGGACCCCCCTAGGAACCTCACGCCTATGGCGCTCGAGGTCCCCTCAAGCAGTGGGAAGAACCCCCCATTCAAAATCCTGGCTACGGGCATGCAACTTGTTGGTAAAGGACCTCTTGTTAGTAAAACACTTGGTCAGAAGTAAAGTGTACAATGTTATGTACCAGTAAGTGAGATCTAAGAATGTTTTTGTTTTATCCTTCCAGAACAAGGGTTCCAGTAACTGGAGTGTTGGACTAGGGAAAATTCTTCTTGCTGCAAAACAAAGGGTAACATTTTACTCATCCAGTTTTCTAAAGTGATCCTTCAAAAACAGTGTAGGTAGATATCAGCAGCAATTTTACCTGCACTAACCTGCATATGCAGGTGGTATTTCCAGCCTTGTTTTGTAATATAAAATTGAAATTTTTTATATTTCCCACTGCTATAGGATGAAGAAGACTTCTGGCACCAGCTCCAGATTGTGCGGAATGAACAGATGGGACCTCTGTCTGCCGCCAGCATGGAGAGTGGGTCGTACCAACGGGGCTACGACTACATCGTCAGGTGGGTGTGGCAGAGATGTAACTGTTATTACATTTCAGTGAATGATAGCTCATTTAAAGATCTGTTGACCCTCTCAAATTTCCACTGTTGGATGTGTATAGCTCAAAGAAGAGAATACCAGAAGAACATTTAAAATTGATGATAAAACACAAAAATGATGTCAGTGTAAGCTTGAGCTACGAGCCAAATAAGGACACCAAAATGGTGGTCAGCATGCCTGCTTGATTGCTATGGAAAGTGAGTTGTCAGCCGCTGACCGCTCTGTCCTTCCCCCTGCCAGACTGCACATGTTGTGTGAGCTGCAGCATGGTGTGCAGGGACTGCTGAAGCAGGGAGACGGGGGTGAACAGGAGGAGGGGAGTCTGGACCTGGAGGCACGGGCTCGCATCACACAGTCATCCTTCCGCACCAGGGAACCACTCTACAGTCTCAGGAGGTGTATCATCAACATGGCAGGCTGGTGAGGGGATAGGTCTATCCATTGAAATGGACAAGAAATATATACTAAAAGTGAAAGGCTTGAGGGAGAAGGAGTTTGTTTGTAAATGTTCAGAATAGAATATACACGTACCTTGTAGGTTGTATTTGCAATGTATCAGAACTTTTACTGTTGATAAAAATATATGAAACAACATACTTTGTGTACTTAGTGGGTGTGGCTTACTTAGTCTACAGTTATGTGTTTTCACTATATTATGAATGATAATTAGACATTCCTTTGATCCAGTTGATATTGTTTTATTTCTATTTGTAATATTTCAGCACATCGGATGTAAGAAATATGATGGCTCATTGAGTGAGCTACATTTGTACATTCCTGCTGTATGATGGCAGTTTGAATAGTGTGTAATAGACTTGCACTGTTTGGTCAGTCCTGATACTGTAGGTAAAGAGTTGGGACACTGCTGGCTCCAGAGTGCTAAGATCGCCCGGAAGGCAGGCCATCTCCAGACTGCCTACAGCTCCCTGCTGAATGCCAGTACCTACAGCCTGCCTGAACTCTGTGTGGAGAGGGCGAAATGGTTGTGGCATCAGGTGGGTCCTCTACCTGCTGATTGGTTAAAACAAACCTGCCCTTGGTGCTGATTGGATAGTACTTGTATCTATCTCCCACTGAGAGTTACCCCGGTAGGTCACACTAACTTGTTTTTACGCATGACATCTGCATGTACATTGAGTTTCACTGCTTCTAAGTGGACATTGTCAGATTTTGGCCCCTTAAGACAAGACAAAATTTGTGACAGTACCAAAATGTACAGTTATGTTGTACTTAATATTGTCTTCCATTTTTCAGAATGACCAGCACCAGGCCCTAATCACCCTCCAAAAGGGTGTGGCTGAACATTTCTCTGACACTGCCTACCTGAACTGTGGCAGTCCTGAGGCAGCCAATGCTAAAAAACACACACATGCCAAGGTAATGCCATTAAATAAGGTCTCCTCTTTCATTTTCAAACGTAAAATATAAAATGTTTGTCTTATCGCAGCAAAGTTTATTGAATGCTCAAATCCATGTGGTGTAATTAACATTCAAAGCTGTCACGGGTTCGATTGTTTGTTTATTTTCTGCTTGTAGGCCCTGCTTATAGTTGGTAGGCTGATGGAGGATACAGCTATGTATGATAGCAACCAAGTCATGAAGCAGTACAAGGTGGGACATCATACATCATGCAATTCATTAGCTTTTCTGTGATTGAGTGTCGTAACAATAACAATCTTAATACATGTACTAAATGTTCTTCCAAACTCTATAAGACTATATACATGTATGTGAATGTTCACAAAATCACCTGTTCCCGTTATGATATAACTATAGCACTCATTTTCTTTGTCAGTCAAAAACATTCCTAGTTGTACATTTTGTACTATTATTACAAAAATGTATAAAACTAGACCTGGTTCACTACATTCAAGGATGGTATTATTATTACTATTACTAGATTGCATATAAACTGCTCAATGTTTGCAAAAAACAGTTGAAAGATTGTGTTTTTCCGCTGTAGAGTGTTGTGGAGGTTTACCCCGAGTGGGAGGATGGACACTTCTACTTAGCCAAGTACTATGACCGCATCATGACCACTATGCGTGAGACACCACTCAAGGCAGGGTCAGTATCTTTGTGTTTTTTTAGGTCACTGTAAGCTTTTCTGTATGATCGTTAGATGTCAAGAGAAGTGTTTATTTTAGATATTTTTATTTGATACTGTTTGGAACAAAGTAAGTTTATGCTGATAGGCATAGGTATATAAAAAATGAGGTGAACATGATGTGGTTGTTTATGCCTAGTTTGTAATGGCAGGAAGTATGAATAATGATGCAAAATTTTGTAAATACCATTAACATGAAGATTATGTTATCCAGATTTGCTGCCAAAATCCTACACTGAGCACTTTTTATTAAGATCTTAACTTTTTTTCCAGAGACATTATCCTGTACGTGGTGACGTACTTCGGACGTTCCCTGCAGTACGGTAACCAGCACATCTACCAGGCCATGCCCAGGCTCCTGGCACTGTGGCTCGACTACGGAGCTAAAGTGTCAGATTACGAGAAAGGTACATGTAACATATACACTATATAGCCTCATGTTTACTTCGTCATGCTTGTAATATAGGAAAAACCAGTCATCATCTTCTCTGAGCTAGACCACATTGGTTAGCAACAGATCATCCTGAGCAATAGAAATAAACATTTTAAAAACAACTGAACTCTTGAAATATATTTGATAAAACCCTACCTGTTGTAACCTCTAGGTGTGTTTGAAATAAGGTTTTAAGGGTATTGTATGTTGTTATTTTACAGCTGGAAGAGCAGAGAGAACAAACATGAGGGTTATGCTCCCTAAGCTTAATGAGGTATGTCTTATAAGTCAGTAGATTAGATACAAAGTAAATAGATAGTTTACTATCATTGATAGTGAGACTCACTATAGTTAAAACTGTTTTATTGGTTTGCAGAGTTGGCAGGTAACCCAGTTTTTGCAGTGGAAGGAAAAAAAGATGTTTCCATCAAATATTCTATTGAAAACAAGCAACAGTGCAACAGGTGTCAGTAACATGTAAAGAAACGATTTGAAAATGCTTTTTTTGTTTTCCCCTTGTTCACAGATTGTAGGGAATTACACCAGGAAGTTAGCCCCGTACCAGTTCCTGACATCCTTCTCACAACTCATCTCACGCATCTGTCACTCTCACCCGGAGGTCTTCAACAGACTGGAGGTACGCTGGCAAATCTGGGGGGGAGGGAAAGGGATAGGTCCTGTGGCCTCTTTTAGGCTGTAGGAGCAGTGGGTTGGTAATCTAATGTGTTTTGAGCATTGTTTATCAATGCTCAAAACATGCCAATTCCTCTACTTTGACTTTTCCAACCTTTCCATCTTTTTATGCAAATATAACATGCAAAAATGTTTCACATCTCTGTATCTGTTTCCTCAAACATTCTAATCAGATTACAAATAGTTAATACATATTTTTTTAGATGACAACAAAGTGAACCAGAATGAGTGTTGATAATGATCTTTAACATGATCGCAGATATGTCATTTTCACAAAAAAAATCATGATTACCTGTGTTCCTTCCTTCAGGATATCATTGCCACACTGTTGGTGACTTTCCCACAACAGTGTATGTGGTTGATGATGGCTGTGTCCAAGGTGGGTGTTTTAAAACATCTAAACTGTTAACAGAAACTATTTGAGCAGTGCAGTAGTCGATAAGCAAATGAGTTAACTTTACAGACTTTGCATATATATTGTGATCTCATTTTGCTAACATACATATAATGTAGTAACCCACTTAGACAAAGTTAGGTTGTTTGTTGTACAAAGTTTTCATTGTTCATCAATATTAAAGGTAAGATGATTTCTTCTTTCAGTCAACATCTCTGATTCGGAAGAAGCGCTGCCAAGACATCTTCAAGAAAGCCAAGTAAGTTGTACATCTCTTCTAAGATTTGATTGAAGATGAAAATTTAATGTAGAATCCTTTTGTACTTTCTAGAACTGATCATGTATATTTCTAGCTCAAACTTGTCCTGACAAAACTCTTTTGTCTATATAGGTCTATGCACAGTGACCTCAACCAGTTTATACAGGTATCAGCTTGATTTGTTTTGTGTTTTATATTCTTTTGCTTTTGCTTTTGTTTAGTCCAAACATAAAATTGGATTAACATACTTGGAGCTTGTTGATGCAGAGGAAGTATTAGGGCAACAAACCAAGAAACATACTTTTGCCCTAACACTGAAAACCATATTTGTAAAGGCAGATACATATGTGCATGTGCCATTATAAGATACCATGCAGCTATGTAAAACAGATACCGGGTACGCCTGTTTAAGAATCAATCCTTATCTGCATTCTTGTATCCTCATCTAGTGTTTCAGATTGTTGACCTAATGTTGTATGAATCATGTGTGCTTTAGGATGCGACCAGGCTGGCTGACAAGCTCCTGGAGTTGTGCAACAAGCCGGTAGACCCAGGAGTGCAACACTTCAGCCTCAGTCTGCACTTCAAGTCACTCAAGAGACTTCTGGAAGACAGGTACTGATTGGGACAAATTAATTGATAGGGTCAAATTGATTGATTGGGTTAAATTGACCCATAATAGTTTCATTTTGGGACGAAATGACCTGAAATTTGGGAGATGGAGAGAAATATGCTGTATTTGCTTCTGAGCAAATGTCTGCCTTGTTGTCTTTCATTGCCAGGAAGTTCAGTCCGATCCTGATGCCGCTCCAGTCAGCCCTAACCGTCACCCTCCCCAGTGGGCCAGGTTCCCATGCCAACCATGACCCCTTCCCAGCTGCACTGGTCTACATCGCTGGGTTTGAGGACACTGTGAGTTACATCCTCACTCTGCATCAGGGCTACAGAGTCATTGTGTAGGGCATGGGAGTCACTGCCAACAAAAACACATTTAACTATTCTGATCAAAGTTACATGTAGGCTATGTTAAGACAAGCAGTGTAATGTTTAAAGTTTGTGAGTATGTCATTTCTTACAAGAAGTAAAGATGGCAAGTTAAGGAACGTTAAATACATTTAGTTTAAGCATACAAAGTGTGGCTAAATTTTGCTATCAATAGATAGAGTAGATAATATAATTACATGTATGTTGACATGCACTTTACATATAGAGCTTTTTCCATTTCATCAATTGCCATGCTTTTCCACTGTCTTCCTTTAAAGTCAATTTTAATACAGTCACCCACCAGTTATCCTAAATGCACTCCATGCTAGAATACCTGCCAACTCTCCAAAGTATAGCATTCTTGCATACCATTTCATGCAGAGACACTTGCTTTCTTACTTCAATCTGTAATTAACTTTTCTTCTCCTCATCTGGTGTCTTTCATTCCTGTGAATGTCATGTGTCTACAATTCTTTGATGATGAGTTGTGTTTCTATTACACATTTTCCTGCATTCTGTTTCTCTGCCATTCCATCCCTGCTGCTACAATCTGTTGTAGGTAGAGCTCTTGCCATCCTTGCAACGCCCCAAGAAGTTCTCATTTCGTGGTACTGATGGTCATTCCTACATCATGATGTGTAAACCCAAGGTAACACAAAAACATGAAATGCTCCAATCCAGACCAGACCAGAGTTTTTCTTTGTGAGCAAGGAATCCAGTTGCACAAATATTGTATTCCTACCCTGCAACATACTGCTTTTAACTTCATTTTTAAGCTTAGGACACTTTTTAAGATTTTTGCTGCAAGGTAAAAATCAACATTTCCCTTAACAGAACAGGAGCCAGAATCTCAAAAAAGGAACAATCTACTTTAAAGATTTCAAAAGTTGATGTTCTTTTTCTGGTGCTAGTCATGAGCAACTGGTTTTCTTTGTTTCCATGAGAAGGAAAACTATGTTTGGTACTAGGATAGATTGGATGAAACACTCTTGGTAACAACATGTACATTTTAGGTGGAGGTTTTGAGTTCTGCAGCCAAGCCAAAGAAAATAGCAGTGAAGGGTTCAGACGGGAAGGCATACTTCCTCATGTGCAAACCTCACGTAAGTGCTAATGTATAGGCTTATAGGCCACTGTTTGAAGGCTCCAAGGAGATGCTGCTGCTTAATAGAACGTTTTCAACTGACGTCATCACTACGTCTGCCACCTTGTTGGTGTCCTTATTTATAGCTCTAGCATTTTTGGAGACTTGAAGATCTTCTGACCCTCTTGAATAAGATGACTACTATTAAATGTGTACTTTTCAAACAAGAGAATACATAAGAATATCTAAAAAGTTCCAATACCTGCCTGTTTCTTTGAAAATTTAAAATTAAGGGAAAGGCTTACATATTTGTAATGTGATGCCATTGTTGTTTCATCTCCAGGATGACCTGCGGAAGGACTGTCGTCTGATGGAGTTCAATGCCATTGTCAACAAGTGTCTGAGGAAAGACCCTGAGTCCCGCCGAAGGCAGCTGTACATCAGGACCTATGTGAGTGCTGTCAAGAATGGTTCTCTCCTTCTTGCTGATTGGGTAGTGTATAGAACACTGTAAAGAATGGTCCTCTCCTTGGTGCTGAATGGATAACCTTTACAACACTGTTATGAATGGTCCTCTCCTTGGTGCTGAATGGATAGTCTTTACAACACTGTTATGAATGGTCCTCTCCTTGGTGCTGAAAGTTTATCATGTTGCCATTTTCTTTATTGGCTCCCTCCTGAATGGTTGCTTACACTACAACCAATAGCTGTAATTGTTGTTATCTGTCATACAGTCAGTGGTTCCCCTGAATGAAGAATGTGGACTGATAGAATGGGTCAACAACACTCACCCTCTACGTCAGGTGCTCATCAAGATCTACAAGTAAGCATAGTTATTCTTATGACAGTGTGGAGGGAACAAATAAATCATGCAGTTTATAGATCTTCTGCCAGAGGACACTTTCGTTCAAGGGGGTGAAGTCTGCTATCTCTGATTGAACTCAACAACCTTAACATTCCACTTAGTGTCACTTCCTTCATGCCAAATGCATATATTGATAGCATATTTGTTGTTCTTGATGGTATTCTGTTTATTTACTACTGCTGTTTTGTTTCTTAATAGGGAGAAGGGCATGTACACCAGGGCCAGTGAGTTCAAGCCCTTCCTTTCAAAGGAGATGAAATTAGAGTGAGTATTTTATAAGTTATGACAGATGATAGACTGGTATTAGCTCAAAAGGCACTGTTAGAGGCTTACTAGTGACATCCAATTTTCTGTCAGTTCTTGTAATAGATGAATTTACAAATACAAGATACTCAGATATCAAGTAGAGTAATATTCATAACTAATGTTCTATATTTCATACTTCTGCAACTTCTGATAACTGCATTGTCCCCAGTGAGAGACTCAACATGTTCCAGACCACCATCTTGCCCAAACACCCTCCTGTGTTCAGGGAGTGGTTCCTTAAAGTGTTTCCTGATCCAACCTCATGGTGAGTAGTCATCTTACTACAGCCAGGCTCTAACTACTGGGGAGAGATTTTTCTTGAGACATTACTGCTGCCATGTTAGTGTCAAGTTCTATCTTAATGAATCACAGCCTAAGTGTTTTCTTCTTAGCCTCTTAAACAACCACCAGTAAATGCTTGAAACTCAAAGATGAATGCTTAAAAACTTGCCAAAGAACATAAAATTGTTGTGTATGTTTCATCTATGATCCATGTAAATGCAAATATGAAGGCCAGCATGGTAGTCACCACTTGCCCATACTTCATTGATACAGAGTGACTGAAAATGCTCTATTTGTCAACATGCCGCTTTTATGGGGGGGGTCCACATTGTTGGAACTTTGTGAGCAATTAAAATTGTTTTTGTTTTTGATTCCACTTGCCCAGGTACCAGGCCCGTCTGAACTACTGCCGTACCACAGCAGTGATGTCCATGGTGGGGTACATCCTGGGTCTGGGGGATCGGCATGGAGAGAACATCCTGTTTGACTCCACCAACGGAGACTGTGTACATGTGGACTTCAACTGTCTCTTCAACAAGGTGGGGCATGTCAGGGAACTATCCAGCTTTCTCCAGCTTCTTTTGGGAGACTTTTACCTACCTGTACTACATGTATATGGATTATTCTCATTCTAGAGATACTAGTATGTTACACTTATAATTAGATTATGCAATGTTAATTCTTAAGCTGATGAATAGTGTACTAAATTAGTCTGCAATTTATCCTTGGGCATGTACATGTGCTATTACATGGTTTGACTGTAATTTAACTTTTAAAACTGCACATGTATGTATCTGTGACATTAGCATGATAGAACAAATATCTTAATTAGATATATTAAGCACACATGGCTCAGTGAGTAGTCACAGTATGGGATGAATTTTTGTGTGGACAGGGAGAGACGTTTGATTGGCCAGAGCTGGTGCCTTTCCGCCTCACACACAACATGGTCAACGCAATGGTAAGTCAGGATGATCTCATGCATACTTTCTTCTCTGGCAATACAAGCATGTAAAGGCATATGTTTCTAGACTTCAATTTGAAATTGAATGGAAAATTGTGTTAGGTTATACTGATATCTAAACATAGATTGCATAGTGTGGCAAACATGGTGCCATATACATTTGTATCTCACCATGCCATGCACAATGTATATCTGTGCTGTAGGGTCCCTTGGGATACGAGGGGATCTTCCGACGGGCTTGCGAGACAACCATGAAAGTCATGAGAGAACAAAAGGACCCTCTCATGTGGTGAGTTTTTGTTTGGTCTTCATTGTACACGGTATTAAAAAGCTGGAGAATTGAAATCACCTAACATGATCATATATTCTTACATCAGAATGGTCCTCTCCTTGGTGCTGAATGTGTAGTCTGTAGAGCACTGTACAGCATGGTCTTCTCCTTGGTGCTGAATGTGTAGTCTGTAGCAAAATTACACCCTGGTAAAAACTACAAAGTATAGTTTTCTGTACATACAGCTCACAGACATGTTGTATTGACTATCCTGTGAATTGATCCTGATGTTTCTGTCCATGCAGTGTGTTAAGGTCCTTTATCTTCGACCCTTTGGTGGAGTGGTCCCGTGTGAACAAAAGCACCAGGTCTGTGGTTCCCGAGTCAGGAGAGATCAGCAATGAAAAGGTGACAGTACCCTGCAGGTTTTCTTACACTTCTTCTGTATGGTGGGGAGTAAGTTCATAATCAAATTGTACTGAAATACAGAAGATGCAATTAGCAACATTTTGTAAATAAGTTTCAGCTGTTAGCATGTTATAACATTATGATATATTGTAAGATCTTACACTTGGAAATTGTTCAGCTTTTTTGGATCTCACTCGCCTACCTAGTGTTTTGATGTAATAGTAGAAACCTGAATGGTTAATGTGGTCCCTGTTTGTAGGCGATGACACATGTGAGAGACATAGACCAGCGGCTTCAGGGGGTGTTCAAGAAGATGCGAGGACTTCCACTGTCTATTGAAGGACATGTTCACCACCTCATACAGGTATCACAATTTGATAAGTTTGGGTAACACAAGTTGATCCAGGGTTGTAATAAAAATTTCCTAGAGAGATCCAAGAGATTGCCTTGGTGTGACCTTTTTGAACTAAAACTTCAACTGTTGGTGTCAGAAAACTTTCATGTGGTCTTGTGGTTACGTGTAATTTTTGTGTTTCTGTTTCAGGAGGCCACATCGGATCTACTGCTGTGCCAGATGTACATTGGGTGGGCTTCTTTCCTGTGATCGGGATCGTCTGCTTTGGTCTAACACATCAACAGTACTCCAGGCTTGCACAAGATCAAAGCAAGAAAACATCAGACTCAATTACTAAACTCCTCAGTGTTAAACCAAAAGTTCCTTGACACCATTTCAGAAACATGGGAGTACTTTATGGACGATCTGTTTGGAACTTCTGTTGGCATATTAAATGGCACTGTTGACAACAGTTGAACCTTCTTCAGTGGACTCATCTATGCATATTTATATCTACAGCATCAGTCAGCAGATAGAGACAGGAAACATGCAAGTGTAGAAACCAGACACAAGCAGCTCTTTTGCTTTTGGATCTATTTAAGTTATGTGTTTATTCATCCAGTGAAATCATGATTATGTTAATGACTTCTGGTATCAGTCTTTGCACAATGATAAGCAATAACATAAAGCAATATCCAAACAGATTTAGGCGTCATCCTTTGTGATTTGTGTGGTCAAGTACAACAGTTTTGATGATTTTACACGGGACTCAACAAGTAACTTTAGATTTAAGCAATATGGAAAAAAGGAAAACTTATAAGAACTGTGGGGCATGTCCTTTTTCACTTGGCATGGCAGTGATTGGAAAATTAGTTATGCTGTCAAGAAACAAATAATAGCATGATTGCAATCTCAGGTTTGAAAGATACACCACAGTAAGTTGACATGTACATACAGTTACAACCCCTCATCGATGTGCAATTACACTTACATTGATTATGAAGGGGTAAAACTAATGCCAATTACATTTGTAGATGTAGGATCAGCTTTGAGACATTTTCTTTATCTTTCTTGTGGTCCGCATTATTATCTCATCACCTTCCTGCTACAGAAGAAACAAGGAGAAAGACAAAGAAAATGCCTCAAAAATACACATATAAAACTCCAACTACTCCAAGGTAAACCCTACATCTGCTTGGGGATTAGGTAAAACTAGCTGTCACTTATTACAGCACTGTACATGCATTGTTCCCATCATGATGTATGACTATCTAGAGATGCATTAAATATGAAGAGGTTACAATCCCATCTTAACCTACTGGTATTACAGCTAACAACAGCTGACTCAAAATATACAAGACTAACAAAGGGACATATTGGTAACATTGCACCTTCATGTGAATATTTACAACATTAGATTATGTTTTAAAATGAATTAACAAGTATTAGGTACATGATCAATAATGGCAAGTATAGGCATCATGCTATAATCAACAAAGATGACAGTAATGGTTGTGATGACTTAATTCTAGTTTCAATATCTTATGCTGAATTACAAATTGAAAGCAATCGCTCTTAAGAACTTCTTTTTTGTCATGTACATTACTTAGAGGTGAATCAGATACAAATCTACAAGAATTAAGTTAAAAAATTAAAATACAGTGGAACAATAGGTTAATAATAAAACAAGTGTCTGTTAAAAATGCTCTTCTTTTCGACAAAGCTTCAAAATGGCATTCTTGGTCTACAAGATTGCCAGCCTACATGTACAAGGCAGTTACATGTACTATCAAGGCCACATACACAGCAGGGGACACAGCACAACTAACTACAGGTTATCTCTGAAAATACAGACTATAGTGTGAAAAATCACCTTGAAGTTCTAAAAGCCTCCATACTACAGTTCTTGCCAATTTAGAGTCATTTGACTTGGGAATTTAAAAAAAAATCAGGTGGTCTAATAATACAGACAGAGAAACTCAGTCATCCCCGTTTGCTGCTGCTGCTCCATTGTAGCTTGAAACAGACATCCTACGAAGGAAGGAGAAGAGAGGGGTTCCCACTATGGACTTCCTGTCCATGCTTCCTATAGGGGAGTAGGGAAATGCAGACGTTAGGGAATCGTTTGCATCAAACCCTCGGGGGCTTTCGAACGTGAAGAACATTCCGCTGTCCTGGCTGGTGTTGTGCTCATCAGGTTTAGACGTCTCTAGATCGTGGATCTTCATGTTTAAGATGTGAAGTTCATCCACAAGGAGACACTGGTGGAAGTACTCCGAGGGAGGGCCACCACCGACAGTGTGGGCCCACGGTATCCACCTCATGTAACATTGGGTCCATAACTTCAGTCCGGCTCCAATGTTAATCGGGAACAGCGGCCCGTTGTAAGTTGGTGTTGAAGGAGCTGTGAACGACACCTGTGCAGATGCGCCGGCTTGTTTTTGCTTCTTCTTGCTCTTCCACTTGTTCCTGGACTTGAAGCTCCCCAGCGTGTTGGTGGGGTTGGGAGGAACCACTGTGGGGCCATTCGAGGGGTGTTCGGGGAAGTACTCAGCCAGCTTGCCGCCGTACAGAGGGTTGTTGAAGAGCAGACGGTCCTGGTCGGAGAACTGGAGGGACCAGTCCCACACAGACATCAGGGTCGGCGACGTGTTGTCGTTCTTGTCTCGCTTAGCATCCATGCAGGCTACATATCTGGACATAAAAAGGCAAAACCACAGAAAAATCATGACATTTCACAGTGGTAAAGTTTCTCAACTATCCTTTTTATCTTGTTAACCAGTTATGCAAACAGTGACAGAAGGTTTGACACTGACCTGTCCCTTTCACTGTTGAAGAGGAAGGTGGCGAACAGCGGCACCCTGGCGCTGTCCCACAGGGTGGTCAGGTACGTCTCCGTGAACTCAAAGCATGATGGGAACTGTTGCAGCAGCTGCCACACACAGTCCAGGAACAACAGGAACACTGGCGACTGGAGGGCAGAGAAATGGAGGATCAGAAACTTGGTTAGTATTAGAGCCGCATGTAAATGTACCTGAACAACAATTCAACAAGTAACCTATGGTCTTGAATGACAAAAACAGTAATTAAAATACAATGTCAACTTTGTCTTAAGATATGTCATGCAAGGACTTTTTTTAAATCAGGCTGAGCATTGAAATATTGTTTTGTGGAGTAAAGTCATTTAAGTTTTCACCAACACTACATTCTCCTCTTGACCTCTTGCTGAACTAACAAAAGACAAGTCAAGAAATCAAATTGATGTGGCCTCATTTACAAATTACATATGAATCCTGTCTTCGGTGACAACCTGTCCAAGAAGACATGTACATTTCAAACCATGACTACATGTACCTCCTCGTTCTCCTTGTCCTTGGCGTGCACGTGGTGCAGCCTGTCGGTGAAGCGATGTCCGCTCACCACCCACTCCCTCTGCACCAGGGACTGGAACCCCACCAGGGTACGGGTGTGACAGTCCAGGATCACCTGCACCAGGCTCGACACCACACACGACAGGTCACGACCATCGTACTCTGCAATAAAACACAATGTCATTCAACTGGGATGGGGGGCAAAACTGACTTGCACTCATTGCTTGTGTCACAACTTGCAACTGGCTGACTACAATAACCAGCATTCAGCATAACCCATCAACTTTGCAGGTATGTGGTGGCAGCAGATTTTGTCACACCAAATGACACGTCACACCTAAATCTGACTAACTGCTCTTCAAGTTCTGTGCCCACTTTGAAAATGCATCAGTCTAATGTCAAACTCAGATTACAACAGACTGGGTATTTAATATGGTAGATATACATGTGTAAGAGTGTACTTGAGTGCAAAAGAAAGAATGTCACAGCAGATTTTCCAAATAAGCAAGTGGGGAAATAGCATTGGAGAGATGTTGAATAGTAGAACTTAAAGTGATCATACCTCTAAGCACCACAGTCTGCCTACTGCCAGCTATTCTCTCAGCCACAGCAGACGACACAGACAGACAAGCACTGTGGAACAAACAACATGTGCACATGTATAATCAAACACTTTTTTCTCCCTCATAAAAGAACAATTAAACATCAACCATGCCATCATTGCTATTATTATTAAACATAATGATGTCAACACTGCTCTCATAATTCCACTAGGTACCAGTGTTCTCAAGGACCTAGGATTAGGATATAGAACAAAGTACCTGACACACTGTAACCATTTGGTCCCATCCAGTAGACTATACCACTTCTGGTCAGCAGCCCAGAAGTCTTCAGCACCAGCTATTAAGAACATATTAACTTATTAAGTATGACATATGTTTATGTTTTCACATAGCAATAACAACTAGGACAAATGTGTATACTGAAATAAAAATTAGCTCAATCAACATTTGGTACTACATAAACTTTATGATAAAGTTTTCAAAAAAAGTATTTCAAACCTTGATGACCACATTATGACAATATTCTGTGAATAGTGAAGCATTGCTTTAAAAGTGTACTATACTACATACTGACCTGGCATACACAGGTCCCGTAGTTTGTAGTAAGCCTGCTGAATGTACTTGGGCGAGGGACATAGTCTGCCCAGGTCGATAACAGAAGCCTTGGTTTTCTCGGGGTGGGTGCTCTCTATTGCCCTCAACATACTACAAGCACAGACAATAACAGAGATACAACTTCTGTAAACAGACATCAGTTTCATCCTACACTAGGCCACACTAACTCAATTTGTTGGTCTCTAGACTTTAAATATAATGCTATCTCGGAAAATTAACATATCTGAGAAGAAAATGAGTACACAATCTTCTATTGAGAGAAGTTGAACCATGGAGGTAGAAAAATGCCTCTATGGTTGAACCAAGAAATTGATTTTGTGTGGCCCTATGTAATCTTGCCATGGCAACAATTAGTCAACAGCATTGTTAACAATTAGTTTGCATTTTAGTACTTTTATTGGATAACTTTTTTGTTATACAAAAAGTTCCTTTAACATGAAATGCTGTTGGCTTGTTAGTGATTAACATGGCATGAAATGCTGTGTCTAGTTAGTTATCACCTTTTGGCCGCACCAATTTGATTACAGTACTTTCCACGTACCTGTCTAAACCTCCCCTGCAAAAAAAGTTGAGAAATAGTCAACTTGGCCTTAAAATTTTCATCTTTCTTTTAGTCACCCTGCAGTTACCGTAGTCGTTTTACGATCACGTCATGGACAGGGGGCACTATGGGTCGCTCAGGGGGCAAACAAAATCATTCCCATAATGCCCTTTATACAGTGCATGTATACTGTGTCTGTTCCAGTTTATGTTATCATGAGAATGATTTTGCCCATGCTACTCAAAGTGTCCCACATCTCCCAACATGCAATGGGATGTGTGAAAAGGTCTAAAATCATTTTTATTTTGGTACACGCTGAAATCATATGAGTCACTAAAACACCACAAACCTTATCCCCATCCTAAAAACTGAACATTATATAAGTTTGAAAAAAGTGCCTTTCCAATTTCCAATCCAACTAAAATATACCTCTTTTTCATGTATGGTTGCATTTTATGGTCACAACAAGTGCACTTAAGTTACATCCAGCAAGGTTAATAAAGAGTTTAAGCTGGATGTTCGTGTCTGTGCTTTTGTAGATGAAGCGTAACGTGTGTGACTTACAGTGGCACCACCTGAGTGGATGGTAGGCAGTGCCTGAACCAGCAAAGCCCATGAAGCAATAACATAAGAAACAGTACAGAACATGGAGTCAGTGTATGTATGTGCTTATAGTCCTCCACACCACATAAAGAAAATAACACCAAAGCTGAACAAAATTAACACCTTGTGTGAACCAATGTTACAGTTTCTGCATTCTTGATTTATGGCTCTGTCAATAATACATGTTCACTTACAAATGACTGTAGATTGTGATGAAAAAATAATGATCGTGAATATGTTTAGAATGGTGCTGGCTTTAACTTGCTGAACTTTTACAATGTAGTGAATGTGAGTTGAGGCCAATAGGTTATAATTCCTCTCTGCAACTTTTCTGTTTATAGCACATTTGATAATATTTCTCCATGTACATGCTACACTGTAGCTTAAGTAGGAGACTGAGCCTTTTAGTTCCCCCAAATGCTATATATTGACATCCGTGTATTGAATTATTTATCATGCTGACTGAATACACTATATTATCCTTTCCTTAATACCACACACAAGATTTATTATGGATAAATTGATAATGTATTACCAGCCGTAGTGTATGTGTTCAATGTTCATGATTAATGTTTTATTATAATATTAAGGATACTGTTGGATACTTTTATAGATACTATTAACTGAGATGGCCGAAACATACTAAGATTAAAGGTTAATTCAAAATATTTTTGTAAGTAAAAAGTTACATTGTTTTCCACTCAACATTGATGTCTTATCAGATAGTATCTATGCAAAACATATCTATAGGTAAAAGCAGAAAGCACACATGGTCAAAACAATGTAAATTACTGTTGATTGTAAAAACTATGAATACAGTTTCCAATCCTGTACTAATTCTTAACTCAAAAAGTAGCTTTTGACCTTTCAAAGCTCAACTTTATGACTCAAAAGGCATGCGTAAAATTTGTCTTTTGGTTCTGGGGGACAGATCAAAAACTACTTGAGTACTTTCGAGCACTGCTTGCTTACCTTTCTAGGTACTGTGTTTGTGTTGTGTCTGATCTCAGCTCCACCATCCTGACCAGGGAACTCCCATTTGGGTGGCTCCAACTCCACAACTGGAACAGCCAAAAACAAAACTTCATCTTCACAGTCTGTTTTCAACTCATTCATACATACATGTATAACAATTTTACTCATATGGAGTCATTTCCTGCATGTATTTGGTGACTGCTTGGCTAAGGAAAGGTATTATTTGAAATGTTTAAAGCTGATTCTAGTTAAACCTCTACTAGAGACCACCTGGTAATTTTAGCCATTTTTGATAGTACATGTACATGTACATGTATAAGGATTGGCTAATGCAGTTAGTTTTACTGTTTTGCTATTAAAGAGAGGTGAAAAAACTGAGGATGAATATTGATATGAAAGGACAAAAGGATACCAAGTATGAGTTCTGAAACCATATGGAATATGTAATCGCAATCTATTGCCTTCCTATTAGCATTACTATTCTTTAAAGACATAATTCAGCACCTTGAGATACCCAAAATTGTTTTTCCAATGTGACATTGGTATAAACGTGTAGCTGCACAAACTGGCAATACTTACAGGAACTCTGCCGTCCACAAAGTGTGGGCTGGAGTTGTTCAGGTCATGGTCAGACAGGGAAGAAGGCACGATGAACTGTTCTGGTAACCTGAAGACAGAGAATCATCATTAGAACAATGTCAAGAGCAAATACAAGGGATGTAAAAAATTTGCCACAGCATGGTACGCAGCCCTATCATGCATGAAAGTATACAGAGCACTGACTCTAAGTGAGTAGATGTTTTGCTGTTTTGGTTCTAAGTGAAATAAAACGTACGTGTCTGACATCTTGAAGTTGGTGTTGGCAAAACTGACCCTCCAGCCAGCAGGGTGCACTCTGGATAACTCCCTCTCCCAGTCCTTCACTGCTCGGAACTCTGGGGTGTCTGCAATACCTTGAGAGGAAGGTAGGACGAGCAAAACAATTCATCTGGCTCGAAATACCACAGGTCTTACACACAGGTTAGTGTAGGAGAAATTATAGTTGTGCAGATCTTTCTAAATCTGATGTCATGAATTTCAATGATTCAGTTTTCAGTGCGACCATATAATCTGAGACATACATACACAGGTGAAATTAATTTGCGATATTACCTGCATCTGTGCATGTATGTAGTCGTATGAACTTGTTGAAAGCAGGTCTTCTATTCACCCAACAGCTATACATGAAGGTGTTAAATAGATTTGAAAACCACTCATCATACCTATCCTCAGGTTCTTCCCTGGGTTGTACTCAAAAGCAAACAGCAGGTCCAGCGAGGTGGGGAAGGCGTGGTGCAGGATGGCATTGACTACCTGGGAACCATGGAAACAAGATAACTCAATTAGCTCCCACTGATTGACACATACTATTACCTTCATTTGCTGTGTAACTATATGAATATATGATGTGTAAAACAAAAAAGTCTGTATGTGTCATTACTTACATTTCTCTCAGCCTCTTTAGGAGTAAACTTGAAGCTGAAGGGCAGTATCCTGAAATCCTGCATTAACAAATTAGGGGAGAGTTAGATTACCAGTAAGAAATATTACACTGTGGTTAATCTTTACTTACCAATCAAACAAACACAACATAAACACAAAACACTCCTGTAAAGTAATAATTCTTGCATTACAAGAATTAGCTTCCAAGAAGACTAAAATTATGCTTATATCATTCTACCATTAAGAATAAGAGAATGATAATTATTAAACTTATAAGTACTTTCCAAAGACAATAATACATGTCATCAACCTTAGTCTTATAAATCTCAAATTATATTTTGTTGATGTGCAAAATGTTTGCAATTAACATATCACTGTATAAACAAACAGCAAAATTACAAAGGAAATGGGAAGAACTGAAAGAAGCAAGATAGCATTCTCACCTTACAATGAATCTCTAATATTCCAACCCTGCCTTGTATGTTGCTACCAGGTGGCAGTCGTTTCTTCTTGCCATTCCACACTGCATACAGGGAGACATACCACTATAACTATTAGACTTTGTGATCATTCCACAAAACACCAAATATTGCTTTTCACAAATTGTCTCTACCCAAGATGTCACCTAAAAAGGACCACCAAAATACCTGGAGCAAAACATCTCAAAGCTATAAAATGTTGACCAAAAAAGGAACTTTACATAAACATAGGTTAATACATATAATTTTAAAGGTAAATGATTTGTTATAAGAATTTACCCTGATAAATAGCCTCCACGCAAGTCAGGGCAATATCGTGTTCAGACAGCAGCTGGTTTCTCTGTCTCAATTCACCCTGAGGAAACAAAACATGTCATCTAACATGAAGCCACCAGAGGTAAAACACAGGTTATGCAAACCTGTTATGAGCAGGATGTATCAAAGGTCATTGACCTCAATGTAACAAGCAGTATGTTACTATGTATCAAAGGTCAATGGCCTGAATGGTACAGCAGTTACTATATACATTTGTACATATTGCTTAGACTTGGCCTAGGGTATTGATACATGTAGTCACATGAAATGAAGTGGAAACTGGCTGGTTTCCCATGTAGCCTTTAGATCTGGTGACCCTTTCTACCCACGCAGGGGCTGTGGAACTGAATATGAAGCAAGACTGGTTAGTCATGTAATGGGATTTCAGCATGGGGAAAGGGGGAAGGAAATCACCACAGTAGTCACATATCCAAATCTGTTTCTGAGTCAAGTAACAAGATTAAGTACAGAAAAATGGGCACAATGACAAGGTTGTATTGATTTGAACCGACTTTTTTTGCATACCAGCGCTGTACAATAACAGACCATTTGATTACATCTTGTTAGGGAATTAATAGTTTCAGTCTCTTTTCATGAGAAATCAAATTGGTGTCACCTAAAAGATGACAACATCTTCGTATTGGAGCAGGAGAGTCGTTTCTATTTTTATTGGATCTTGTAAGGTCCTTGATACATGTAGCCAAGAATAACCCGCATACTTACATGCACAAGACAGAACTAGGCTAAACAAATCTACACATGTGCAAGTCGTTAAATGCCTTGGCCTCCTCTGGCAACACTTCTTGTTATTCAGTTGAGATACACAGGGGAAAGGAAAATGGAAACAGTCTATTTACAAATCCTGCTGTTTTTTGCAGACATACCCTGCTTAGCTATACCCTTCTGTTATCTTAAAAAGTATGCTAAGCTTCTGGTTTATCTGCTTTGGCAAGAGGCACTGGAGAAGATTCCTAGGATTTTCTTTCAACACAACATTCCTGAGATACAGGAAGTGTTTTTGTCATGATGTAGTTAGTCCATGCACAAATTGTGACCTTCATCAGTTGTAGAATTATTGTGATGTGCCAATTAAAATTCCACATGTCGATTCCACTAATCATGTAATAGGATCTTTCATCAACACACCATTGAAACTCTGTGAATGCAGGCACTCCTCATGACTTACAACAACACCTTATATTCAGCCAGATTGACATCTGTGTATCTGTATCTGTATGGCCAGTATAACCGTCATTCGGCTTCGGCATAACACATCACTCCTTGTCACTGTCAAGTTACATTGTGACTCTTCAATCTTGATCCATTTAACAAGCTGTTACCAATACATGTAACAGACTGGGGAAGGCAAAGTTCCAAAATTCCAGTAAAATTCATTAATTTAATCATTGAGAAGTGGGAGGTCAAGGGGAATGGAGGTTTTCCCAGTTAAAACAAATTGTAGTACAGCTAATACAACAAAAACATGCACAATCATTGTATTCGCTGTGTCTTGATTTTGAAGTGGAGAGGTCACCATGGAAATAAAACCACTGCAAACATTTCAGGACTGAGTTTGAATATGTTAAAACAAGGAGGTTCAAAATCAAAACGTCCTTGGTTAAAAGAAGCTTCTGGTGTTCTCCTGCCACCTCAAAAACTGGTTCCAACCAAAAAGCTCCTTGTTCCAACTGATGGTCTAGCAAGTTATATGGGTGCATTTTGTGGTGAACATATCAGTTTGGACATACATATACAGTTAATAATAAAACCATTCATACAACTTGTAAGCATAAATGGGTTTACGAGAGAATGAATAATTTTTTTGACTGCACAAGGAGTGAGTAAGTATTATCATGAAAGTTCATCTGTGTTGGTAGTTACATGTTTAAAGTTAAAACTTTTGATCCAACACGAAGATTCTCTCACCTAGAGCTTTCAACCAGTCACTCTGGTCTTCCTCAGTAGACTGACCCAGACCCAGAGTGAGTAAGTACACTGGAATATATATCAGGAGTATAATAACATACCAAGTCGTAGGAAGACCTGTTCGCTGTCACAAAGCTGATCTTGAAGTTTGTACAGAAGAGGGCTCCAGAAATGCCATGGTTGAAGTCATCGGTTGAGTCAAACTTTAGAACGTTATGACCTTCAGCGATCACCAGTTCCCCTGGGGAATTAAAAAAATGTATCTATCAACCACATTTGTGGAGGGATTGGGATTAACACCTTTTCAACACTGTAAGGTTTGGTCTACTCACTCCAGTAAGGACCCTAAGTTATTTTCTCCCCTTTTAGGCTTTACATTCCAAATCTGAGAGGATGTCCAAAGCCAGAGCTTTGTACTTACTAGTATTTTCACCTGGGTCGAGTAAAGAAATTTGTTGTCTTTCCGGATTCCATGATGGGCACACCATCGGGACCTGTGGTTTTTCAAACCCAGACTTCCATGTCTCTTCTTCTCTTCTTTCATGTTATATAAATGACTAATTACAGGTCAAACACAATTCTCTTTGTGATGAATTGACTGCCATCTACATGTTATTTATGTACATGTAAATAATAAGAGTATTAAATTACACACTTAATAATACTTCAACTTCAAGCAGGCTATGGAGTGGAACATCACACAAGAAAATAGAAAATAAAGCATTATTGTCGCTGTTGATGTTACAGGAATACACATAACTACAAAATTATGGACATCAAGGGAAGAAGAAAGTATTACATATAGATTATGATCTGAAGGTCCACCTGTAACAAGGAGGGTAAAATACAAGTATTGTATTTAACCTCCTTGCCTGTAATTATATAAATTATGTGATACAGTGTAGTTACAAATTTCAGTTTGTAAGTTTGTCAAGAAACGAATTTCAAAAAATCTCCGACAGGATGTAAAATGTAATAGTATAGATATTTATGAGAAAACGCAAAATCAAAACGTTGTTTGACTTGAGTTTGCTTGCTCATACCTGGTAGAAGCTTTGGTTCCAGAGGGCCTCCGAAGACTTCGTTGGCGATTTTCTTCACGTCCTACAAGAAAAAAACACAATACAAAATTGATCCCCCATATATGAATCTTTCTGCCAAGCACACACAAAAAACAATGTCACACGCCAAGCACAGGCACATGGGTGTACTGTACAATAAATTTTCCTCAGGTGTTCGACCGCGAAAATTCCCACCAAAATCTAGACACCTTTTTCTGGACTTCTGGCTCCGTTTTCTCCACTTCGTTCATGTTGACGTAGGACTTGAATCCACCGGACATGCTTGGAATCTTTTATCTGCACGCCAAATCGCCTAAATACGTCTGGACATAACGGAAAACTTCCTAAAGTGCGGATTCACGTCGCAACATGAATAGACTCCGCCATGTTGGATGTATTAGCCTCGCTCTGGTGTTGGGTGGGGTGGTCAAAGGTCGTCTGGAAATAATCTCGAAGCAGATGCTACGGTGGCAAGACAGTATCATACCGACATACGGTCTGGCTACCGTAGCATATACTTGGAGATTAGTCTGGAAAGAATATTCAATCAGGTGTTTTACGGAGAGAACAGACAAAAACATATAACATAAAAGTTTTGCGATAGGGAAACCTTTTGGCGACCCGTCAGAGGCGTAATTATAACTAGTATACTAGTATATTATGTCCAGTTGCAGAAGGCTTGTGCAATGTCTTCTCCAGAGGATACCAGAATTACAGTCCGCCTGCTAGAGTTGTGAATGAGTGAAATAAATCTTAAAACAAAAATTTAAGCGATTTCAAAATTTACTTACTCGGACTGATGAATGATTTTTATAACCAAGGGGAGAGATGTGTTGAAAGCAATCACGATGCCTCCTGTACGATGCTCTGAGAAGTGCAGGAACTGCGCACTGAGCCTAATGCGAGTTGTAATCTCCAAGCAGATCATACGGTGGCAAGGCAGTATAGTATCCATTGGCCCAAGGAGCTTTCATGATGAAAGCTCCTTGATTGGCCAGAGGAGTGTCCATTAGTCACCGAAATGGATGTTGTCTGGCAAATGGATACAGGCTGGCCAATGTGATACTGCCTTAGGTCAGTTACCCGCACCGAAAGATCTGCATGGAGATTACGAGTGGCAAAGATGCCCGTGGTTACCACCTGCTTTGTTTTCCCACAGTATGCAATCTCCAAGCACCGTATGACATGAGAGGCAATATCGTTACGTACGGAGGAGTCGAGGGCGAGAGGAGTTGGCATGCCCTATAATATTACTAATAACTAGAATTCCGAGATCTCATACCTCCATGAAATATGATCTTGATATGTAAATGTAAATTTCTTCTTTAATTGTGGAAATGACCTCTGCATTAACATGATATATGCATCGTGGTGTATGTTAACTTTTGATTAACTTACAGATGTCCCAAGTATGACATCCTCATCATTCACCATTACGAAATCATAGAATTTTCGCATTAATTATGCAAATTAGGTCATAATTTGCATAATTAGTATCTGTTGAAGTTCCGCCTGCCATAGGTTACATACATGTAGTAGTATAATGTAAAACACTGTAATTATAGAATTTCCTCATTAATTATGCAAATAAAGTCCTCATTTGCATAATTTGCATTTAATTATGTACATCTCTCTCTCAGCTACCTACACACCAAAAATAATGAAAATATGTTGTTCCTGTCTGGACTTATTGGCTTTTAAACATTTCGCCAGAAAGTGCCCTGCAGTTCCAGAACAAGCCGCTAGGGGGCCCAAACTCATGTGACTTCCTCCCAAGCATGAGAGCTACCTTCCATCAAAATTTTATGACCCTAGCATGTCCAGATCGCGAGATATCAAAACCGGAAGTTGCGCTGCAGTACCAAGGGAAGCCACTAGGGGGACCAAAATCTAATCACTTCCAGTTTTCGTCACACCCTACCAACACACCAAGTATGAAACCAATCCATCCAGGCGTTCTTGAGTTATCTTGTTGACCAACAGACGGACAGAAGGACAGACGGACAGACGGACAGACGGACAGACGGACAGACGGACAGATAAACGCAAACTGAAAATATAACCTCCATGACACATTTCATGGAGGTAATTACGACAAGGGCCCAAGAACAGACTAGTGTACATAATAGAACTTAATGCATCGGCCGTTTGTCAGCAAGCAGGCACTCCTGTCCATCAACAGTATGCAACAGCGATCTCAACATAGATCAACAAAACCTCGGTGGCCTATCGACCATGGTTTACAATGGAACGCCTATAAACGATTTTGCCTCCCAACATTTGCTTGAAGTTGAAGATTGCCAATTATAGGACATTTTGTCATGAAGAACGAGAATCTACAGCCTTCATACTTTGTCGTCAATGGTTGTCGTTAAATTAAACGAAAAACTACTCTCCAAGAGGTTTGGGTTTGGGGTTATTTTTGGCGTTTTTTTTTTTTTTTATCGGGGTTTCACTTTTGCCCTGGATTTTTTTTCACCAAATTTCAGTGCAAAACAGAAATCCCGATAAAAAAGCCTAAAAACATGCCAAAAAGAACCCCAAACCCAAACCTCAGTAACGAAAACAACCCTGAAACGCCTGCCGTACTACTAGTATATGGGGGACTACTAAAGACAGTATTACATTACTAGTATCAAGGACATTATACTACAAGTAAATGTCCGATTGCTAGTATACATAAAGCTCTCCCTGGCTTGACCAAAGGGTCTGCATGCCACGATCCCACAGACCTGTATCCATTTAATTTGAAACCAGCTCAATATATAACCTCCTTCGCAGTCTTGTTGGGCGTCGGCGTTATTTTTTCTCTGAGCGACGCGAGTAATATGCGGCCGCGAGGGACGATTTGCTGCCGAGGGAGTTTTTGCCACGGAGAGAAGGTTTCGCGCTCCAACATGTTGGAGCGCGAAACCCAGCAAATCGGCAAACCCAGCAAACGGCAGCAAATCGTCCCTCGCGGCCGCATATGAGTCCTTATTACTCGCGTCGCTCAGAGAAAAGATAACGCCGACGCCCAACAAGACTGCGAAGGAGGCTACTCAATATATGTTCTTGCCATTCTTGGCGCGGGTTCACCAAGGACGTTTGTGGCCAGCCAAGCGGCCAAGCGTGTGGCGCGTGAGCCACGCCCTTGTGCACTGGTGACCTACTTCTTCCATGAACAACGTGGCTAAATGGTACCATGCCACCATGCCCTATGCATGAGGTACGTAACAAAATCACGTGATAAACCGCAGTTGTGTAAGATTTCGGTAATCTTCAAGCAGATGTAAGGCAGTTACTTTTATCTTTCTCAAATGATCTTCTGCGACCCTCTATTAAATAACCATCGTTAGCGAAATTGGAGGCCAGTAACACGATATTGCTTTCTATTAAACATATGCATGGAGATGCGCGTGAATATTAGTGTTGTGTAAGATTCGGGATGACTGATGTGGTTTTAACATCCCGCGCACGCGCAGAAGGGCGACCCAGAATCGCGCATGCGTAGTGAAGTCCTGCCACCGGAGACACACACGCTTCCGTGTCGGTATACCGGCGTCTTGATCTGGACTGGAAACAACGTGCTCACGTAACGTCTGCGGTACTTACAGTCGTGTGGCAAGACTTACGGCTCAGACTAACCAGGTAGGATCACAGATTTAGTCGGGAATCAAACAGATATTTGTAAGTACTTGTGTGTGAATGTGTGATCGCCAATATTACCTAAGCCCGTTTTATAATCCACGTTATACCGGGGATCGGATGAGACTGCAGCTAGGGTCAGGGTGTCACGGTGTTAGTGGCACAGTGTTATGTAAGCTGTGGGATAGCGGTTTATAGGACACTTTCCTTTCTTTGGACGGTTTGGAACTGGAGACTCAGTCTACACGTGAACATAGCGTGGCGGAGGAAAGGGGGAGGGGTGCACAGGAAATGTCTCGTTAGTTGCTTTGTACTCATCACACTAGACTCTATCTTCTTTATTAAATCACTAAAACAGTCGTGATCGGGGGTTTGGCACCAGGAGGTTTAATTCATGTACTGTAACATTTGCTGTGGTTTTATTTTCGCAAATATGCATAATTCATAATTTGTATCACTTTTGTGCTACGTAAGTAACGTAACGTAATTAAATTATTTCGACCGCGAACGCAAGACCTCCTTTCCAGTCCTGTTTTAATGATACTCAAATATACTAGTATAAGGCCCCCGGGAATAAATTGATTTACCGTACTAGTATGAACCTCCTGGGTGCCAGCATATGGCATGTTCCTTCAGTATCGGTTCTGAATACAAAATTATGAAAAAGTGCATATTCATACCACATTAGATCATAGATCCCCTTGGGTATTGATATGGAATTATTACCATAAACTTTTTGTTTAAAGTTGTAACGTTACTCGTTTCATGCCTAAAGTTTTGGAACAACTTTTGAGTGTTTTCCTTGGGTTTTGGATCATTTGACTTTTCTGATGCGGAGGTAGGTAGGCAGTATGTCCCATTTGTCCATTATTCATTCAATACATGTATCATGCATGATGGTTACATTATAATAGACCAGTTAACATGTAGATGGATTTATTGCTTCATTTGAAAACAATCATTTACATCTCTAGCCTGGAATTGTTAACTTGTTAAATTATTTTGAAAAAAATTAAGGTTTCCCCCCCAAAAAAGGCTGATTTTTTTTGCTCATAATGATATGCAAATCAACCTAGTCCCAAGGGACCCATAAGACTATAACTTGTATGTTTTTCAAACATAAAAATCATGAAACAAATAAGAGATCTTAATATCACAAGGTCATATTTTCAACATTAAAATCTTGTAAAACACAATATCATTTTTCAAGCATATACCAGGGGTGTATTTTAAATTCACTCTAAAACATAATTTTTTCCTGTGCTAGTTTTTCATGTGCATTAACGTTATACAACTTATACTGCACATCTTTTACTTGCAGGAAACCTGGTCCCCTGTATCTAAGGAAAACAGGGGTATCTTAAGAAAGATGCCGAGTCATGCTGTGTAACAATAGTAAATACCTGCCCATGAAATTGTGTACAGCATCTGTATGGCCACACCTTTCGGCTTTGTCGTAAATCAACACTGTAAAATTTCTTTGTTTGGCAAATCGGGTTGGTTTCTTTGAGGAGTTTTTAAGTGTGTTTGTTCAGGTTGTTCCTTTGCCGCCTTTTTTTTTAATCGTTGATGGAGCAAAGAAATGCTGAATGATGCAATGATGACAATGGCATTTTTCAGATGACTCAGCATAAAAGAAGGGGGTCAAAGAAGAGACTCTACATTCTACTTACCTTTTCGCAGTACGCACTCACAGTGTCTCTCAAGTTTTCTCTTTTGTAGTCCAGTAGTAGTATGATCAAGGAATAATGTTGACAGATATTGAACATGTAATGGCTTTGCAAAAATAAAATTTTCAGACATTTCCAGATTTACAGTAACATTTCAAGGAGCCAAATAGGCCCACAGATTGTGTTTGATTACCACCAACTGAGATATGCATCACTAAGATAATATTTGCATTAGTTGGTGAGCACTGAATGCTAATTCAAGTAATGCCCTACCGCCATCAAATTTAGCTACTTAACATCTGTCACAGTGTTTCAATGATTACTCTTACAAACCATTTACATATACCAACCTAGATATGGTTGAGGTTACTGTAGTAAGTTAAATTTGCTTTCCAAAAGGCTCTCCTGGGGGATGACTAATGTGTTAAGTAAAAGTGTTACCTGGGAAATCTTTAGATGCTGCAAACATCTACAAACACTCACATCACAAACCAACACATGGTAACCAAACTATGGAGTAGTTTCAAAAGATAGTCATGACGCTCAAAGTTAGTCCCTTTATTTACACCTTGTCGAGAGAATTTGATACATTTTATTGAATAGACAAGTTCAATTGTATTCTAGGACTGAAGTTCTGACCAGAGTCACCAGACCATTGATGCCAACTTAATTACTTACCCTCTCAGTGTCCGATAGGGTCCGGGGAACCCTGGTATATACATGTAAGATAGGTGCCTGACTTACAACATGTAGGTCAGGAAGTAAAAAGCAGACTGCAGTGGAAGGACAGGGGTTGGCTCAGGGGACAGTGGATGAGAAACCCACATTACATGGGACTGTGACCCTTGCTTCACCTGGCCTTGACACTAAGAGGGTTACGCAGGTAAATCCTTAAGTTTCTGTCAAAAGGCAGCCTGTCACATTAGGGACAGGTACTCCACAGATCAAAGCCCACACGTGCCACAACTGTCCCAACAAACGCTGAGTCATTCAGCTCTCCCAGAAGTGTGTGTCGTGTCGCGCCTTGCACAGAAAGAGACATGTATTACCGTAACCTGGTTACCAGATCAACAGGACAATTGTGGCAACATTCTCACAGCATATTCAATCATTTTGTGGTCACCGAGAAGCCAACATTCCCCTGACCTTCATTTACTGGGGACTCTGACCGGCATAGCATTCTTGGGAAGGCAGAACCTCATTGAACAAACTTCAGGCCATAGTCGGAGCTACTAGTATACAGTATTCAGCTAACCGCAAATGTGTCACAAGACTTTTGCATGGTCTACAAGGGTTTAACTTTAACTGAAACTAGGTCAGTGTGTTTAACAAATCACTACGTAATCAGCTTTGGAGTTTTTAGTTTCAATATGTCTATACCCCAAGTAGAATGGGAAAGCTTCAAAACCCGTTTTGTTTTACACCCATTCAAAGAAGTGACATACATGAAAATGGTTTGGGTTGAGTTGGCATTGTTCCAATGTGAATGGTGTGTGGGGCAGGGGTGAATAAGGGTAGAAAAAAACTATTACTACTATTAACCAACAAGAAGTTTTTAGACTCTTAATTGTACACAGTTTGTCGGTCCTCATTCTCTCAAGCTGCCGGCAAGTTAGTGAACAAAACTGCTACTCTGTCAGACTTCTAGTGCTTACTTTTCTTTAAAATTAGTCTTCACCTTTGGCCCCATTTGCCAAATCCATGAACTGTGATGTCACATACACCTTTGTCTTTGTTTCTATGTTCTTGTGTTTTTAGGTTGGACCTGTGACTTGTTTGGTAAAGCACGATCTGAAATACTGTGCATGTTGGTGGTTTCAGATTAGCGTAATTTGTTTGGGACGAATTTGCTGTAACTGCACGACTCCTAACACAAAATCCCCCATGCAGACCCCATGCTGCCTTCACCTTCAAATGAGGACTTTGCCCAGCCCACAGTCAGTCTCTAAGGGTACCTTTGTATAGTTTTTGTACTTAGCTGTTCACACTGCATGATGATCAGATGATAAGAATTACGTTAAAGTGACTTGTACACCCAATGCACTATGTAAAACTATAAGGTAAGGCCAATACCTGAGCATTCCCACTAGAATGACATCTGACATTTCGGAAAGCACAGAGGGGTTGACCCAAGACAGGGAAGAACAGAAGGGACAGGGTAATGGATTGGAGAGTTTGGACACATGCATCCTAACTTTTATTGCTTGGGCCTTCCAGTTTTTTGTCTCCTTGATGCAAACACTTACAACTTTGTCTCTCCCTTTCCAGCGACATGCCTAACATCACGAGTGAGAACGGTCTGCGTGTGTTGGTGACAGGAGGGGCAGGGTACCTGGGCTCCTCGCTGGTCCCCATGCTCCTGCACGAAGGTTACCACGTCACCGTATATGATATCTTCGTGCACGGCATCTTCTCCCTCCTCCCGGTGGCCGACCACCCCAGGCTGCGCGTCGTCTGCGGAGACATCCTGGATGTCGACGAGCTGGCCGCGGCCATGGCAGACGTCGACTTCATCGTCCACTTGGCGGCCATTGTGGGTTACCCCGCGTGCGACGCCAACCCCAAACTTGCTGTCAGGGTCAACAAGGTATGGTCTGGGAAAAAAATAAAAGAGAAGTTGACATCTGTGTTAATCACAGGAGCCACAAAATCAAATACAATGTACTAGTACCTACTACCAGGCTTTTTTATTTTCAAACTATTTATTTGATTAACTTTTAAATACATTGTTAAATGGAAACTACAAATTAACTTTGAAAGTAAAGAGTTTCTTCAACCGAGATGCCCTAATATGAAAACCAAGAAATTTGATTAGTAGGGCCTTAGCCCTTACATTGTAAAAGCACCCCTAATGATGGTGAGTTACTGAATGTGAAAGTAAAGTGCTGTTTTATCTGTCATCAGGAGGGTACAGAGAACATCGTCCGCTTGTTGCAGCCACACCAGGGGATGGTGTACTCGTCCACGGGCTCGTGTTACGGAGCTGTGGAAGGTACGTGTAACGAGGAGACTCCCATCAGCCCCCTGACCCTGTACGGGCGCACCAAGGCAGAGGGGGAGGCCGCCGTGTTGGCTGCAGGGGGCGTTGCCCTCCGTCTGGCGACAGTCTTCGGTGTGTCCCCGCGCCTGCGCCTCGACCTACTCGTGAATGACCTGACCAACCGAGCGCTGAAGGAGCATCACTTCTCGCTCTACGAGGGCTCCTTCCGGCGCACCTTCCTGCACTGCAAGGACGCGGCTCACGCCTTCGTCTTCAGCCTCAAGAACTACGAGCGCATGAAGGGCGGCGCCTTCAACGTCGGAGATGAGAAAATGAACATGACCAAGGCCAGCGTGGCCAAGTGCATCCAGGAGATGGTCCCAGGGTGTATCATCACGCTGTCGGAGGACGGGGAAGACAAGGATAAACGGGACTATGAAGTTTCCTACGCCAAGATCCGTAAGCTTGGGTACCATTCCACTCTTAGTGTCCAAGATGGCATACGAGAGCTGGTGAAGGTCCTGCCTGCAATGACAGAGGAGGACATCATACGCTGCAGGAACGTATGAAACATGGCACGTGTCGCCCTCCTTTCAAATCTTAGACATTAGGCGTGAATGTGTGTGTGTGACTTCACTAAAGATAGGTTCTCAGACATAAAAACATATAACAGAATATATCAAGACTAAATGTAAATTATAGTCTCCAGTATTTATGTTTTTGATCATGCGTGTTAATGTGATGAATGATTAAATCACAGTAGTCCTGAAGAAATTGCTTACCTGATGTTAAACTAACCCATTCTTCTGCAGGAATACAACTATATGTATATAAACCGGGAAGTGTCATACAACATTGCACAAGTTTTGCATGGATGGATTTGTGCTGATCATTAGTAATGCGTTTTATAATCCCTTACATTTATCCCTTACATTTTATATTATTAAATCATAATGTTACACATCATCACATAATACATATAAACTTGTGCAATTAGATGAATTCTATGAATATGTTTGACTCTTTAAAGAATTTATCCAGTTGCTTGTTGTATTTTGTATTATGTAATACCCTACCTAGATGTCTAGTATTCATCAAATTACAGTTTACAGCAAGTTTTTTACAGCCATTTTTAAAAGCATTTTTATTATTTCACTCCTTATTTCTTTCATGGGTGCACAATTGACCATACAATAAGATTCCATTCTACTTGGAAAGATGGCACATTTGTCTTAAGGTGTTCAATGTATGATTATGGTATTGGACAACAGTATTTGGGAATGAAAAAGCGACATCTTTGCATTTTACAAACATCCTAATCTCCAAGAAGAGCATACGGTGGCAAGGAGTGTCCATTAGCCACCGATAAATCTGGTACAATGTCCCTTCAATTAAAAAATCAATAACATGACGATTCTGTATCATAATGCTTTCAGTTTTGCTGCCAAACCCCTACATTGAGCACCTTTAATCAATTGATGAGTCAGGAAAAGTTGTGAGGTAGAAAATGATCAGACTGGTAAGAGAGTGTCTACATGATAGAGAGTTTTAGAAATACTGAGTTGTTGAATGTGAACAACGTATAGGTGTGTGCAATCAACATGAGGCAAAAACTAGATAAACTTGATTGTCACAAACTGAGAAACTTTAATGTCACGTAAAAAATGTCTTCTTATAGATTAAGACTGAAGTAGCTGTGTCATTTTAGGTAAACGACCAGGTTGGATAGAGTACTCGTATTTTCTTGTGTGAAACTTGTGTAAAACTAGTATACTTGTATAAAGCTTTGGAGCTATGTACAAAATGAGCTGGTTAAGTAGCATAACAAATATCAATTCCAGAGTATGGTAACTCACCACTCACTGTAACTGGTACATACATATACTATATATGTGAACCTAATGACAGTAGCTTATTTGACAGCATGTGCCCCCCCCCCCTCAATTCCTTGCAAAACCCCTTTCAGATCCTATTCCCTGTTGGGATGTACAGGGCACTGTGGGTAACACAGTGGGTAACCATAATCAATGAAAACATAGAATGGACACAGTACGCAAACACTGTCATGGCAATGGTATTGTTGTCCCAATATTACCCATAATGCCCATGTCTCCCAAGAGGTAATGGATCTGTAAAATGGTTAGCATGGATTGTTGAAAATAGCAAATATTTGGCGTACTGTGGTCAGATCTCTTTTAGTACTTTTACAGGGCTAGTTTTCATATTGGAAAGTCTGTTACAGTATAGACCTACTTTGTTTAGAATGGAGATGACAACTGTATGTATCACCTGTGTAACAATGGAACATTGACAAGTAGTTATGCATGTTCAGAGTGCCTGCACTTTGGCTATAGGGACTCAGCACCCAAAACGGTTTTGCCATGATAAAATATACTAGGAGATACATGTTCAAAATACCAGAACATAATATCTGCCAATATTCTACATGAATAGACCTACATGTACACTGGAGCATATACCTATTTTGTTACTGAAAACATGTTATTTCTAACACAAAGATGACAAGTAAGCACTGGAAAAAGATTGGGAGTAGGTTCTTAACATGAGATACCCAAGGTCCAAATAAACATTCTGTTAACTGTCCATTTAAGTTTATGTCATCATTGAAGACCTCTCACTTCATGGAATTGTTCGGGTACAAGTCTGGGACAGTTGAAGAAAATTGGTTTGATATGGCATTGTTGGTTTGTTTGTATAGCGTGGCAATAGTCTAAATGGGATAGAACTCAGCCAATAGACTTTTAGTGTTCAAAGCATTCCATTGTCTGATAGTAAGAGTAAGAAATAAATACCCTGACAATTTAAACTTTGCATCAAGAATCCCATCACATTCCAATTGCTGCAAAAATTAGAAAAGTCAATGTGGTCAAGCTTGAATACGTTTCTATTGTTGGTCTGCTTTCAAATATACGTATAAGAATAGAGAACCAGAAATTAAAAGGCGGGTAACATCAACTCTCATAATTATGCCAGGTACCCTAAGACCAGTCATCAAAAGGTCTTGAAGACCTCGTTTGCATAATTAATGAGAAAAAGTTTGCACATTGGATTTTTTATTCAAACATTTCCAGTACCACGTTTACCATGCAAGAGAATGACGTCATGGTTTGCTTTGACATGTCTTACAGTGATGGCTCCAATCAAGGAACTTCAACAACAGGTGATAGAATGTCCTTGCTCCAACTTTCATTAAACATCTCTTGACTATGAGCAGATATAATAATTCCTAATTGATTGTACAAAAGAAGATTATAGTACAATTTACGAGATCCAAGTAAAGAGGAGAAAATCATCAAAAAGTCCATTCCAAATTTGTACTCATCCTGTTGTCAAATAAACAAGGACAACCTCCTTCGAACAACAAAACACGACCTTCTCGACACACGTTCCTATTTCTTCATGAATGTTTCATTTTGCCTTTATGTCTTGTAACGTTAGAATAACAAAACTGGTATAAACTTTGAAAAGGGACATTGCTTTGATACTAGCAAATAAAATAGTGGAAGCAAACATTGCTCCTTCATGTAATACTCAATGGTTAGGTAGCAGACCAATTACTAGTAACTTCAAAGGAAATACCTTAGCCCCTTGATGTTAGATATTTCATTACCAAGAAACATCGCTAACTTTGGAATTTCTTCTCCGAGGCTACGAAAATAACACCTACTGGTGCGGGTTCGACATTCTTTCCTTTGAAGACCTATAGGCTTGGAGAGAGAAAGGTAGTCCCATAGCCTTTTTGAGGCTAGGCCTAGACACTCGGCCATTCGACGCTACAACAGTGGAGATGACCGAAAACGTAAATGTGGAGGTTTGGGAGGAAAAAATGAGCGGCGACCTGGAAGGCTCTAGCCCTCCCGAGGAAAAACAGTGTCTTCGGCGGCGGGAAACAGCGACTGGGCGGCTGGGCTCGTCTGGACGTCCCCCCGATCACACTCCGCTCAACTCTGGAGACAAAACAACCATCACGATTCACGCCGCGGTACACAGGGAGACGTCTTCTCCACAGAAGGAAGAAGTATCGGCTCAAACGCCTTCGTCATCGCCTGAAGAGAATGAATTTGACCAGCTTTATGAAAATCGAAAGGCAAAGGGTATGTTGATTTTTCTAACTTACACTATAATTACTGATTAAATTTGGCTACATCTCTCCGCTGGAACTTGTGGAAAACAAGTTTGTAGAGAGCGAGTTTATTGTATGCAGCAGCCGGAGTTTATCAGTCTAGTAGCTATAGGCCACACTGCTTGATTAGACATAAGGATGACATCCGTGCGCACTTATCAACTTCAATAAAAAAATTGCCATCACACACTGTAAATCTTACTACAAAAGCCGGATAGTAGGCAAATATATGCCGTTAATTGAAAATATATAGTGAAGTCTTCCAAAGTTAAAGAAAAAGATATGAAAGAACAAAAATAGAGAATTTATTATTTTGTATACTGTGTTGTGTAGTGCGTGTGTATTCAGTCATTTGTTCAATCTTCGAGACAACTTATATTTCATAATTAAGACAATTTTGGGCACAGCATCATCCATGTATTAAATCAGCATTAAGTGTAAAGACAGAGCAGCATGTCTATGTTTGATACCATGGAGTGGCTGATCTCAGACTTTTTCTATAGAATGTAGTGCAGGCATAGTTTTTGGCTAAGTACACGGTATACATCAGGGCGAACCCCCACTCTTCTCGAGTGTTGGGTTCTTTTATATATGTATGCCTGAAGAGGAGAATAAACCTGTCCCGAAAAGAAGGACACAATTTACACTTCCAGCCGTTTGCATTGTGCCAGTATAATAGTAACAAACTTGTGACAGGCAATGCGCGCCTTATGGATACTAATGATTACGAGTACGTATGTGAGCAAAATCACTGTTACATGGGTACAGGGTATAAATGATTAGTCTCTACCAGACTAACTACGCTGGCTATATATATAGGGGATCCGGAGTTTGACCGCCTTGTAGGATTGACTGGCCGCGCAGTTAGGGAAAGAAATTACCTCCCCGCGGCCGGACTCAATTTCTCTCTTTTTTGCCGAATTCTACCATCCGTATTCCCGTAGAAAGGGCTGGTGGAGGATAATAAAATGATTTACAGAGGCCCACAACAACAACTAAAATACGTGTAGGCAACGAATGGTCTGCGTCGTTGTGGTTTCGGTAATAATTCCGCATAACTGATTATTTATATACCCAGCTGAACTTCTTTGAATCGACCGTGCATACAGGTATATGGTATATAATGGATCGAATGACATTCTATCTTTTCATCCCTTGTCACGTCGTAACGTTTCCTCAATATTTCAGTGTCTCTACCAGTTATGGAGCCACAACCTCAGCCGGCCGATGTCGCCTGCCGCCCGCCGGACCCACTGTACGTCAGACGGGTAGGACAGAGGTTTTGGTCTACCAAACGGATTCTCGACTGGCAGAGACAGGCACTACGTGTAAGGGAAGACCCCGAAGCAGTCTTGAAGCCTGTTAGAGAATATGGCGAAGGCTCTGCTGGAAACAAAGAACCTGCTGCTGATGATGTCCAAAACCAAAAGAATTTCAAGAACGACGGAGAACACAAATACTACCAATATGATGAAAATCACCGACATTACGAGAACGATGGGGAACAAGCACATTACGAGAACGATACAGAGCACGCTCATTACCAGAATGACGGAGAACACAAATATTACCAATATGATAAAAATCACCGCCATTACGAGAACGATGAGGAACACGCACATTACGAAAATGATAGAGAACACAAATGTAACACGTACGATAAAAAACAATCGCATTATGAAAACGACGAGGAACAGTCGAACTTATCCACCCACGTTTATGCCGATTTAGACCCCGACTTTCTTGCAGCACAAGATGCGATACAAAATGCATCAGCTCAGCCATTCTATGAGATGGATATCTTAAATGCTGATGAAAAGGAAGAACAACCATTTTACAAGATGGATGTCACCGCTGCCAAAGACAAGCAACAAGAGCAACCCTTTTACGAGATGAATGTCGTCTCGGCTACCGAGGAGAAAGACCAGCAGCCCTTCTACCAGATGGACGACAGTCACCTGGACCAGCCGGCTCCGCCCAGTAATGTGTACGCCGATTTGGATCCCGAGTTTGTCGCCACACAAGACGAAGTTTGCAGGAGAGACCGAGTCAAGGCACCGGACAGAGGTAAATGATAAGCCAACAAGAGTTCCACGATCTCATACCTTCGCCAAATGATGTTCAACCCTTGTGGTTGACGAATTATACAATTTTAATCATTGATTTTGCAAATAAGAGCCTCATTTGCATGGATTATATTTATCAGTTGATCATATTCTCCACCAAATGATAGCCTTATCTTACAAAAAGGCTATTATAGCACTTCCACATAAATTATGCAAATGAGGTCATGATTTGAATTAATTATGTTTATTGATGTTCGCCTTCACTTAACTTCCAAATGTGGCAAGTATGAAATTCCCAGCAGTTACGACTATGAAATTATAAATATTTCCCATTAATTATGCAAATTAGGTCTTCATTTACATAATCTATATCCTCAGATGCTTTTTTTTATTCTCAATTACATGTCACAAGTGTTTCATAGTCCTATTATCGAACAAAGCAGATTTTTAGAATTTCCTCATTAATTATGTAAATTAGCTCCTGATTTGCATAATTGTTATTTGATTATGTCAAGCATCCCTTCAGCTACCTACATACCAAAAATCACGACAATCCGTCAACCGGTTCTTGAGTTATCATCCTTCGAAAATTTTTCAACAAATGCTCCTGCAATTTCAGAACAAGCCGCTAGGGGACCCAAACTCATGTCACTTCTTCCCTACCTCAAGAGCTATCTAACAACAAAAATTCGTGACCCTAGCATGTCCAGATCGCGAGATATCAAAACCGGAAGTTCTGCTGCAGTACCAACAAAAGCCGCCAGGGGGCCCAAAATCTAATCATTTCTAGGTCTCATCAAGACCTACCCACCTACCAAGTTTCATAACAATGCATACTAAACTGCTTGAGTTATGCTGTTCACAGACAACCAGACAAACAGACGGACAAACGCTACTGAAAACATAACCTTCTTGGCGAAGGTAATAAATAATGGACTCCAGGAAGGGTAGTGGACTAATAGTCTAAATAGAGATCAAACAAAATAAAAAAACAAAACACATGGGAATGAGTTTGAAAAATTAATGACAGTCACATGAGCCTGGAACAAATACGACGACTTTCTTTCTCTTTAATTTTTCTCCGGTAACACACTGCTCTTATTCATGTTCACGTTGATATAGTACCTAGACCCCGGCTGGCCTTCAGGTCCCGTCAAGCCTGCGTGGCGGGTGTTTCTGTCGTCATTGCCGTCACTGCTGCAGTTGTGGTGGCCGTAATTTTCAACCAACGCGTACTGAGTATCCGCTCTGACGACATGGTAAGATTGTTATTATTTTAGTATCATTTGTCTACAATACGTTTGCATGGATACACACACGGGCTAGTTCAAACGTTAACACACCAATGTGACTATTGCATGCATTTCTTGTTACTAGCTGAACCAGGCAACACTTCCAACGACCTTAGCGAGAATGTCATCTGCCCATCCACATCTACAAGTAACGTCACAGACTTGGACAACTGAGGGAAAATGTAAGTCTGAAAAAATTGGAAGAATACTTATCATTGAATCTTACACCCCATCCCCTCCATGCGTCAATGACGTCACAGACCTGCCTGTTGGTACTGGCCATCCTAAGGAGTTACGGATAGTAAGATTCAACAAAGATAGGGCCAATAATTTTCCAGGGGAATGAGCTGCTGAAAGGGTAACATTTATCAAAAGTCTAAGGTGACCAATTATTCTCCCTCGTGCACGTGATATTTGGCTTAATTTCACTATTTTTCAACCCGCGTTGTTAGCCTGGGGGAGAATACCAATTTGTGGCAGGATTTGTAGTAAGCTGAGAAAAAAATTTCCTCTTCTTTTGTTGCAGCTTGGCAAAGTGAGTGGACCTTGTACATCAGAGAGTACTTCGGAGAAAACAGCGATGATGCCACGGCACTGGAACAACGTTATGCTGCCAACGAGGTTATGATGTCCCTGTTACAACACAGGTTCTTCTGGCCCTGGATATGTCGGTACTGGGCTGTTTACATGGCTCTCCCATGCACCCTGTCCAGGGCTCTTGTCTTCTGTGTCAAATTTGGAACTGAGAGTGAGTACATGACGTCCCATGGCATATCTACATACAGTCAGTTCTTTTCCTCCGCGCGGACAGCCCTGGAAACAGTGCCAAATGTGACAACAATCACAGACAGTGCGCTTCCTTGCTTTCCCGCAATATTACGGCTATCCCGACAGGCTCTGTCGGATAATGACGTTGAAGCTCTAGCTAATCTTTTCCCATACCTAAAAGGTGCAGGTGGGCTTGTCATTGTTAACTGTGGGCTTTCAGCAAAGGCAGCAACATCAATAGCGGAACAGCTGCATCTCCTGAGCAAGCTGACAAGACTTTATCTTCAACAAAATAAGATTGGAGATGATGGCGTCAGAGCGATTGCAGAGACATTTCCACGTCTAAAGAAACTGAGAGAAGTAGACTTTACAGCAAATTCAATAACTACTGTTGGAGGAGAAGCCATGGCAAAAAGTATAATTCACTTGCAGGAGCTACAGGTTCTCTACCTGCCGAACAATGCGCTGGCTCTCAGTCTCTCCTCACTGGCAAAGGCCTTCGTCAACATGCCGAGACTGAAGCGTGTTAACCTGGTTGACGTGACGTGTAAAGCCGCATCATTCCGCATGGCGGCGCAGCAAGCACGAGACGCTGTCCACATCATTGCAGGACAAGTACGCAATTTCCGCGGCACTACTCTGTACGATGGTTCTCGTGCAAGTGAAGGTGGTACACAGGAACTGGCATGGCTGCAAGTGAAACGGGAACTACAAAGAAGAGTCCGCATTAATATTTCAAGGGGACAGTTGACAGTGATCTTACGAATCAGGCAGGTGTAGGGCATGCCAGTGGTGTGGGTGGATGTGGGGAAACAGTCAGTGCGATGAGAAGGGCAGTAACATGGTAGGTACACACGAAGAAAACTGCTTTGCTGACACCTATCCACATACCAAATGTTATTCAGATATATTCACAGGTTTCTCGAGTTATCCAGGTATAACAAAGATCAATTCTCTGACATTTTCAGAGCAGCAGTAATAGCTTAAATGCCTTCGCCCCTGAAGCGTCGCCAAAACGCACTAGAAGAAAAAATCTTGTGAAAATCATGAGAAGATTTAAAAATACAGTGAAGGCCATGCGTAAGTACATGTATAAAGGAATTCGAAATCCCGACGACAATCATAGAATCTTTCTTTCCTTCGTCTTTTCCTCTCATTCTATCTACATGAGTTCAGTTTCCTCATGCATAATAAAACTGAAACTTATATTATTTTTGGCCCCCATGATTAATTGTTCCACAGTTCGTCAGAATATAAAGACATTAATCGATTTTTACGCACGCACATAATGTCGTTATGAAACGACACTGGGCGTCTGCTTCATGCTGGTATTGCATGAATTATTTCATGAGAAACAGAAAATTCAAAAAACAGCGAAGGGAGATATTACTAACGTATAGAGGGGGGGGCATAGCGCGTCAAAAAGTGGACACAATTTATGAATCAATTTCTCAACGGTCTTTTAGTGAGCAGTCAACTATCCACTATAAAGATTGTTGAAACTCATCGGTTGCCCAACCGTGTCCGTCCTTTGAAGACAACCAAGACCATGACTTCAAGAAACAAAAATTGGTACAAAATACCTTTCACAAAATTTAGCTGTATTACATCGGAAATGTCTTAGCTGACCCCATCTTATTATTATCTCAAAACTATGTTCGGTCCTTGCCCCTCTAAAACTATGAATTTATCGTTATTGTTGCATTTGCCAGATTGGTACACTTTTCTAATATTTTCCGTCCACATTTGCCATCTATCGCTTGTAAAGAGTTAATCATGAAGTTATCCTGATTTCGTTTCATCTACGGTACTAGTATAATTTCACTGAACACAACAAGAAATCAATCTTATACCTCCATAAAATATAAAACATATCATGACAATTCCACTGGCGTCCATAAGGCAATAGAGATGTATAGAATCAGTGTCCCCGATATCGATGTGTCCGTCACGTGGGAACAACTACGGAAACACAAGCAAACACACAAAGGCACACTCCGAAAAGTCTTACCTCAGCTTCAAGTGTTGTCGATTTCGATATCATTTTCATAGACATGAATGTCTTGGTTCGCACTGTCGCTGTGATCATTCTCGTAGACATGAATGTCGAGACTAGTACTGTCATTGTCGTAGACATGTATGTCTTGGTCGGTGATGTCGTTGTCATTCTCGTAGACATGAACGTCTTGGCTTGAATCGCCGTTGGGCAATCCATTTTGAATGCGCTGCATTGGTATGTTGACTGGCGGAGGAGATAAAGAGTCTTCCTTGACTCCATACTTTCGCCTCAAGACCACGTGTATCAGTAGAATTACAATAATTACAGATACAATTACCGTAGAGCACAGGACTTTGAGGAGAGTTGGTGAAAGGATGCTGTGCTCGGACGTGTTAGAGTTTTTGAAATGGGTACTGGTTGTCACTAAGTTCAAAACTAGTGACACTGCTTGGGTTGTGTGGAGGGTAGTACTAGTGGTCATGACGATGGACGTTTCTTTTGCCAAACGCGTGGTGGTTGTGTAGACATGTTGTTCGCAAGCGGCAGCAAGACTGGCGACTTTTGATATTGGCCAGCCTTGCACGTTTTCTGGGGAGTTACAGACGAAACCGGCACCATTCTGATAGCGGAGGCTGAGGTGTAACGGGTGCTCACGGTACAGCTTACATGACATTGAATCATATCCGCTGATGCATTTCTCACGCACCAAGATCAGTGTCTGCAACCAGGCCATTCTACAGTCACAGTGAAGGGGGTTGCCTTCTACACATGTTCTATAAAACTCTGGATCACCCGACACGATGCCAAGATTTTCCTCTGAAAATGTTTCTAACTTGTTGTGACTCACAGAGAAGTAAATCAACGATCCTCTATTCACGGACACATCCACGTACGTTATGCGGTTGAACGACAAATCTAGTTCCAGTATGTTTGGAATATTCACAAGCGATTTCCACGACACATTGCTAATGGCGTTACGAGAAAGATTTAAATGTTGCAGGCTAGCCATCGATGGGAATTCATTGATAACTTGTATCAAATTGTTTTGCAAATAAAACGCAGTGACAAAACGAGAATAGGCAGTTTGAGGGAATGAAGTGATATTAAGTCCTTCGCAGTGCAGGCTTAAGAAGTCAACTACTTCGCATTTGTGCGGTATGCCTAAAGCTGAATTCACCAAAATCAACGCGAGCAGAACACGCTTCATGCCGATGATTCTTCTTTAAATGAAGTAACACACAGCAGCGGATTATAAGTACCGTTCGATGAAACGTTTGTCGACTCTCTAGCTCTCCAGGTTATTCGATCCAATGATGTCTTATATTACATCCATGATTTGAAAGTCGTTTCAATCACGTAGATGATTATCATGTATTCACACATTTCATTGAGACGTCTGTGTTGAATTTGAAATGATTTTAATCTGGACACTACTTTTTGAGATAGATTATTTCACCGTAGCTTGGAAAAACCGTATACGTGGACTTACTTCTTTATTCAATGTGGCCTTCTTAATACAGCATGGTTGGGACAATTCGGCAAGGCGACGGTTTACGTGTATATGGTGACGTGAACTGTCTAGGTGATTTTCTGGACGATAACCCAGATAGACACCTTGCCACACAGACGACGTCTGCACGTGTTCCTGACTAGTGGACCTTCTGCCCCAGCCGAACAGAAATCTGAAACGTCCCTAAAGAAAATAGAAAAGGCAGAGAATTTAGATATCATCTTATTCGATGACGTATATTTTGTGTCAGAAAAATAATGGCTTTCATACTTTGTAATTATGTACAAGCAACGTTTTTTTTTTGTTAAAGCAAGGGCATTATACACAGATGTATAATGTCCTTGGTTAAAGTGAATATTCGTAGCTACCAGCATGTAGACTATGGCCAGCACTGTTCAAGCCTATTTTACAACTTGATACAGGTATGCAAGATCTTGAAACGTGTAATTCGGTCAGACTAAGGAGAAATTGTTGACCTCCTTGGTCTGACACAAATTTAAGCTTACCTATGGTGTTCTTAAGTGTCATGTGCACAAGTTGGCATCAGTGGCAGCAGGCACTAAAGGATGGCAGACGTACAAAATTGTAGTAAGCAGGGGTCGTTTCATTTGAACAGGCGGCGGTGGCGGCGTTGCGGTTGCGGTCTCTAGTGATACATGTACGAACACGGTTGACGTCCCATTGTTCCAAGATTGCAGATCCCGCGGGACCGTTTGACAATTGTGTCTTAATGAACAGGCGAATATGATTTGATTTGTCTGGGTGTGGGTGGCACATGTACAGTTACGTGACTAGACAGCGTTTATGTCCCTTTTACCATTAAATGGTAGAATTGTTGCTAAAATAGATGATGATATTTCTGTTCAGGACCAGGATATGTAAAGCAAACACGGTTTTCAATATATTTGGTTGCTTCCAGCCATTGGCGTCAAAAGTTTGTGTTCAAAAACACGTTTCTTAAGCTTTCTGACTTGAGACATCCCCTTGAGACAAGAGAAAATAAGTTACAGAAAACTACAGGCCTGTTCTAAATTGAAAAATGACTTTGCCTTTGTGAACTGTGGCTACAGTTGGGGTTCTCCAGATAATATCAACTTCATCAGGCCAAACCTGTCTGTATTTGCCACTGCCAGTAAAGAGCAAATGCTGAATTCTAGTATATGTATACCTTTGTCTTATTACCTTCGCCAAGAAGGTTATGTTTTTAGGGGCGTTCGTGTATGTGTGTGTGTGTGTGTGTGTGTGTGTGTCTGTCTGTCAACACGATAACTTGAGAAGGCCTTGATGGATTGTCTTGATACTTGGTAGGTGGGTAGGTCTTGATGAGACCTCAAAATGATTAAATTTTGGACCCCCTAGCGGCTTGTTATGGTACTGCAGCTGAACTTCCGGTTTTGATATCTCATGATCTAGACATGCTTTGGGGATGAAATTTAGATGGTAGGTAGCTCTTGTGCTGGGGAAGAAGTGATGTGAGTTTAGGCCCCCTAGCGGCTTGCTCTGGAACTGCAGCGATATATTCTTGAAAATATTCAAAAGGGGATAACTCAAGAACCGGTTGACGGATCGTCGTGATTTTTGGTATGTAGGTAGCGTACGTGATCCTTCATATAATTATGTGACAATTATGCAAATATGGATATAATTTGCATAATTTATGGGGAAATTCTATAAATCAGGTGCATTCCATGATAGGACAATTAAAGCTTGTGACATTGGTAATTGACAACGAGAGAAACACAGGAAGATATTGATTATGTTAATAATGACCTAATTTGCATAATTAATGAGAAAATTTTATAATTATGTAATGATAACTGCCTGGAATTTCATACTTGTGGTATTTGAAAGTTAAATTGAGGTGAACATCATTAAACATAATTTATTCAAATCAGAACCTCATTTGCATAATTTATTAGGGAATGCTAGAATGCATTGTTTGTTAATATAAGACTGTTTTTTTGGTTGAGATTATGATAAAATGATATAATTCATGAAAATCAGGTTCCTATTTCTTAAATCAGGGGGGAATAATCTAATCTATAATTTGTCAGTCATAAAGATTAACATCATTTGGCGAAGGTATGAGATCGGGGAACTCTAGTAGTTAAACACTACAACAGAAAATACATGAAGCACACATTTACCAAGATATGACATCATTGTAGCATATATTTCTCAAAACTTCTATAACCATGTTGATGTAAAAACACCAAAGACAGGAATAGTAATGGCAGATAAGCTGATGTATCTAATTGTGGTATAATCATAGAACCTGTATGATGTGTGTGTTAACTTATAATTATGGTATAAAACTTAATTTCTTGAGGGCAATCCCAAAATCTCAAATGGAATGGATGCAATAAAGAAAGATGTACATTTTGATTTGTAAAATAGTATCTGGGGTACATTCCTCGGACAACCTCAAACAATCATCAAACAAATTTTTGCTATCCTATTGCTGTTGTTTAAATCTTATATAATCGATGTGCACTGTATCGTCTACATCCAAGATATGTTATACCTTTTGATATGTGGTACATACAAAATCTCTGGCCTAGAACAACTGCTAAAAAATTCTGGTCTCTCACCAAATTCTAAGTATAGTTGAATTTACTCATGCAAACTTAAGTATCACCAAGCATACAGCCTTCCTGAACAGCTCTGTAAATAAATTGTAATGTTACATATAAACAAAACTTTATGGAACTAAGCCAAAATATAAAATGTAAGGGACAACAAGAAACTGCAATGATACAATATATTGTTATGGCAAATTATTGCTATGGACACAACACTATCAAATAATGCACAACCATGATTGCAAACTATTACATAGGTTAGCACATGGACCTTTTCATAGGTTCATCTGCTGGGAGATGCAGGACACTATGGTTAACAAACATCACAACCATGACAACATGTATGCCAGTCGGTTGTTTTTTTTTTTACCTTTGTTTAGCCTTGAAAGATTACACTTCGGCCATAGCCGCTTTTCAAGTGCTCAAGTGCTCAAGCTTTTTGTTGTCATGGTAATGATCTGTTCCCACCTGCATTTCCCATAGTGCCATGCATCTCCCATGGGATCCATCAAAAGGTCTTTTCAAGAATCAAACCTTATCTTATCACCTTCCTCTTAACCACACCCATTATAAGCGTGATGTCCAGAACAGCTGAACATTTTACTTGGATGCTACTGTTGGGTATTTGTCAGTTTGACAGTACTGTTTGCCCATGATGTAGGCCACATGACTGGAGGTCTGTCATCAGTCTGAGTCTTCCTCATCTCCATAGTCATTGTTGTAGTCACCAGCAGATCCTCCTGGGCAGGAAATGTAATATACCAAGCAGTTATGCAACTGTTTTATCATAGAAAGTCTCTACAGTGTTGATTTTAGATGTTATCATGATGCTCAAAATTAATGTACAAGTCATTGATTCTAGAGAGATAGAAACTGAGGAGCGTTCTGGTAGACCAGCGATGGGTGAGCAACTCTATCTGGACCTAGAGGGCAAGAGTTTGAATCCTGGCTGTTGTTGCTCACCATACACTACTGGAAAGGGTCACAGTCATTAGAATAAGACATTCACCATGGTCCACTGTTCATTGAGCTCGTTGAAAAGAGTTGGGGGTACTTCCCAGTGAGTACAACACACCTTTAAATACTGTACAAATAGTCTGTTCTCACTGTCACAACCAGTGGAAAATCAACTCTTTACTGAGCTAAGCTGGCTTGATATCACTTGAACTCCATATTGTAGAATTCACCTGTTCTTCTCTTCAGGATAGCAGCAGTCTCTGGCTCAGTGGCTAGCTCACTTGCCAACTTGTTATCTTGGTTCCTCAGATCTGCTCTTGCACCTGAGGGGGGGGGGGTCACATGGAAAATATATCAAGATATAGTTTTCAAAGACATAACCTACAAAAATGTAGATAATACCCTACGACTTAGCTACATGTAATGTGTTAGGCCATGGTACATCAAGGCAACAATACTGATTGACTAACTTTGTTTCTTTGTCTATTCATCTGAAGCTAAAAATGGCCTGCAGGTACATGTAACTTAGCTACCAGTATTTCCAATATTCCCATCACCTCTGTTTAACAGCAGCTCCACCACATCTGCATGGCCCTTCCAGGCTGCATTGTGAAGTGCTGTGTCCCCTATCTTATTCTGCAATAACAACAACAGCACATCAAAATCATTATTATGATAAGGTCAAAAGATAGTAAGTTAATGACAGACAACATAAATGCAACAGGGAAGACTAAGATCTTGGTTCTTGGTAATGTACAAGTCTGATTTGACAAGTATGAAGAAAACTCACAATACATGTACTTGCAAATTACAATATCAATGAAATTCATTTGAACTGCAAATGAGAGATTTGGTGATCAAGGGATGCTGCAGTGGAAAGAAGTATGAGAAGGTTTCCTCTGTTAGTAAAACTGAAGAAGGATGAATTTTAAATAGCCAGTTCCAGTAAAAGCTAGCAGGAGAAAGACCTACTTTTGAATAAGCACAACAAATCAGGTGGACAACTGAAAAAAAGAGAATAGATAGCAAAGGGAAGGGAAGGGAAGGGAAGTGAAGAAAGAACAGTCAGAAAGATAAGACCTATATCTTAAAGAAAGTTACGAGTTGTGAACAGATAGACAAGGGAATTTGAAGGACAGACTGTTATGATACCACATACTGGTAACAATGTACAGTCAAAAGTTTTGTCTATTGAAAGAAGAAACTCAAAACAAAAGAACTTAATATAACATACCTGCTCGTCAATCCTTATACTGGGTACTTTTAGCAACTCTTGTACACATTCTGTGATGGTGAGATAGGGTGAGAAATAAGCAACATTTGTGGCAGCAGATACTGAGTAGCCTACAGCTGGTATCTATCTATTGTAGCTCTGATTTGCCCCTCTGATCACATGTAAGAATCTATACCATTCATCTGCATGGAAATTAGATTCATAACATGCATCAAGCACATTTGCAATTTTCCCATTCTAATCATAGTCCAGAATCATAAAAATGCTCCAAATGAATCTTAAGGCTTTAACAGATTCAATATTATCAAAACAGAATGTCTACCATCGTGACAATTAGTGCGGCAAAGCCATCAGTACATTGATGTTGGCCGCCAATCCACTAAGAAGAAGAATTAAAACCCACTCTTGGTAGTCCTTGAAGTTTACCATTGAAGATGACTGAGTGTTAGTGTCCTCAGTCAGCAATTATCCATACCCTAATAGCTCTTTTTTCTGTTTCATTGATGAAGTGCCCTTACAACTACTTACCTGCATGCCCGCCATGTGCTGCCCAGTGTAGTGCTGTGCATCCTGCCTTGTCCAAGGCATTCACTGCCACCTAGACATAACATTTAAATAATCCATCTATGTACAACTGCACATTGTATTGTGTTTGATAGCAGAATACAAACTTGAAGTTTATAATCACCTTTTTACCCAACACAAGAGAGTGTCAGGAAAGCAGGTCAAATACATGATGGACACATGACTCTTACAACCCAAAATTTTGTGACTCCTTTTTCTCTTGTGTTGAATAGATGAAAAAAATTACCATAAGAATATTTCTATGATTTACACGTACATATCCCATTTTGTTTCCCACGTTAAATTAAGTCCTTGGTTTGTGGACTCACAAGAGTCACCATTTCATTTTTTTTCCTTAATTAAAAAAAAAAGATCACAATATCATGCACCATTCAGGATATGAATTCCACCCATAAAATGGCAACCATATATGGCTGAAGAAAACCCGTCTTCCTATTGTAGCTATATTTTTTCTATTCATCAATGCAATAAAAGCTGAGAATCTATAATTGTTAAGCAGCATGTTCACATTTGGGTCTCCCATGGGATGCCTGCTTTTTTCATTGAGACAACCATTCTGTTATCTTTCTGCAAAATCTGAGAACCAAAAAACTTAATTGATGTGGTCTTAGCTTAAGGACCAAACCATTTTTGGCAAATGGGTGTGTTGACTCACCCTGTTGGCCAGGCACTCTTTCAGGAAGGTCATGTTTCCTGTCAGGAAGGAACAGCCCAGTGTAAGTGTGTGCCATAGATAAGTACAAGATAAACACATACAACAGGGCCTGTATTCAGTTCTGCCTATTCAAGTAATGACAGACATTCTAGATTCTGTGAAACTTTGTGTATTATTGCAAAATGCACACCAGGGATTTTTTACCAGGTATTATTAGGCTATCCTTTGGCAAATGGTATACCTAAACCTTTCAGTGTAAGAAATTTACTGTTGCATACTAGTACTTATATAGAATCACAGACCTTTATATTGTAAATGCTGCAATATCATGCACCAAACATTTTTTACAAAGATTAGACATTTGAGGATAACGTTTTCTTTGTACAGATTATGTCTTATATCCCTTACCTCTTTTTGCAGCCTCATGCATGGGGTTATCCACTGACTCCATCCCTTCTTCAACTGGGGTAAAAAACACACAAACACATGAAAAAATGTCTTGTAGTTAATTAGTATGCTGAATTACCAGTGCATCACTACAAATTTCCTGGAGGCAGAGCTTCTCACACAATATATACAAAGTTAACCCATGTCCATGATCCAAGATGGTCATTACTACATTGTATAAAAGTTGATCATGCACAAATTCAAAAAGATCAAATGTATTCAAGTCAAATCCCCCCAACTTCCTGCATCTTTTTACAATGAAAACAAATGGATAAAGAAATGACAATGGCTCAATTCACTTGTTTTTTCTATTCATGAATCATGACACATATTTCCTGGATGAGACAGACATAGGAATTCATTTATAGAAATTGTTTTGTCTAATAGCTGATGGTCACAATGGCAACTGCGGTTTTGCATCCTCACCGTAGTTACTGGGAATAAGCCCCGACCTCCCCTCACATGTAGCCTTCCACCAGCCAGAGTCAGACTGTGCAGAGATGAAAACACATCACTCACAACATATACATGTACATGGGCTCTGGACAACATCTAATCATTCTGAACAAATGCTCCTGTACCTGACTACCATGTGATTTTTGTAGTATAACATTTTGAAATCTAAGGACAATGAAAAGGAAAATTATTAATTAAGATGGTTAAAATGTTTTGCTTGCCTTGAACAACTAGTAGTAGTAACCAGTATCAATATTTCACATTGTACAACTATACTAACATGAACTTTTCAAAATCAGTTAACAAAATAAGGTTAACTTAATCAGTAAACCAGGTTATATTGTTTGTTTGTGATGAAAAATGCCAGAATTGGTTACACGGTCAAGCAACATATTGATGTATGACATTACTTACCATGTCATTGACATACAGCACATCTCCCTCCTCAAAACTCAGCTCATCGGCCTGAAATAGAAAGGTTATATAATAATCTTTCACCACAACATCTGCCAGGTATTTCTTTAATTTTCAGTGTTTCGATTTGGATAACCTCATTTGCATTCAGTGCCATGAAACAACCTAATTCAACTACAACACTAGACATTAATGATAGAAGTTTTCAAACATAATTACCTGTTGAGCTCTGTATGGGTACAAGGCTTTGAACACCTTTACTAGACCTGTAACGTTAAATAAAAGCAAAATGTGAAAAATGAAAAAATAATAACAATAGTACCATCAATGAAGACTTTGTCTTTGCTGATTGCTATTTCACGGGCTTCCAAAATCATTCAAAGTAATACATAGTCTCTCCTGAAAGTGAGAGTTAGTGTAGCATTGAAATGCAGCACATTGAACAAACATCGTGTTTTCTGTTTTTGTCCAATTTCTTCTCTCTAATATTTGCAAATTCGTCACCTTACCTGGTTTGGGAGCAAGTCTTGGTGGAGGAGGAGCGGGCCTAGATGGCTTCGACATGACTTTTAGGCAAGAATTTGGTCAGCTGAAAAGAGGAAAACCGAAAACTTCTGTGATTGTGTGAAAGGCGGAAGTAAAATGCCGTCACACCCTCTGTGAGGTTAAAGGTCAAAGTACTTGAGGTCAAGTTTTCGCGCGAAGTTTCATATGTTTTGTTTTCGAAAAACATCGACTGCGTTTCCCGGGTCAAGTCACGGTTTGAAAGATTTTATAACGTTTGTCGGAGAAACGATGTCGGTTCGTAAGGTAATGTGTGTTTTTTTTTACTAAGAAACCCGTTGTCATTATTAAACATTATATGAGGTAGGATAAATTTACTGAGTGGGGAGGGGGGTCGTGTGGCGCAGCGGTAGCGCGTTCGGCTCGGGACCTAGAGGTCCCGGGTTCGATCCCCACCCATGTCACCGATCTTGTGCCCTTGGGAAAGGCACTTTACACGACTTTCCTCACTTCACTCAGGTGTAAATGAGTACCTAGCTTCGGTTAGGGACGTCCCTCGGATAGGACGTTAAATGGAGGTCCCGTGTTTGGGGAGAGCCACACCCCACGCACGTTAAAGAACCCACCACACCTTTCGAAAAAGAGTAGGGGCATGCCCCGGTGTGCGATGGTACAAATTCTACAATCCGGAGTCTTGCCAAGAATTGGCATGCCATAATGATCAATATAATAACACTGGTCATCTCAATTTAGGAAATTCACTGGCCATTTGGAATGTCAAGTAAAAATTAACATTTTGCATTCAAGTTTCACATCAGTGCGCAGGTCTTGGTGTAAGGAATATAGTGATATGAAAATTATTGTTCTGCAGTATTCATAACTTTAGATATCATTTATAGAAAATGCAAGCAGACCGGCGGGTTTTTCAGCACCCTGACGGGGCTAGCAGCTACCCCGTCAGGACCAAATCACAGGACCGTCGGTGTAAAGTAAATACCCCGTCGGTGTAAAGTACTCACCCCGTCGGGGTGACACTGTCATAATCACTAAACCCGACGGGGTAATGTCACCCCGTCGGTGTGACAGTTCTGGTCAAAGAGGTGCAAAATCCCAAAACAAAGCGAGGAAAGATGTGAATTGATCAGTCTATACACACCGACAGGGCCAAGTTTACCCCGTCGGGGTGGGATCAGATACCCGTCGGGGTGAGCTCAGACAGTCATCCAATCCAATTGATGTGCAAAATCCACATTATCAGGACAAAGAATAAGTATGGAGAGCACAATCCACACTCTTCAATTTGCCCCTTTCAGCCAACTAAGGGTCACAAAAAAGAAAGATTCCAGAGAGCTTACAAACACATACTCACTATTCCAAGGATGATGTCTAATAGAATTTTACCATCAATATCAATATTGACTGAAGGTCAGGCCATATAAAATAATACTTAAATTTTTTCCTTCTATTTGTAACAATTGAGATGTAGAACACACAGGTCTTGCAAATAAATTGTTCAAGTTCCTCAATTGCTATTACCAGAGACTTGCTATTACACTGGCCACAATATTCAGGGATCGAAATTAACGGCTTCATATGGTCATAATGGTGTCATTTAATGAGCAAAATGCCTTAGCTGGTCAAGAATGGGAGCAATCTCTGACAATTGTCACAAAAGAGTGGAAGGAGGCCCTTTGTTATAATGTCTGTCATTCAAAATACACACTGCAAGCAGTACAAATCAGGACTCACTATTCTTCTCAGATATTTTTAGAGGCATCATGATAAGAAATATGTTGTGAAACTAGGAAGTTGGAATACATTAATTTTGAACCTTGGTACCACCAGGTGCAGAGTATTTTTGTGAGGATGTCATGAATGGTCTAACCAAGGAGCTTTAAAAAGCTTGGTGTGACAATAACTTGCTGAGAAACTTGACATTGTGTGATTTTGTCCCATTGTTCTGCCTTTGGTCAGGTAGACAAGTTAATTGGCTACATTGTTTACTTACTGAGATTTTTTTACAGTGAAAGGAGTTTCATCAACGTTAATGAATGCTCCTTTCAGCCACTTTGTAACTTTGTAGGTACTTTGTAGGTATTTGGCCATTGGTGCCCTGCAAAATAGTCTTACAGTGATTACATCCTACATTCATATTTCCTGGCCTGTTGGAGAAATACTTGTCAATGAATGATGTGTTTTGTTTACTGTACTACGGTCAAAATACTTCATAAATCTGTAAATGGGGAGAGACAACACTTTGGGTGGGTGGGGACATTTTGTAGCATGGTCTGTTCCATCAAGGAGCTCTAGAATAAAATTTTTAAGCTCTTGGTTCCATTTCCCGTAGGTAGGATCTCCAAGCAGATCAAGGCTGTAACCATTGGCCAAAGAAGAGACCATCGGCCACCCAATAATGGTCACCCCGGTGTTTTTGTGGAGTTTCTGTACATGTTTATGTCTGTATAAGTTATTTTATGTGTGTCAGGTGTATATGTTAATTGACCACAGGAAGAATAGCTGCAATATGAATTGTTAAGCTAATTGTGGATCTAAATAAACCAAACCAAACCAAAACCCCTTTGGCCTCGGGCCTTGGCCTTGGGCCTCGGGCAATGTTTACAGCCTTGTCACAGTAGGATCTGCTTGGAGATTATAGGTTGGTGGGTGCGATGTTTAAAAAAAAAGGGATTTTGCCTTTCTCCGATAACTTTCTTTTCTATAGACCCTGGAGTATTTTCTACATTACGTTACCACAGCAATGATATACTAGTATTTCTATACGAAGGTATAAAATCAAATTTAGGAGGGAGGACACTGTCCTTTCAAAAAGTTTGCCTCTGGTGTGACGTTCCAACTTCACCTTGAGGTGTCAATCACCCCCAATTTGCATAATGTGCACTGGCTTGGGTTGGCTCAGGCCTGAGACCTTTGTTTTTGTTCAGAGAACTGTGGTGACTGGAAATGAAGTACTAGCTCCAAGCAGATCCTAGGGTGGCAAAAAGACAGTATGAAATTGGCCTGGCAGTATCCATTGGCCCAATTTTCCTTGGGTTGGAAATAAGAAATAATTAAGGACAGTATCCTGACCAAGAAGGTTTATTGCAAGTCAGATATCCAGTTGTTATTAGATTGTGCCCGCTTTGTTTCAATATGTTGACTCGCCCAGAAACTACAACTTTGAGTGGGTTGATTTTGATTTTAGCAAATTTTCAGGAAAGAAGCAGGAATTTCAGTGGCAAAGCAACAGATTCAATTTAAGTTTACTCAAAAATTGGGAAAAAACAATGTTACGTATTCAATCTTTATAAAGTGGTTAGAACATTCCTTAGAATCTAGCCAACCTGGTTGAAAAAAAATGCCAAACAAATGGAAAAACCTGGAATTTGTTTATATTCAAGCATACATATAAGCCTAAATACTAGACTAAGTATTTACAAGAAGCCTAATATTTACAACTTGAACCTGCTTTCAAAGCAAGGAATTATACAATCCTCTATTTCTGTTCAAGAGCACCCATCCGGTAATTATTCTGCTCCAGCTACAATTGTTATGCGGGTTGTTCTTGACATGCAAATGTCACTGTCCAATTATCAACTTGATACAAATTATCCTATAAGGGATTATCCTATAAGGGAGTATTGTTGAATTACATGCCAAATTCCGTACCCATATCTGGGCAGCTTGTACTGGGTCACCCAGGAAAGGCCTGAAAAGATAGCCCACAAGGCTACAAGGTAGATGTAATTGTTTTCCCAAAAAATTACCTAGTACACATTGACTTTTTGGCCCTTCATCTGGTCAGATTTACTGTAAAGCATTTCTAAATTTCAATGCATGAAAGCATGGAGGTAAAAAATACCTCCATGATGAAAGGGGATAAAGGTCTCAAAATACTGAGTGCATAAACCTTAGTGCACCTGGTAAGATTGGGACTGTGCAGGTATTTCTGATGTCTACATGGCACCTAACATTGAACCTAGCCATATGGGTTAATAGGTACATGTAGTAGTAGGTGCATTTTTGTTTGCTGCATTGACTGTTAGCACCTAATAGTATGAAGTATAAAAAAAAATAATAGCAAGGGTCTCTTGACAGTTTTTATCATGATGCATACTTCTCAAAGTCTGAGTAAGTGCAATTTTTTTCTTCTTTCTCATCTGGTCCAGGTAATGTTTACCGCACCAGTGCAGGTATGCAGTGAAAAACATTTTGAGCCCTGGGGTATTCTGCTAATGATAGATGAGTTTATCCATGGAGTTTGAAAAGTTGTTATCAAAGTTTATTAAATTTTTAGCCATATCCAAACTCTATTCTTAGTCTTAGCCAGGTGAGATACAAAGGAGGTTATAACCTCCTTGCTAGAATTCATCCTATAGTGAGCTAAGTATTGGTGGACAAAGAGTCGATGAAAGACTAGATTTTAGATTTTTAACCTCCTTGTATGGACATACTGGATTGTACACATGTATATGGCACTCATGTGGAGCAGGTTGGCTGGTCAATCACATCCATTCCTGCCATGCTAGATCTCCATGACTCATTTGTATCTTTGAAGACACTTTCATCAATTCATAAGAGAAAATCCTGGAAAATACAGTCTAGAAAAACTGCAGGAATACACACTCAGAACTACAAATAATGAATTGATATAATAAACTTTGCATTAACGGCTATCAACCTAGAAGCAAGTTTAGACCCTGTTCATACCAGACTTATATTTAGCGGTTTCAACCGGTTTTTCAAAAACCGGTTTTTATTTAACCTGGTGTGAACGCAAATTAACCGTTTTTTTAGGGGTTTAAATCCGATTTTGAAAAACCACCTCAGGAGGTGGTTTTTGAGGGGTTTTTGTGGGGTTTTTCCACCGAAAAACCTGGTCTGAACGCTAAGGGTTTATTGAACCGGTTTTTTGCGTCATAATTCCGGGGTCACGGGGTCAGCATCCTGGCCGTGTGCGACCTGCAAGCTTTTTTGAGCGCGTTGTTTTGACCAACTTGAGTTCGTTTCCACTGTTTTTCCACTGTTTTTCTTCATTTTGCGATGGAATCAGCAAACGCAACCTGGTCGGCGAACGGGACGCTCCTGATACTTAGGTTGGAGAGCAGGAGTCCCCAAATTCGAAAAAGCTAGGGGGGGGGGCGAGGGCTCTACCGAAACAAAAATGTTGGAGGAGGCTGATTTCTTGAAGATAAAGGATCAGTGCCGCACTAAGGTAAAAAAAAGCAAACAACCGAAGACGGCATACAAGCAAGAAGGCCAAGGAAAACAATCAGAAGAGCACCGGACAGGATTTTTACAAAACCGGTTATCAAAAGTCTGGTATGAACGCTAAGGGTTTTAGCCGGGTTTTTGAAAAACCGGTTGAAACCGCTAAATATAAGTCTGGTATGAACAGGGTCTTAATGTTAATCTTTTGGGAAATTACTTTCAGTCTGGTCTGAAGGCTTAGGCCATTAGCCCAGCCTGTTCATCCTGACACACCGACGGGGTTGTTCAACACACCGACAGGGCTGTCTAACCCCGTCGGGGTAACCTTTGAGCCCAGACTTCTCATGAATTATCACACAAACTTGCTAATTACACTGGTGTGAAGATGGGAATTCTCATTAATTCAGTGGTTTTCATGGAGTGTTCATGAGGATAATTGGATGCGGTCTGGGAGCGGGGTAGCTGCCCGCCCCGACGGGGTGAAGTTTATTAGGGACGGGGTGGGCTTCTGATCCCGTCGGTGTGTCTTCTACACCGACGGGATTGCAATTTTTAAAGTGAAATATCTTGACAAATATGTACATTTTGACTATCAAAAAAACAACCTGGTACTGAGGATAACATGATCTTTCAAATGGTATGTAAAAGATTACTGTACATGCAGGAATAACAAAGTTGAAAATCAGGGATTTCAACATGGCTGTCTTGAAATTCGGAAAGTGACATTCCAAAATTGATGTGACCAGTGTTTAATGATCGTGGGCATTAAAGGAAAGACAAGACAAGGGGGGCATGCATGAGCGCGTGCTTGACACCCACCTGAATTTCGGCAAAAGCTCGAACGTTGTCATTGCTTTTTAGACTCGAAATTCAAGAAAGGTGTATGTAAGTTTGTTTTAATCACATCTTTACCCCCATTTTCCTCATTCCTTATTTTTTTATCTTCAATGCAACGGGGTTAAACAAAAAGTTTTGGTTAACGTTAATTTTGTTAATGAATTTAAATATTTTGTTGTTTGCTTGAAAAAAGTCTTTTGTTTTAACGTTACACTAAATTTCTGATATTTCTTCTGGCTTCTTATTGCAGAAACTGAAAGGGGAAGACATTGTAGGCAAGCTGGATAATCTCCACTATGACATCATTGCAAACAGATGGGTCCACCTGGATGCCCAAGATGTCAGCCAATCACTGGACTTGCATCAGTCATGTGACTTTGAGCAACCAAACAGCTCAGGAAACAGACTGTTCCTGGCACAGGAAAGAGATGTTTGTCTTGTGAAGTTATCCATCACTACAATTTTGTTTGACAAACTTGGCAGTGGTGGCAAAGATGGAAAGCATGACATCAAGAAGTTACAAGAAATCTGTAGAAGATTGTTACTTCAAAATCACAAGCTCTTTGAATGTCTGGTAAGTATACCATACATTTCAGATGTTGGATCATTTGAATATATCTATATATGCCTGAAATGTCAGCTGATTGCTGCACTTGCACCAGTCGTGATATTTTGAGCAGCCAATAAGTGACTATGGAAAGTTATTTGTTCAAATATAAATACATTGCAAGATATCTATGTTTTTAGTCAGAACATTGACACAGATTTATACATGTATGCAAAAACCAAATATTCTGTTTTTAGGACATACTGCTGGGGTCAGGTGACCAACTGGTAGCATACACAGCATGCAAAACAGCAGCTTCTGTTGTAATCAACTTCCCCACACAGATGCAGGTAAACAAAGTTTCCAAAATAATAGCTCTCAATGGACATTACAATGTATCTGTAACATTATGTGTACATCCCATTGGTGCATGACTAATGCATGTACTCAAGGACCTTAGCTATAAGTATAATCTTTAGCACTTCCATACCAACCAGCAGTTCCTGAAAGGGAAGAAAGTCAGCCACACAGTTTTGTATGAAGAAGACATACAGTCATCTTGTTTATGTAGTACATTGTATGTCCAAGCCTTTGATACAGGTGTAGCAGACTGGAATATACTAAGAGTACCCCAACCAGAATATAACTGACCAGGAGTATATTCCAGCTAGCTACACCTGTGGTTGGTACATAATAGTTTCCTTTCAGTTTGACTGGTCTTGTATGTAATTGTGTTATTTCAGGGAAGATAAATTGTTTGATGTAAGAGCAATAGCTACAAGTGCTTATTTATTATTATTCACAAGTTTTCCTTTTTTATGAGTCATGTTTCTCACAGCTTTCTTTCTTTCTTTCTTTCTTTGGTAGCCTTTCCCCAAGACGTGGCTATCAGGTCTGTTACAGAAGTTTAAACAGTCACCACATTCCAGCAGGGCTGTTTGTACCTTTGACCTCTTTAAACTTGTCATCAGGGCTCACGGCAACTCTTTTCCCAGCATGCCTGAGGAATCAGATAGTCCTGCTGTGCCAAAAGGTGAGGAACAGTTTTAGGTAAAAAATCCACCATGGGGTATCAGAACCTATTTTATTGAAATGATGGCAGCTGAGCAGTTTCAGTGGTGGTATGTCCTCCGCAGATTCCTCTTTGGGCATTAGGTCAGTGTGTAATCTAAGTCTAAGAAAGGGCATATCTCAGGATTATGAAGATTATCACAGCACAGCTGTAGACTGTATGTAAACATACATGTAGCATTACAATGTTGCATTTAACCAACTTGATTTGACAACATTTAAAGACATGATGATAATTGATGGTTTCACATAATCCTTAGATACTCTCTGCCACCTATTAGGCTAGGCTAGGTTACACAGCGACTTCCCCAAAGGGCGCTAGAAGATGAAATTGTCAATGACATACCACCAGTTGTTGACCAGTTCATTTTGATGACATAGGTTGTTCCCGGTTCTAAGAATTTATAGTTGAAATGTCAGCAACTATAAAGCCAATAGATGCATGTGTGCATTATGATCATTATTTGATAATCTTTTGTCATCACTTTAACAAATGTGAAAATAGTTATGGTGACCTACATCATGTATTATACATGTACCTGTAATCAAGATTTTCCTTTATGATCACTGTAGGAGCTGGCATTACTTGCTTGGAAATCTTGGATGACAACTGGGATCAGTTAACTCAACTCTACTTGAAGGATTGCCAGTCATTCTCAGAACAACTGTCAAGTTGTCAGCCATCTACCTCCACTCAAGAAGAAGTTGCATTTCTCTCACTGCTGTCTTTATGGATTGAGTGCTTGAACAGTGAAGTAGGAACTCTAAGCCAGCTGCACAACAGCAATGTCTTGCTAGAGTTAGTTCCAGCTTTGAAATCCACCAAATCTTCTTTGGTTTATGTGAATATTTTGGAGGTCTTTTCGCAGTCTTTGCTGTATGAACAGGAAGAAATTGATGCCAGTTCTGAGACTGTAATTTCAGTCTCTCATGCTTTACTGAAAGCCTTTGATGATGAGATGATAAAGAGAGTACCATGGCAGGACAAACATGTTGGATTTGGTGGAACAGACTTTGTTGAGGGGCAGCTTATCGCAGGACAGAAGCCAGGAGACTGGGTGTTGGTGCGAACACTTGTGCTGGTACTGCTGAAGGCTTGCTCCATAACTACTATCAGTGGATTGTCTGGGCAAGGTAATTCATTCTACTTATTATCTTTTAGTTTTCCATGTATGATAAAACTTTTGAGATCATAATGTTTTCCCTAGTTTCATAACATCTTTCTCCATTTGAAACTCTGAACTGGTCCCTAACTGATAATACATGTAACGTTACATACTCTTGTTCCAATTGCAGAAGAGACCCTGTCTATTGTCACCATCCTGCAGAGATTGTCGTCCTTCGTGTGTAAGAAGTTAGCTATCACAAGTGACAGACATGGTGCTACTGTACCACAGTCTGGGCCCTGGTTGTTTGAGCTGTTCTCTGACCAGGATGACTGCATGATAGAAGCCATGCTGTCTCTACTGAACATAAACACAGCAGTTAGCAGGTATGTTCTGATGACCTGTTTTGGAAACAAAATAATCTGTAGCTGTGTTATGGTCTGGGTGTAATTTTGATCCACTCCTAGTACCCAAACACTGTACCAGAAGGAAAACTCACCTGATAATGTAAATCCATTTAAGTTTGAGTTGGCAAGAAGTAACTGTTTTTTTTTACTCTTCTTTTACTACATCCATAATATGATTGTTCTTTTTGCAGGTATGCTACAGACAGTCTACACGCCGATGTCATCACATCGTTGAACCCTCACTGTGTCTTCCTGCAGTTCTTGGAGACCACCACCTGGGACCACTCCATCCTCCTGGACCTCCTCATCTCCATGGAGACCAGCTTCCTCGCATACATTACCAAATACCTCCATCTTGTCATCACAGAATGGCAAGTGTTCCACCAGACAAACCAGCTCCACTATCAAACAATGGTGGATACCTGTGTGTCATCTGATAGTGGGGAGGGTGTGATTACTTCTAACAAACCAGGTTCAGTTCAAAATGGAGAGAAGAAATGGGAAAGCCCTCCCCACCCACAACCAGATCATGGGCAGCTACTACAGATAACAGACACACAGCAGTCTGATAAAACCTGCAGTACAGAAAAACAGACAGATGATATTGAAGTTGAAGGAGTCTGTGCACTTGAGGTTGGGACAATGTCTGAATTTGACAGTTTTGACATGGATACTACTGGGCAACAGCTTCACACACTTGACACAGATGCTCTCCAGTCTAAAAATCCTCAGGGTCAAGATATTAAACATGACGACCTGTCAGTTGAGGGGGAGAAAGATGAGTCTTTCAGTCAGTCATCTGATAATGACAGCTCGAGTGACGATGGCGAGGAAGAGTCCACCTTGGATAAAACCATGGGGGTGTTGATCAGGTTGAGACTAGCCGTAGAGAGACTGAGTGAGAAGAATTTGTTCCCATATAATGTTAGCCCCCTTCTCAGACTGCTGACCATGGTTGAAGCTAAATATGAAGAAGACTGAAAAGAAACTGTATGTATCTGAAATGACTTTATTATGTGACAAATAAGAGGGTACATTTTTTGTATCACAGCTGTTAGAAAACAAAATACATGTACAATGGCATAGTAGTGTGTCTGTCTCTACAAGCATTGTGTTTCAATGTTTACATTCTTTCCTGTAGTATACAGCATTTAGGCCAATAAGTACTAGTAGACCAGTGGGCATATGGTGACAGAACTGGATGTAATTCTCATTGCCTGTTTTATTATTTTTTTTAGCCCATCTGGGCAAGAACATGCAATAAAGATTCATATCATATCATTATAGCTACTGGTAAATACACACAAATTAATAGCAAACCAGAAACCTTGTTTTATTATCTGTCACAGCTTTACAAATATATGAGAATTTGTCATTTTGCAGGTAGGACACCATCCTTTGCACCTGAACACGTGGCTGATTACATAGTACATAGCACAACAGAAAAGGTTACCAACTGATTTGACAAAATAGTACGAGCATTTACATATTCTTAAGAGCATTTTCAAGTGATAAATGGTCAAAATTGTCATCTTTGAGACAGGATTTACCTATCTTAAGAAATGCTATCCTATAGTGTTTTAGTTTGTTGACTATTTTACATATGGGTACCAGTCCACAGCCCTACTGCTCCATAATAAAAGATTATGAAGGCCATCCAATCATGAATCAGTGCAGCAGTGATGTCACTTGTCTGCCTATCTCCTGTATCTGTATCTCTTGAAGTGGAACCACAGTTGGAAGATCCCGTTGCTGAACTGGCAGCGGAAGCCGTGTCTGTGCGAGTACTCCCACTCTCGGTTCACAATCCTGAAGGCAATGTCCTGCACAAAACATGAAGTATCTCTGTGTTAGCATCACAATACAAAGGAATAGTAAGTTAGTGGTTAGGGTTGTTAACTTAGAATCTAAACGTTCTGAGTTAGAATCCCTAGCAGGTCCCACTGTTGAACCCTTGGAATGGCAATGTCATCACTTAACTAAGGTGAAAATGAGTACATAACTTCAATTAGGGATATATGTAGTTTCAGATAGGACATAGAGCAGAGGTCTTGTGTCTGATTAGAGCCATACCTCATGCACATTAAGGAACCCACCAAACTTATCAACCGAGTGGCTCAAACTTACCCAGTTTGTACAATATGTACTTAACATGCAAAACTGGTGTGTTTTGCATAAGGTGGTTTACCAGTCATGCAATACAAACAAACAAACATACCTCATATGGAGGCCCTGCATGGAACCTGAGAGAGGCAAAGTCCTTCTTGCCTTCCTCTGGAGTCAGTGTGTACTCTGGTGTCTGAGTCTTGTCTATCAGGTCAGGGTAGAAGATCTAAAAAGCACAGAGTCCAGCATTAACAGAAATGTGCTTCATAGTCTTTCAACAGAATAACATATATACAATGTATTAGCAAAACGTATGGCTATGTAGACACATCCATCCTTTGAACTGATATTTTTTATACCTCTGTAATACTTCCAAAATAATACAGCTATGTACAAAACTTACATTGAACTTGTATCCTTGCACAATCTTTGGAGGTGGGTTGTCAAAGTCGTAATGTGTCTGGTTATACTTGTTCCACTCAAAACCCTGAAATAAAGAAGAACAAAGCATGAGAAATGCTAGGCACACACGAACAACAGTAACAACAACATTAAATCCAACCAGGAAAGATTATGGGAAATTACATCAATTTGTACACACAAAAGCTATGTTTCTGAAAAAAAAGAAGTTTTTCTGTTGTACAAATTGTGGTAAAACCTGAATATTCCTGAAGAATACCAGAGGATCAGTAAAAAATTGTTCAGTTAAATCTTTTCATTGGAAATTTGATAAACCATTGCCATAACTGTATATATGTATATAACATAATATTGGTCCACATTTTCCTTTGAAAAACAGCTTAACATCAAACCTGCAACATCAAAACATATAGTAACCTCCTTTAACACAGGAAACAGCTACGTACCGTGTGAACCCTGTTGAAGAAGCGTGGTTTACGTGGTCGGTACTTGTCGGACCACAGGTAGACCTTCTGTTGAAGCGGTACCTCCACACTGAAGGTGGCCTCGTCACTGGTCATCCCTTCCCTCGCTTTCTTCATCAACTGGTCATCCTCTGTCTCCTCCTGTCACGATTGACAAGTCCAAAGTGGAACGTAATGTGAGTGAATGAATAATGGTAGAAAGAAATGATTGAACTCTAGCTACAGGACTTCCACAATACAAACATACAGCTTCTTCCCCAGTTTGTTCTCACCTCTGCTGTGCCGCTGGCAGCCACCTTCCTTCTGGCAATCTCCAGTCTTCTCAGGTCATCTGCAGGGTCGAACACTAAACAGTCTGGGGGCAGGTCCCGAGTTCTCAAGCGCTTGGGACTGTATCTCCCTGCATTGTAGTCATCATAACCTGGACAGGTGGGGAGGTAAATCAACATTCTTAACAAAGTCTGCAACAAAAATGCCTCTGTACTCCAAAACTGGCTGCTAGATGCCCCAAATATATACACGTACCACTTTTTTTCCTAGCCAAAAGTACATAAAAAGGTTCAAGATAGCACCATATAAAGTCAGCAATCACATTTTTAATTAGGCTGTAAGAATTTACTTGGGTATACATGTACATGTACAACTACAGTTTGTAATGGGTGTAGTCATGTTGGAGTTGGACAGAAACAAAACTGTGGGATAGAAGTTGCTGTTATGAGTTCTCTTACTTTGTTCCATAAGATCTTCTTCAGTCAGCACTGCATCAGACCTGAGAAAAAGAAAAGAATGTTGGAAATTCTAATGGATAAAGAGAGAACCTGGAAAATGTAATGGTGTGTTATCGACATTCAAGACACGTTAATAATTGGTGTATTGATATCATGAGTAGGCTTCACACTAGACAAACATATGTCCACATCTGAAGGACTAATGCAACCCATCACACTCAGTGCCCAAGCAGGGTTAGAACCAAGGAATTTGATCCATGCCATTGCTTGTGCCAAAGGGGCACAACCCATAGAAATTGTACGAGAATGCACTATAGGATCTACAAAGACTGGTACCCACTCCTTGGTTTCTTCTTCAGTTTTCCCCTCTTCCTTTTCTTCTGTATCTCCATCTGGTGCAGAACTTGGTCCAGGCTGAGGTTCTGGTTCCTGTTCTGGTTGGGAGGATGTCACATCTCCTGATGTTCCAGCCTCCATCTCCTCCTCCTCCTCCTCTGAATCTTCCTCTTGTTTCACAGTGATGGGGAACAGTGGCTGGCTTTCAACTCCTTGCTGTGTGGACAACAAAAACAAACCAAAAAATACTGAGCAATCTTGTCTTTCTCAAAATCTGCTTTCATTCTACATATAATTTCTCTTTTGTAGTTAGAATTGTTCAACATACTTGCAATTTGATATACATTGTATAGGAAATGACTTCTTTGAACAGTGAGATGATAAAGCCCAAATGTTACATGCTAGTTTATTGCCTTATATAAATATATGAAACATAAAAAGGAATTTTAGAAACCCCTTATATGTCTAGTTCAGGTGGATTTTGGACTGATTTGATAAACATTGCAAAACATATGTTAAAGAAAAAACACAGACATTTTTCCAGGAGTAATGTGTTACCTCCTGTTTGAGTTGGAAGAGTTTTCTGCGCAGTGTTTCCTGGTGTCTGTCCCTGAGCCTGGCCCTGGCCATGTGTGCCTTGAGCTGCTGTAGGAGTGACTCCCAGTACCCAATGTCCACTGCATCTCCAGACTTGATTCTCTTCATAATCTGTTGTTGAAGGGCCACAAGCTGACCGAACTGGGGGAGGGGATAAGAAATCATGAAGAAAAGACAATGGTCTCATAGCCTTTTTGATTGTAGGTTAAGTGTGTCTTAGGCATGTTAATGGAGGGCTAAGTCCATCTCTCTCCTTCAACCGTCTTTCACCATGGAGCAAGTCTTCCCATATGAGACATAGTCCTTGGCATGCTGCTGAATGCATTTTCGCTACAAAAAAATGTTGAGGAAAATAGATTTTTGCGACCTAACAAAGGATGAGTTGTTTCCAATATTCAATTGAGCAAAATCTGTCAAAAAGGCCTTAAACCTTAAACTTACTGTCATAAAACCCATCAAACTTATCTGACTACTGGCAAACAAAGAAGCAGCAGTTTGCATGCTACTTGTATTGTTACAACTGTATGGTAAATTTTGTATGCTAGGGCCCATCAAACTTACAGTTTTTCCATGGAAGATGTTGACAACATCTGTGGTGACAGAGACGTTGATACCTTCTCTTCTGTCCACTCCAGATTCACCTGGAATGCAACAAACAACACAGTCATACAAATACCAACTAATGTTTTGGAAATTTGCAATAAATGATGGCTTTATAGACTAATCATCTTTAAATATGTATGTAGCAAATACTTCACAAAATGCAAGATTTCAAATTTAAAATACTCTGACTTAATCATATATTATCATTCTTTGTTCTAAAATATGCTGTACTCTATCAGTTACATAGAAGTGAGACCTAAAAATCAACACAGTACATACCTCTTTGCGTTTGCTCCAGCTTCTTGAGTTTGTTGAGTTCATCTTCAGCAATAACAGTCATGTCCTTCCAGAAGTCTGCGTTCTTCCCCTGCTCCAGTTCCATGTACACTTTGATGTCTTCTACTAAGTCCTCCAGGTCTGTCATGGTCAGGCCCTGAAAATGTAACATTTACAAACGTTTTATTTGGGCTAATCCAGCGAAAGAAAATTCCTGTCTACAAGCATGCCTCATGTACACACTGGCTTCTTTTACCAGCATCCTGATCCACAAAATGACTGACCAATGATGCACACAGTATGTGTCTATGCTAACCATGAAATTGTCTCTTACTGACTACACATCTATGATACTGCCATTAAGACTGTAACAGTAGACTCACAGTAAGGAATGTATACGGCTCATGCATCTCCACAGCAATGTCATCATCCTCTGCACTGATGTACTTGGCCAGTAAGTCAATGGGCTTGGCTCGGCCATCTTGGATTCTGATCTTGGACCTCAGCTTGGCTTGGTGCAGATGGAACTGTGGAAAAGGATACAGACATTCAAACTTGGTCTTAACAACCACTTAAGAGACTGAGGAAAACTGGTTGGTGACTGGGGGGTTGCTCCAGACAAGAGGGTCTTAACTATGCAAAATTGCATCAACATTAGAATACCTACTTTAGCCAAAACCTTTAGCTTCTGTAAATGATCAGTTGCACGGTTTCAAATTATTGGTGTCTCCACAGACCACATAAAACAAACAAAATCTGATGACCACTCTTTACTATTCAGTCTTACTTACCAGTCTTTACTATTACGTCTCCCTTCACCCTAGCAGCTGTAACAGAACAATGGTACAAGTCTTACATTGTCCTCCTGCTGTTCCCACTCCTTGTAGTACTCTGCCTCCTTCGCTCTCTGCATGGCTTCCATCTCCTCCTCCCTCTGCTGTCTCTCTCGCTCCCTCTCTAGTCGGGCCTGCTTCACTTTCACCAACTCATTCTGCATCAACATGTTGCAAGTTTACATGTTTCCATTTTAATCTCCTATCATGCGACATGTTACTACTAATAGTAGTACTATTATCTTGCTAATTCAAACACAATAACCATAGAAACTTGACGCCAAAAAAACAGTTACTCAAGCAACTGGATATGATTTTGAGTTGCTTGAGTAACTGTTTTTTGGCGTATCGTATTACCTGGATGTCTAACCTTCATCGACGCATAGAACTTGATTTTGGAAGATCGTATATCTCCATCACTACATTATCAATTGTATTGAATTATTAGTTCTCAACAGAGTTACATACCTTCATTTCAAGTTGCTTCCTTTTCTGTATCCTTTCTTGCTCTTCCTTTAATAAGTGTGCTGTGCCTTCCTTCTCATGTTTCTGTAGTGAGAAATAATAAACATTTAGGCACTGGACATTGACGCAAACCTTCTCTCTTCCTTTTTATACACTGCTCAGCTCCTACTCAGTCACTGACTATCTAAGTTAAAACCATAGTACACATGTAATAGTCTCAAAATCATGGCATCCATGTGAAAAATATCCCCAGTCTCAGTAAGTATGGCAGTTTATCAGTTATGTGAACCAACAAAAGAAAACTATCTCATTAGACCAACAGCAGAGCAGAGTGCATACCTTGGACCACACAAATGTGTCCAGTAGATTGGCATCCCCAAACGGGTTGTCAGTGTTGGTGTATCCCATGTACTCCTGGTCCCATCCCATATTCTCACGAGCCTTTCTCGCCTTTGCTTCCTTCTTGGCCATTCGCCTGGCTCTCTTCTCTTCTGGGGTCTCATACAACTTCATCAGCTCCTTCTGCTTTCTGTTAGAACATAGAAATTACACGTATATCATTGACAAAAGGCACTGCAAAATAGGTTGTACATGTACAATGCTGCGATGTTCTGTCTTTCTTCAACAGCATTTCTTCACAGCAACTGTCATATTATTTTTTTTAATTCTTGCTCTTCAACAAGAGTGGAATTTTTGCCATAAGGCCTAGTTGGATCCTACATCTATACTAGGCTAAAATAGGGCCTTAACCATTTAATGCATACTCGTGAGCTTACTTCTTCTCCTCTTTTGTTTTCTCTTTGTCCTGCTGCATCTCTCTCCTCCTCCTCTCTATCCGTGCGTCTGCTGAGGAGGAGTCTGAGTCACTTCCTGACTCCTCTGATGAACCTCCAGACGGACTGGACCTGCGACCTCGGCTGTCTGATCTTGACCTTGATTTTCTTTTGTGTTTCTTCTTTGTGGCATCCTTGGATCTGGACCTTGATCTTCCCCTAGAATTGTGAAAAAAAGTATGAATGTAGTTTGAATCTACTCAGATCCTTTGCATGAAACACCAAGACACCATTGTTTTGGCACACAAATTATATATGATATAAGTATTATATCAACAGAAAACAGAACTTACCGACGTTTCGATCCACTTTTATCTCGGGATCTGTCCTCCCTTGATCTGGATCGCCTCTGTCTTCTGTCTTCGCTGGGTGAAGGAGATCGTGATCTGGATCGATGTCTGTCCTTCTTTTTTCCTTTACGTTCAATAGATCGAGATCGTGATCGTCTGTGAAGAGACAAAATTAACAGAACATTAACATTATTACCATAATTCATAACAGAATGTTAGCTGTAGTATGTATGTTAGTTTTTGTCAGGGAATGTTTTGTTTGGGGTGGGAGGGGGGCACACATGTGACTGTTAATATATTCATAATACTGTCCTACGCAGAAGCTAAGTCATACATTTCAGAGGGAACAGTGCTGGCATAATGTTAAAGATGATGAAAAACTATGAAGTGTGGGTTATTCTATGTATAATATTCTATACGAAAGACGCACGTTTATAAAGCGAAGACTACAGCCGATTGACGTGATTTCAACGTTTATATCCATACCTTCTTTCCTCTTTCCTGCTTCTATCTCTTGATCTTGAACGCGATCGATGCTTGTTTGTCTTCTTCTCTGCTTTCCCCATCTCCTCCTATACGCGCAGCCTCTTTTTATATCGAATTTCTGCTTAAAATAGTGAGAAAAGGCAAAGAAAATCCGTCAAAATCGCAGAAACTTTTACAAGCGCGCCGCCATATTGGATGTACCTAACGCGCATGCTCAAGATTCTTAATATCAGGAATGGTTGAAAAAACACACCACAGAAAATTTCTTTAAGAAGACACAAAACTCGTATCAAAACCTCTCAATTTCTAAAGGATGGGTCCAGTGTAATCATTTTTATTTGTGAATAGTTCAAATATTTGAAATGTTTTATATATTGAGCAGTTTCCATGAGTTTCTGTCCATTTTTCTAACCACAATTAACCTAAATCATTCCTCCTTCTAACGTCACCAGCCTGAAAAGTTGACTTGTCGTTGGAAACAGAACTAGAATTTTTTTCAGTCACAACTTTTACAAAATAAGACCATGATAAGACGTCCCATTTTTGAACCAGAAACTGGATATACCTTCGAGATAGAAGTGAGTATCTGTTTTACATCGTCTTGCTGATAAAAACGTGCAGAAACTGGGAAAGAAGGTGCAGCTGGATAAAAGACGACGATTCGATCTGAGAAGCAACAGTTCGGTTGGTCAACAGCTTAGAAACTGCTTGAAAAATTTGACAAAACGTTGAGTTTCAGTTTATTCATCACAGATGATGGGTAGGTATTTCATTATTTTCAAAACTCTATGTACTGTAATTCTAGTAAGCTTTAGCTCAGAATGTTTTGTTGCTTTACTTTGAATTTGTTGACATTCGAATAGATCTAGATAATATAATATGGTGGTTGTTTTCAAAATTTAATACCTTTGTGATACTGATTGTGGACGCACAATGGAGTAGACTGAGTCCTTTTAGTTTTATTGTATTGTTGTGTTTTTCCTGTACTTATGGAAGGAAATTATCAAGAAATATTGGTAACAAATTTGTCCAAAATTAATGGGACCAATATAATGAATATTTATAGACAATTCAATCACAAGAAGTTTGATAACATGCATAGTTACAATAACATACATTTTCCCCTTATGTATACAGAACAGAGGTAAAGACACAGTCTTCTTTCTTTTACAAGCAAGATCGAGGAATTTCAACTGCAGATAAATTTAACTTTTAAAGGACAAAAATGGAAAAAATGGAAGACAGCATGCCAAAAGTGGATCTGTCAAGATTTGGTGTGGATCTAACAGATCCCGCATCTGTGATGACTCTGTTGGAGTCAACAGAACTTACGGAGGATGAGATGGAATTCCTGCTATCAGAAGCCATCAGAATCAACAAGGATCTGAAGGAACAGTTGAGTAGAGAAGAGGATCCCGAGGCGGGTGGGGAGGGGGGGAGAAGTACAGGTGAAGGTGACGGGGATTCTGACTACAGTAGCAGGG